ATGGCTACCTAATTTGGAGCAGGGTTTGTGATATTAAAGATATTGTGTTTTATAAGATATAATTCATACAATATATTTACAATTTCAATCATTTTGATTTATTATTATGCTGTAAAATGATCCTGTGATTTATATTTAAAAATATAACTATAAACACGTGATTATTAAAATTCGATGCAATAATGTGCGCTATTGATTATGACCTAGTGCAGAAGAATGTTTATCTAATTTTTAAGTCTTGAATGCAGTTTGGCATGCGTTGCGCCGTCATGAATCGCGTATTGTACGTATATAACCTGCTAAATACGCACAGTGCAGCCTCTCTCCACCGCTCCCCATCTTTTCAAAATTAAAGTCCAAAAGTTCGTTTAAAGTTTAAACCGCTCTAGTTGCTACCCGGCGCGTCAGGGGTACTATCGAGGGAGGGTTTCAGGGGATTCAGGGGTTGGAAAAATTACTCTAGTTCTTATCCAACAATTTCCGTATTCTAAATCAAATCATTTTGAACGAGTACATGTTAAAGTTGCAGGTTTATTATAAACATCTGGTTTTGTACCGATTAATATATTATTGATATAAAGATTATGAGAATCCCAATAATATGTACGTGCGTGTGTAAACATTGTCCTGAAACACTCTTCCCTTACATGGTCTTCATGGGGCCAACCGGCTTTATTGGGCAATACAGGCAGCTCAGCGTCACGTGATATAGAACAGGACTCTCATTGGCCAAGTAGTTGCCGTGACGCGCCAACCGGCAGAAACTAGTTTCCCGCCTAGACGGGCTGTCCGTGCCAGACCAACCGTTCCTCTTCATATTTTCCACTTTTTATAATCAGTCTGTTAGAAACTGTAGTAGTGGAAGGTCATCCCAAATTTAACACAGACAAGTGTTCTTTCTGTAACAGTTTATTAAAACATGTCATTGTTTAAACCGTCAGGTCGCAGGCGACTGAAAGACAACTCAAATTTTACCCCCGTGAACAAAAAACTTAACTTTAATTTGGACGATTCAGATCTAGAGGTCCTAAAAACACGTGATACGGGATCACTTCTAGATCATCCACAGTTTGATATGGAGCTGGATGAATTTCAACTAGAAGAATCTGAAAATTTCTCTCCTTGTCGAACACGATCTGGGTGTGTCTATGAGTCTGGTAGGAAGAAACGCAAATTTAGAACATTCTCTAAATCGACGAAAAAATCCTTGGATGGCCGAACTCGAAGCTCTTCGGGTCAGAGTGGAACTGGATCTGTCGCCGATTGTTCTGAGAACGGGTCAGAAAACAGTGATGACAATATTGGTAAGATGCTTTAATAATTGATACACTGTTACAATTATTACTACGTTATTAAAATGACTCATATTTAATGATCCATATTATTAAAAAGGAGATTTGTAACAAAATTTATCAAAATTTAAAATCAAATAAAATGCATCAGTAAGCTCATTTAAATTATTTTTCGATAAAATACTTCAATTTAAATCAGCTAGGTAATTTCCTAGAGAACGATTTTTGGACCCCCCCCCCCCTGTTCCTATCAATTTTGTACATGGCCGCAGCGCTCGGCCCCCTAGCCTGTCCTAGCCGCAGCGCTCGGCCCAGAAAGTTTCTTAGCCTAACCTATACCTCAATAATACTGAATAAATACTAATTTGGTCATCTACAAAAGTGATAGGGGGGGGGGGGGTCAAAAAATCGTTCATTAGGACGGACCCCGAAGCTTTTTTCAGCAGATTGAATAATATGTATTTGAATTCGAATTCGTTGTTAAACATATTAAATTGGATGCCAGGATCCTTCGCTTTGTTCTTAATTAAAACTTATTTGTGTTTAGGTGAAAGTGAACACTGTGATAGGCTGGACTTTTTCGGGGGCCCTGACCCCCGGTCCCCCCCTCCTCTCAACTATGTCAAAAACCCAGTCTCAAGGTAAAAATTGCAACTTTTAGCAGTTTTATTTGTACTTTATCCATTTCTAAAGATGCTAAGACTATCACTAAATAATTTTATCTATTTTTCTCCGATAAATTCATTTTTTTTAGGTTTTCTTTTCCCCGCGAGAGAAAACACCGTCATGATATTCCGTCTTCTCCGATCTCTCATCATCAAACACTTGATCATGATCTTTCTTCACCTGTTCAAAAGGTAAATACATAGATTAGCATGTCTGAAACACAATTTCTGTTTGAAGGTTTTTTTAATAATGGAGAAGTCTGAAGATATATAAATATTAAAATCTTGCAAATTACTGATCCTGTCAAAGGTTTTTAAAAAGTAGTACTGTTGTAAATCGCACACACCCGTTATTAAATGGACGGTCATTAGCAATAATAATAACAGTCCTTTTAAAGGATTAGGATTTTCTCACAATTGTTTTCTTTCTGGGCTGATTTATTGAAACAATTCAGATTAGTCTTGAAGAATGGTTTGTTTAAGAAATTAACAATTAAAAATGTGAGGGGGGGGGTACTTAATAATTGAATTAAAGTTCCGTTAAACAAATCTCTTCTTTTTTTATTTAAAACCAATGAAATGTTTTGAAATAAATCCGTCTTATAACTGTTCTTAATCTTAGGCTGAAGGGGATGGAAGATGGTTAATGGGGTTTAATAGTGGGGAGATTTAAAATCAATATTCATGTTCATATATAGTCAAGTCAGGTGCCTTGAAGTTGAATAAACCGTTAAAAAGTTTTCAAGTAAACAATATAATTTGTCAGAAAATTCTTCAGATTAAATATTATTTCAAAGATAAAAACACGTTGAAACACGTCTAAGCAGAATTAATGGCGACATTAAAATCATAGAACAGTGATTCATAGTTTTTACGAAACCCGTGAATCACCGGCTGGAAACAATTTAAACCGCTCAAAGATCGGCGAAACCTTGTTAAAATAGGCTGTACGGTACCATTAAGGAAAATTTAAGATATTTGAATTTTGTTTCAGACGTGGGGAGGATTAGAACCTGATTCTCCCACCTTATCCTTCTCCCCGCCGACCAACCCTATGCGCGCAATGCGTCTGTTCGACGTTTTATCCTCTCCAAACACTGCGTGCGCGCTGACCTCCCCCCGGTCAACTCCAAGAGCACATTTTATGAAATCAAGATTATTATTTGAAGAAGATGGAGAACATAGACGGGCTAGTCTTCCAAATCCTCAGGTATTTAAAAATCCCCCCCCTCATTTATTTTACAATGTTTAATACAGTAAAATCAAATAATTAATTTGTTCGTTTTTATTTATTTTGTCATTTTGATAACTCGTATCAACAAATTGTTTCTTTGGATTTATCAATTTTTCATGATTAAAATTAAGTCCTTTTTCTCATTTTTTTGTGTAAACGATTTTGGTCGACTTTAATAGCATTCTCCTGAAACAGATATTTCAATTTTATAAATAAATTCATATTTATTTTCTTCTAGATTCTTGAATGCGACAGCACGACGAATTCCGGTAGAAAGAACAAATCCGCAAATATTAATCCTTTCACCCCCGCAGCTATGCTCGCAGCAAGCAAGAAGAGAAGTCGGAGCAAGCGATCTATAAACTCGTAAGTTTAAAATCTGTCATCTTAGATTTAGTTTTTCTGCAGATTTTGTTTGTTGTGGGATGGAGGGGGGTGTCTCTAAATTACTATCTCTACACTCCTCTGATCGATAACCTGTGTCTGTGACAAACTATGTCCATATTTGATTACAAACCGTTTGTGAATATGACAGTTTAAAGTTGGGTCAACAAATCATATCTGATACATCTCGTCAACGTTTCAAACCATACATGGGCATGCTAAAGCCAAGAGTCTCTTTCCAATTGTTTTAACTTTCACAGTTTTGAATCACGCCAGTGGGGATATCTTTGTTGGCTATTTTTATTATTATTAACTTTCTCACTAATATTATTACTACATATATCTATACATTTTAACATGAAAAAAAGGATCATCAAAAACTTACCTGGTTGAAACAATAGACGACGCCCTTGGACAAGATTTTACAGGTAAAAAAATTTAGATTTTGTACCCTTTACTATTTTTCTGAAGTAACCCAATGATCCAAGCATTATGGCAAGCCTTGCAATTTGTCGGATTCTATCTAAATATCTAGAATTAAACTTCCAAATTCTATTTTTACCAAATATATTCAGATTCATACTATTGAATTAACAAACCGTTCAAATTTACAAAAAAAATATGCAAAAATTGCTACATCTTAAAGACATAATTTGCTTTATCATTTGCAAATCTTTTGCAATACTGTGTCATCTTTGTTTTTAATTATTGTTAAGATCCTTTTTGATGAGTGATCTTGATGCCAAAAATAGTTTAAATATACGATAAAACCGTTGCAAATTGTTTTGAACATCCTTATTCAGTAGATTGGATAGAAACAAGGTTTTTGCGCCTCTATTTACCACTTATATAGACCTTGAAAATTTAGCAAAATACTGAACTTTTGACACTTCTCAGACTAATTTTAATTTTCTACCAACATTAAAAAAATCTGTCAAAACAACAATAGAAAAGCAGTTAAAAATAACTCTGCCGATTTTAATTTTTTTGAAAATTGAAAATTTCAAGTTTCTAACATTGAACTTGAAAAATTGTTTCATAGTTCAATTCCTATCCCACTGAGATAGAAATAAGACCCTGGCCGTCACAACCCCTGTACTTTTATTTCAATTGTCTGAACTTGGAATCTATAAAAGTAGAATTCTAGGTTTTGGGGGTATTCCAAATTGCTCAATAAAGATTGCTTCCATGATATATTGACCGTAGTCCGGCTTTCAGCTCCTGTAATTTTGGTTGAAATCCAGAATTTCTAATTGATATTGCCTTCAACCTCAGGTCTTCAACCAGTTGGGATTTTCAACGATTTAAAACCCTTTATTTTAACCTTTTGAAGTTGATTTTTAGGCCCCCCCCCCCATCCATCCCTCACTCTCCTATCCAGCTTTAAGTGAATTTGAGACGACGTTGATTAAATATTTTAAGGTTAAATGTGAAGTAATTAACTATTTTGAATATTTTGCTTATTTTTACTGAACTTTTAACGTTTATTTACAAATTTACAAGTCTTTTTAGGAATAATCCAAATTAGGGGAAATCAATCACTAACTTAATTTTAAAACGGTTAAAATCAAGATATGAAAAAATCAATCTTTTTTATTTTGAAAAGAATCTTTTTTTTGTTTTGGTGTCAGCTTACCATACGTTGTAAGCTATCCAAAAACTCGAACTGATTTTTTAACCTCACACCCGTGTTGTTAGGTTACAAATTTAAATTCAAAGCCATCTTGAATAGTTGAAATACTTGAAGATTTAATCCTTCTTTTCAAGCAGATCCATCTGCCTAGCAGGCATTGTTGGCCTTACATCTGCCTTGGTTCACATTTTAGATTTAGTAAAACTAGAAAACTAGAGCATCGTAAACTTGTATTCCTCCATCTTAACAAGATCTTACCCTTTTGTTAAATCCTAGTCTAATGAGCAACTTTTTCTCACTTCGAGTATTTTAGACTTTTTTGCGTCAACTTCAACGGATTTTTGAACTTCCGTCGTTTGTTTACCTACCCCCCCCTCCCCCCCCCTCTACACACCGCGTAAACCAGGTGGCCATAGCTATATTTCGTCCTTGCAGGGACAAAGAAATCAATAATCTTTTTCTCCAGTTTACATAAATCCGTATACACACAACGTATATGCTAGATCTAATACTTTTCTTCGTATTTTTATGGGGGGGGGGCTGGTCAAGGCCAGAGTAGGCCTAGGTTCTGCGTTTGATATGTTTTAGCGCGGTATTTTTGAATTCTACGCATTAAGCGTGTATTCTAAAATTCCCGCGCTTTTTCTGACATGGGGTCCTGACGGCAGCCTAGCAAGGCCACATGCTCCCTCTGCAAAACTGAATAATTCACACGGATTAAACGCACCACGTGTATCAACTGCATGGGTGGAGGGGGGAGCAACAATTCTACGCATTTTAGTGCAAACTCCCAGGAGACTGTAGATGCATCAATTTAATTATTTCATAATCAGTACTTTTATTCAGAACATAAATTTAAATATTCTAATCTTTAGATATATGTTTTCTGAAAGTACTTTTCCAATAATTTCACATTTTTGTTTTATCACCGTAATCACTTTGTTTACTAAAAGGTGTTGAAATATTAAATATATTTAATGTTTAGATCAATGGGTTCCAGTCGTGAGGAACTGCAGGCTAGCCTGGATAGTATGGAGGGTAGTGAGGGAGAGGAGGATGAGGAGGGGATGGACAACCATCAAGCTAAACGTGTCAGAGTTTCAGATATCAATATCACAAGGTGAGATATTCTTCTAGAATAAATCAAAGCTCGAACTAGAAACATAGGAACTGAAAGACGACTGAGGTTTCATGACTAATAGTGCACTTTACACAGACTCACTTAACTTCAGTTGATTTTTTAGCTACTTGTGAAACTATTTGCTCAACATCAAGAATGTTTAAATGTCGTCTTCATATGTCTCTGTTTTATGCTACGGGATATCCCAATCAATAGTGAGCTTAAAAGACAAAGTAAAAAGTTAAGCCTTGAAGTTGATAGCTGTCAATATCTATGAAATATATTTTAAAGTATCCCTTTTATCTAACCTAATATTTGTCCAGGTATACTGAAGAATTCCTGGAATTGTCAGAGATCGCTAGCGGTCAGTTTGGAACTGTTAAACTCTCCAGGCATCGTCTGGACGGAATAGTTTATGCAATTAAAATTAGCAAACATCCACTTAGGTAAGTCTTGCCATTATTGATAAATACCATTAACATTGATAAGTAAGAGGTTATCGTTTTATTCATAAAATTAGAGATTGAACCAAGGAAAGAGTGGTAGAAGAGGTTGTTAATATTTCTGTAATTCTTTTGAAGGACCGGGCCTGAGCAATTGTAAATAGAAAACGTTTTTGTTCACAATAAAGTTATTTCAAGAAATGCGTTACAGAAGAATTTAAACACCCTCGATATCCCTTCATCTTAGTTCGTTCTTAATTGATATTTGTTGCATATTTAATTATTACTTGATTAATGATGATTGTGTACAGGGTGAACAGTCACGATGAGAAGATGGCGATGAACGAGGTGTTCGCGCACGCGGCTCTCATGAAGCACAAGCATGTCGTTAGATATTATAATTCATGGGTAGAGAAAGGACAGGTAAATATCATTAAATCAAACTCAACTCGATCCCTATATCTTTGCAACCTTTTAACTTGATCTGAACGAATTCATAGTTTGACATATCAAAGGTCTACAACATCAGGTTACAAAGATATAAGAATTAGAAAATAAAGCTCAAGGAAAATAACAAACTCTTTTGATAAAAATAGTAATGTGATAAAATTCTTGTTATAAGTTTAACAGTAACTTATCATATTGAAGCAGTAGGGGAAAGTTCCAACATATTATCAAATAGTTAAGAGGAAGGAAATTATTTGTATTATTTGTTTATTTCGTTTTTTAATATTTTGTAATTATTTGTTTGTGTAGGTGTACATCCAGAACGAGTACTGTGAGGGAGGAAGCCTGCAGAACCGTATCCAGGAGTTCAAGAATAGTGGGACCAGGTTCTCAGAGCAGGAGCTTAAGAAGATGATCATGCATGTGGCTAAGGTAGAGGGGGAGGGATACATCATAATTAAATTTCATTTGGAATATATAACATTAAATACCTCCATTTTGAAAAAGCTTGAACAAAATTTCCTCCTGAATTTTGATGTTAATTTGTCAGGTTTTGACCTCACATTATTTCTAAAAATCATTTATTTAGAATAAACCTTAATTTTGTATATTTTTAGGGTTTGCAGTACATTCATAGTAAACAACTTGTTCATCTGGATATAAAACCTGGAAATATATTCATCTCTTTAGAATACTCAACACCCTCTCCTAATAGAACGTAAGTTGAATTTAATCAAATGTTCAGGGGATGATTTTGAAAAATGATGAAAATTGTAGTTACTTTTTACCAAGTTGTATTTTATTTCGTTATTTAGTTATAACAGAGGGGGGGGGGGGATAAATATGTATCCTTGGCCCTTTATAATTCCAAGTAATACTAAATTAGGATGAATTATCAAATTAGTTTTTTTGTTGTTGTTTTTGGTTCAATGTTATCCAAAAAATGTCAAGATTTGAATTTATTTTGTTTTATCAGGGCTGAACATAGTACCGATTCCGGAGCTGCCAGTGGTGATCATTCTCCGCCCCCATGCAGGGGGGAGGTGGAGGAGTCCTCCAGCTCTCCAGGGGAGGGGGAGAAGGTTCACTACAAGATAGGAGATCTAGGACATGTTGCCTGTATACACGGTGGAGAAGTTAGTCCTGAAGAAGGAGATTGTAGATACATGGCTCCAGAGTTTCTAGAAATGGAGGTAAGAGACAACATTTCTTATTACGTTTTCAAGTGACCCGTAGTAAATAAGGGGCATGTCTGATTCCTAAATTACCCTTTAAAGGGGGTAACCGGCAATGTATGGTGAACTGAATTTAATAGTTAAAACTCAAATTGCAGTATTATTGGGAATTTTTCTAGGATTCATTTGAGACCTATCGGACGTTTTTACGGTGCATATTTGTTCAGCAAGAGCGTAAATGCAACCTTTAAAATCCTCAAAGATTGAATTCATTTTGGTGGAATGGTTTTGAGAATCGGTTTTATGCAAGGACGACCAGGAAAAATATACCAAACAAATCTACATTATACTAAATAATTGTAAAGGAACAGGTTGAGAAAATAAAACTTAACTCTTATCATCGAAATTAAGTAATCTTACTCAATTATTGGTTTCTATAATGTCTCATTATTCAAAACCATTTTTCTGTAATAATCATAAGAAAAACAATATAATGATGAAAAAGAAAGAATTGATTATAACATTGATTTATTGACAAATTTCTAATGAGAGCCATGTTCCTGAACATCTAATTAGTTTAACGTAGAATTTACTTCGTCGTTGTTGAATAATTTTTATAAAACTAATTCGTTCAATCATCCCTCTAAAATGGACAATCAATGAGTGCTTTAATTTTAGATATTGAAATTGCACTCTTTTTAAACAAATATGCATCGTATAAACTGATTGGTCCAAATGAAGCCTTAAAATATCTCACTACTACTGTAATCTAATCTTAGTTCATTTACCATACATTGCCGGTCACTCCTTTTAAGCATAATCAGCAGTGTTTCGGATCCATATCATTTTGATTTGGATCCGGATCCGCGGATCCGCATCCGTGATGATGGATCCGGATCCTGATACGGATCCGGATCCCACCAAATGATACGGATCTGACCGGATCCGGATCCGGATACGAAACACTGATAATCAGAACAACAATTTGTTGAACTTGTTTGATTCCCAATTGTTTCTGTAGGATATCTTGATGATACAAAGCTTTAAAGGGTACCGTTGTGAATTGAGACAAAAACCGTAGTCCCTTCTACTCACACCATTTTAAACAAAGAAAGTTTCGAGAATTTTCTTCTAATGTTGTTTTTAAATCCAAAATGTAAATCCCTGATTTTCTCTTACTTAATTCCTGTTATTTTTAGATTGAGCGACGTAGATTACCCAAAGCCGATATTTTCAGCCTTGGATTAACAGTGTTCGAAGCTGCCAGTCTGAGAACGCTTCCAAGGTAAGACTAAATCATAAATTTGAAGATTTGAAAAGAGAAGTTTCTTCGATATTGAAATGCAGCATTTTAAAAAAAAAAATAGAAATATATTTTTTTTGTTTGAGAAGATTTTTTTATAAGATTAAATTAATTGTCCTCGTTTAAGCCACGTTTTTTAATAATTATGATAATAATGATAGTAATAATAATAAACTATTTTGTTCTAGGAATAGTCAAGATGATCCTGATTATGAGAAATTAAAACGAGGAGAGCTCCCTTACCTTGATCAGTATTCAAGAGAGTTCAATCAACTTCTCAAGGTAAAAATGACAATTTAATTTGTAAACTTGTAAATTTTTTAACTGTTTGGTAGATTTTGTTCACAAGCTTTGGGGAAATACATGATTTTAATGGATTATTAATTCAAAATATCAATAGTGAAGAAAAGCTGCTAGGTGTTGTCAAATTTTCATTTAGCTGAATTCGACTGAGCATAACAGTTTTTAATCTCATTTTAAAAATTTGGGACAATATCAAGATTTTGTAGAAAGTCGTCATCATTTGGTAGAAAGTCGTCTTCATATGGCTAAGGTTTAAATTCCGAGGTCGCAAGTAATAGGACTCCTTCACTGATGCTAAGGAGTTGATGCTTTGAGAAGTAGTTCAGCTCGTCAATGTTCAACTACTTTCGCTGTTTAGATAATCTGATCTCCGATCATCTCTAGATTTTATTATATTTTGATTAAACCCTTTTATTTTAGAGTATGGTTCACCCTGATCCTGGTTCTAGACCTAGCTCTACCCGTCTCCTCGCCAACTCTTCCCTCAACCCCTCAATGAACAAGAGTAGGTCCCAGCTCTACAAGGAGCTGAGGGAGGCCAAGGAGAAGGTTGCCCTCCTGGAGAAGATTATTGTAAACACACCCCGAGATATGGCCCAGAATAAGGAGAATAACGAACCTGGACGCAAGGTCGCGAAGCGCCTGATAGGTAGAGGAACAGCCAAATCCAACTCTTGTCTGTTATAGACCTGTACCAAGGGATTCAAATACGATCCGTCAATTGGAATTCTCGTGTCAAGATTGAAGAACGCTTATAATCCACTTCCTCATTGTGACATCTGGATTTAAAGTTGTTAAGGGTCGACTCCTGACCAATTGTGGCGACTAAGCTGATCCATCCGTTCAAAATTTGTTCAGAAGAAACTAATCCCTTCAAACCTTCCACTCTGCACTCAGTCGAAAAATCAAATAAATTTTATGTCGTATAAATTAGATATAACGGCATTGCCTGATCAACGTCACTGTAGCCGGGCAGCGCCGTGATTACAATAACCTTAAACCGTCTTCCTCGACATTCATATTTATACTCTTCTTCTTCTATCTCTTTCTAATGTATGCTGCTTCTATCACGTTGTAAAATAAATTGCCTCGCCGCAGACGAAAATTTCAAGTTTTGATTTGTAATCTGAACTACTGACAATTCCAATCCGGCGCTAATGACTTCAATGGATCAACAGCATTTTATTCATATTTATTTGTCTTTCAAAATTATATAATGTTATGACCAATTGTGATTTATTTGTAAACATCTCGCTATGTTTTATTCACCTTTTTTATATTTGGACACCGTCGATGGTTTAGAAATTCTATGGTTCACTGAGCTCCTGAAATTAGGATGAACTCGGGGATTTCTGGTCCACCGACACTTGTTTTATTATTTATTGATTTGATTAAATATTTGTGTAATAATTCGACTTTTTATTTGTTAAGTCAGTTATTTTGGTAGATCAGAGATAGGTAGGTCTACGAGTTTAGATTTTATAACCGATATACATGTTGTAAGAGATGCAGAAATTGAAACACATTTTTTATAGAAAGAGCTTTTTTATTTAAACAAATAAATTTAAATAGCGCTTCATAATCTTAACTCGTAATTTGAATTTGTATACTGTTGCTAATGATCAGATAAATCTTCATTTGTAGTCTTAAAAAATTGATCAGTCCTGAGTAGAGCCGCAGTACTCGAACATGAAAAAGTATACAATATCTTTATTCTGAAAATTAAGGATGATCATTTTTAGGTAATTTCTTCAAAGTTTGTTTTTAAACAAGGCTATTTCTTATCATTTCAATGAAACGTAATTTGTCAGCTTTTTTATTCAAGATAAGAACTGGGAGTGAATGTATAGTAGTATCCCGTCTACGGACCAATGATGAAGAATACATCTAAGGTCGATCTATCCATTTAATATGGTGGTGTACTATACTTTTCATAAGTAATGTACTAATTATTTCTTTGTATTAAAATCAAACAACACAATTATAATTTTACATATCACAGGTTTTTGCACACTTTATCATAAGTGGCATGTATATACTTAATTGCAGGTTAACAAAACATGAAATATTTAAAAAATTTTATCAAGCCCTTGTTGAACCAAGTATTTTAACTGTGGCAACAAAAATAAAATTAATAACTGAAGCATTATTTTTGCATCTTGGTCCAATCATATATAAAGTAATAATACATACCCGTCCTGAAAGTACATATAAATCGTACGACTATTCATTTTTTTCATTAGAAAGGCTATAAATTTGGGGGGGAAAGGATAAAAAATGCTTCCGCAGTTTATAATATAAAACAAAATGTTTGTTACGTCGTTCGGAAGTTTGATATTACGAATAAAATATTGGAAAAACTGCGATATCTTCCACATTATTGATCTGATCAGATAAAGATTTCAAGAGCACTGTTGAAAATCGGCAATACGAATCTATAAATGGACAGTTACTTAAAATGTAAAAAAACAGTCTCTTTACATTTCAACAAAATTTACATTTTTCAAGTGTTTGTGCAACTTTTATATAAATAATACAGACATTGAAGTAAAAACATTATTTGGGGGTTGGAGTCTTAACATTTTTTAATTTCATGCTTATTTACGTAGAATAAATGCGTTCTGGGTTGAAAATAATACTCAGATTTTAACTAATACTTAAGAGTTTAATTAAATACTTAATGTTACCATTCGGAGAAAATACTTAAATTTTGTTTCTGATTTTGAACGATTTAACGAATAGTTTGTTTGACTTTTTGAAAAGAATATTTGGAATTTAAAATTTGTATAAGATATCCATGGCATTCTGTTTGTAACAAAATATTCGTTACATAAAATATTCGTTTGGTTGTTCGATAATAAGAAATAATAGTTCACTAATAACTTATTAAATCACTTATTTTAAGTGAGTTTTTTTGATGATCAGTGTATTTTTTTGATCGATGTATATCTTATTGCTTGAATAACACTTCAGATTGAGTTTATTGTGCTTGTTGAGGATGGAATGATCACTTCGGTTTCAACAGATTACTTATGGTGGTTCAGGTTTTTAAGTTTAAAGGTTTGACTCTGGGTGGGATAGATTACTGGGTACTGGATTCAGGTTTGAAGGTGGAACGATAATATCTTTAAACTTATTAAAGTTCTTCAAAACATAGCTCGGAGCAAACTCAATCTAAAACAAGAATAAATATTTAAATGCAAAAATTTGGGTCTCCCTTCCCTTTTATGGTAGTAAATATCCAAATCAAGTATATAAGTATTATATCCAAGCTTGTCTGATCACTAAACCAGGGGTAAGTTAATCCAGTTCAGTTTCTTCAGACTTAATCTAATAAAGTTTCTCAAGACTTAATCCAGTTTAGTTTCTACAGACTTAATCTATAGTTCTGTTGCTCAAAAAAAAAATCATTTTAGTTTCTTCAAGATTTAATCCAGTTTAATTTCTTCAAGATTTAATCCAGTTTAGTTTCTTCAGACTTAATCCAGTTTAGTGTCTTCAAGACTTAATCCAGTTTAGTTTCTTTAGGCTTAATCTAATAAAGTTTCTTAAGACTTAATCCAGTTTAGTTTCTACAGACTTAATCTATAATTCTGTTGCTCAAGAATTAATTCATGTTAGCCTCTTCAAGACTTAATCCAGTTTAGTTTCTTCAAGACTTTATCCAGTTTAGTTACTCAAGACTCAATAAAGTTTAGTTTCTCAAGACTTAAACCAGTTTCGTTCCTCAAAACTTAATCAAGTTTAGTTTCTCAAGACTTAATCCAGTTTAGTTTCTCAAGACTTAATCCAGTTAAGTTTCTCAAGACTTAATCCAGTTAAGTTTCTTTAGGCTTAATCCAGTTTAGTTTCACAAGACTTAATCTAATAAAGTTTTTCAAGATTTAATCTAGTTTAGTTTCTTCAAGACTTAATCCAGTTTAGTTTCTCAAGACTTAATCCAGTTTAGTTTCTGATTACTTAATGTAGTTTAGTTTCCCAAAACTTAATCCAGTTTAGTTTCTGCAGACTTAATCCAGTTTAGTTTCTTCAGACTTAATCCAGTTTAGTTTCTCAAGACTTAATCCAGTTTAGTTTCTCAAGACTTAATCCAGTTTAGTGTCTGATGACTTAATCTAGTTTAGTTTCTCTAAACTTAATCCAGTTTAGTTTCTGCAGACTTAATACAGTTTAGTTTCGTTAGATTTAATCCAGTTCAGTTTCTTTTAGACTTAATCCAGTTTAGTTTCTCAAGACTTAATCCAGTTTAGTTTCTCAAGACTTAATCCAGTTTAGTTTCTGATGACTTAATCTAGTTTAGTTTCTCAAAACTTAGTTCAGTTTAGTTTCTTCAGATTTAATCCAGTTTAGTTTCTCAAGACTTAATCCAGTTTAGTTTCTGATGACTTAATCTAGTTTAGTTGCTCAAAACTTATTCCAGTTTAGTTTCTGCAGACTTAATACAGTTTAGATTCATTAGAATTAATCCTGTTCAGTTTCTTTAAGAATTAATCCAGTTTAGTTTCTCAAGACTTAATTCAGTTTAGTTTCTGATGACTTAATCTAGTTTAGTCTCTCAAAACTTAATCCAGTTTAGTTTCTTCAGATTTAATCCAGTTTAGTCTCTCAAATCACCACTAACCCATTGTTTATATTTTTTTGCATTAATCATAGTTTTACCAGCAAAGAATGAGACTTTCTGATATTTTAATTCAACTTCTTTGTATAATTTTAAACTATTCATAGATAGTACAGGGCGTCAAAAAGAAATTATCATTCTTTGAAAAAAAAGTAAAAAAATTACCAATCTGAATTTGCTGACAAGATCGAACCAGGTTCCAGATTCTCTGATTTTATTCAAATTGAAATAATCAAAGTTCAAAAGATTGTTCACAAAAAACATTAAAGGATTTGAAATAATAAAATATTAGTTTTGTTTTGAGAAAATGATGACTTTTAAAAAATTTATTTCTCTTATTTTATGAAAAATCTGTGTGTACTAAAAATCTAAGAAAATAAAAATGAAATAAAATTTTAAAAAAAAATTTAATGGATCTGAATTTAATCCCTGATATTTTCTATAAAATCTGGCTCAACTTTTTCAGGATAATCTCCCCACCTATTGTTAAAATCGATTAAGACGAACTTAAACAAATCTTTTCTAAATGAAATACCGTCTGTTTAGCATGTATGGTGATCGTGATAAGCTTTATTAACATGTTTTCTAGAAACTGCAGTTCACATTATTTTATCCAAGGTTGTATTTTACTCCTTGTCTCGGTTATTATTTGATTTGAATTTTGATAGAATGTTTAGTAATTTTGGGAAATTGTTGATAATGTCTAAAAACCTATCGAAGGAAGAAAGGCCAACCATGAAAATTTCTCGTCCGAGCCACAATACTCCTCATTTTATCGCCCGAGCCACCTTAAAGTTTTCGTCTCTTTGGGAGGACAAAGATTGGGACAATGTTGCTCGGATGAGAAATTATTGTGGCTGACCCCCCCCCCCCCACCTTGGTCCATCATCTGATTGAGCCGAGATTAGTTTATTTTGTATTCCAGGTATAGGCATACACCAGGAACAGTGGTAACCAGCATAGTGACCGACAGATCCAATAGTCCAACTTTCTACCTGCTCAAAATTAATCAAATGTAATAATGATAGTTAAAGAAAAATAATAATAAGTAGATATAAAAATAGCAGTAACAACAATAATAGTAATAGAATTATAAATTAGCAATAACAAAAAACAATTTTTAAAGAAAACTTTTTAAATTTTATTCAGCCTTTGTTACCCCAAGGTCTGGGTTGGTAAGCTATAAATTAAATAATGATAATAATAATAATAATAATAATAATAATAATAATAATAATAATGATAATGATAATGATAATAATAATAATAATAATTTTACCGTAATATTCTGTTCAGCTATTGATTTCGCATACTTTGCTTTTTTGTGTAACTTTTGTCTAAAAGCAAATATAGAGGTTAATATCGATTTCTAAATTAAATAACGTCATTGCATTGCATTGAAAATAAAAGGCGCAAAGCGCCAAGAAAATTTTCAACTATACTTTTTAAGGGGGAAAAACCCCTTTGATGATGAGGGCAAGCTCTTTTTTATAACCTAGAACACCTGATTTTTACCTTAGCCCAAAAATCCCAGGGGGGGCAAGAGGACTACTGCCCCCCCCCTGTGTACGCTACTGTGGTCCAAGTAGCGCCAATGTAGAAGTTTAATTTTAAAAGTCTTACAAAAAGTTTCTGAAAAATGAATCCGATGCCCAGCCCTATAGGTCCAAGTCATATAAAATCGGCCACAACTTTAAATTGGGATTTTCGGGACAAAAAATTCTTAAAATTGAATCATTAAAAAAATATTCAAGGCTGTTAAAATAAGTTATGAATAGTTCAGTAATTATTTTGAGGTTTATATTTATATAAAACAAAATAATAAATTATATTATTAAGAAATTATTATTCCCGTTTTTTCTGGGTAAAAAAAATGTGAAGGAAACGATAGAAAAAAATGTATTACAATTTCTAGAAGCTCGCCGGCGTCGCCGCATCCTCTTTCAATTTTGACACTTAAGAAATTGAAATTTCACTTCAATATCTTTGAATCCTTAAAAAGTTGAAAAATCCTAAAGATCTTCAATATTTTACCTTATAGACCAGAAACTATCATTAAAGATATTGTGTACCAGCTTCCATGTCCCGGCTGCAGAAACCTAAAATACGCAATCATATTTTTAAAAATACGCATTAAGCCATTTTACTTTTAACAATAAACAAGCTTAGATAGGAAAACTTAAGGTAAATCCGTTTAAATTTTGTAAATTCCCTTTACTAGAGATAATCTTAAATAGTTTCTAAAATCTTAACACCGACCAATGAGAATTTCCCTTATTCTAATCAAGTGCTTCCAGCTATCTAATTACAGTTTAGAGTTTTCATTATTGGAAATAAATTTAATCATAATTCTAAATATATGAAATATTAAATAAAGTAGAGCCTGAATAAATGAATAAGATTACTTAATTTCGATGATAAGAGTTAAGTTTTATTTTTTTAACCTGTTCCTATACAACTAATTAGTATATTATAGAATTTTTTGGTTCATTTTCGTGGTCGTCCTTGCATATTTTAAATAAAACCGATTCTCAAAATCATCCCTTCAAAATGAACAATCTATGAGGATTTTAGAGGTTGCATTTGCGCTCTTACTGAACAATGCACCGTAAAAAAAGTGAGATAGGTCTTAAATGAATCCTAAAATATTTCCCACTAATACTGCAATCTCAGTTCGAATACCATATATTCACTCCCTTTAAACTCAGATATAAAATACTTTGAAATTACAGTGGTCGGCCGCGGCGCTTATATGAATACAATGAAGACGACCATTCTGATCTTCTCCCTTCTCGTTTATAGCGAGCCAATAATATCCAAAAACTGTCCATCTAAAATAAGTTTTTCTACATTGCAAAAAAACAAAAAATTTGAAAATGTACCAAAAGTACCTGTACAAAAAGTTGATTGGCTCCGGGAATCCTTGAAAATATTTGAGGAACTCGATAGTTTCTCTAAATTCTGATCTTAAAGCTTTTCAGAAAAATTCAAAGCAACAAAATAATTCACTAAAACTTTGGATTTTTAGGGTTGTTAAAGTGTTTAAGTGTTAAAGTGTAGATTTCAAGTGACCCCCCATTTAGAAATTTGCATTTACGATTCTCAAGGGAACCCTTAAAAGCTTTTCAATTAGGTTTTCTCTTTACTTGAGTGACTTTCGCATTTCTTCTGCAAAAAAACAATTCAGTACTGATAAGAATCAAACACTTTTCACTCTAAACTTTATCTTTTATATTGTAAGATTAAGATTTCTAATGAACCGTTGTGAATCGAGACTTTATGTTTCTTAATAGTTTCATATTAACATGATTAAATTAATATTTGTTTAAATGCTCTAAAAGCCGGCTTGTTAGCAGCTGACTTTAATTCAATTGGATATTAGTCCAATTTCAATATAGCATTGTATCTGTAATTTTTATTAAACGAACCTTTTAAACAGCAGATATATACAAAACGAGGATTATAGGAAGAAAATCAAAAGTGCGTACATTGAATAATCAGATTAAGCGATCGTGATTAAGGATATCTCATTCTAAAGTTTTCAGTTCAGAACTGAAAACTTTAGAATGGTGGATATCGATATCAATGCTTGATCCTGTTTTTTTCTTAATCTCTAAATTAAATAAGGCTTGTTCTCCTCTTGTTATTATCTCAAGATTAATTAACCGATCGTGATTAAGGATATGTCATTCTAAAGTTTTCAGTTCAACTCTCTTTTTTTTAATCTGGAGACTAACCTAATCTTGTGTATCCCGAAAAGTTTAAAAAGTTCAACCAATCAGAGTGGCGTATCAGAAGCAGGGAAATTAAAATTTTGCGCGCCGTTTAATGAGAGCTCTATCTGGCTCTATCATCTGATTAAGATTAATTTGGAAAAACCGGGGTTTGAGTTTAAATCCAGTACAACGGTATACACAAGAGAGGATTATAAAGAAAATAAAAAGTGTGTACATTGGATTCTCAGATTAAGCGAACGGGATTAAGGTTTTCAGCTCAGTATGAATGAACTCAGCGCAGTGAAATTTGGAGATTTAATTTTTATTTTTTGACTTTATTATTTTCCTGTTGGGTATTTCATCTGCATCGTTATAAACAATGATATCATCATCCTCCAGGCCATGGATTCTAAAATTAGATTTCAGATCAAAAAAATTGTATTAACCCTATCGCGAGGGGGGAGAGGAATGTTTTCTACCCCCCCCCCTCCCTCCCTTGTGGTCTTTTCTTTATAATTTAAAATCGGCTTACATCAACACGCTCAAACTTTTTAATTTTTTTTATCTTCATCTATATATATAAAGTTGTAATCTCTGTCTGTTTGTTTGTCCGATCATAACTCATGAACCCCTGGACCAATTTGCCCCAAATTTTAATTGGGGAACTCGGGAGACTCGCGGAAATATTCTAAGCCTGTTTTTGAGATGTTAAGTTGAGTGGGTCGACTTTAAAAGCGAAAATTTAATTTCTCGGTAAAATCGTTCTAGTGCGGGTAAACGGCTGGAGTAACTTTTAGTAACCTCGGAAGCGCTGGGTTCCCAAGCTAGTATAATATATAGTTGTGGATAAGTTTTGTCGGATTATTTTATGCTTTAGGGTAGGGTGGAGGACGGTTTAACGGCTGGTCAGTGGTCAGTGTTTCAAAAAAAAATATTTTGATAAGGAGCTAGGGATTTATAATTCCACTGGAGGGATTCAGATATACTTCCATGAGATTTGTAATTCAACTGGAGGGATTCAGATATCCATCCTTACCTAATTGAATCCCTCCAGTGGAATTATAACCCCCCGGGAAGGATATCTGAATCCCTCCAGTGGAATTATAAACCCCCAGGAAGGATATCTGAATCCCTCCACAGTGAAAATAAAATCCCTCCGGTGGTCTCCAGTAGAATCGAAATCTTACTACGAACTTCTTTGAGTCGATAATATTGCATTCCACCGTAATACATTATGACCCAATAAACAGAAGAATACGTAGATGACTCAGGAGAACCAGGCCTAATGTTCTAAGCTTGCTTAACAATTCTAAGTTTGGAGTGGATTCAAGAAAAAAAACGGGGTTTTTGGGTCCGTTTTCGGGTCAGTTTTTGCATTTTAAGTTCAAAATTTGACAAAGTATTGTTTAAGAACACATGTTTTCTTCTATACATGTGTTCTTTTTACACTGTGCCAAACTTTGACCTTGACAAAATATTTCTGCAGAACGGATCCGAACCGATTAAGAACAGTACCTGGGAAGTCCATGTTTGCCCAGGTATTTTCTAGGGAAGGAGTCTGCAAACCATCCATCTCCTTTACCCTACAATACATTCAATTCTGAATATACATGGTTAACCACAAAGAATGAGACTTTAATGACGCCAACACGTCTTTCTTGGTCTTAGATCTTACCATCTTGGTTCTATGCAGCTATAAACTTGTGAATATTTTACAATCTTGGTTCTATGCAGCTATGAACTTGTGAATATTGTACAATCTTGGTTCTATGCAGCTATAAACTTGTAAATATTTTACAATCTTGGTTCAATGCAGCTATAAACTTGTAAATATTTTACAATCTTGGTTCTATGCAGCTATAAACTTGTACATTTTTTACAATCTTGGTTCTATGCAGCTATAAACTTGTGAATATTTTTCAATCTTGGTTCTATGCAGCTATAAACTTGTAAATATTTTACAATCTTGGTTCTATGAAGCTATAAACTTGTGAATATTTTACAATCTTGGTTCTATGCAGCTATAAACTTGTACATTTTTTACAATCTTGGTTCTATGCAGCTATCAACTTGTGAATATTTTACAATCTTGGTTTTATGCAGCTATAAACTTGTACATTTTTTACAATCTTGGTTCTATGCAGCTATAAACTTGTACATTTTTACAATCTTGCTTCTATGCAGCTATAAACTTGTACATTTTTTTCAATCTTGGCTCATTGCAGCTATAAACTTGTACATTTTTTACAATCTTGGTTCTATGCAGCTATAAACTTGTACATTTTTTACCATCTTGGTTCTATGCAGCTATAAACTTGTGAATATTTTACAATCTTGGTTCTATGCAGCTATAAACTTGTAAATATTTTACCATCTTGGTTCTATGCAGCTATAACTTGTAAATATTTTACAATCTTGGTGCAATGCAGCTTTAAACTTGTAAATATTTTACCATCTTGGTTCTATGCAGCTACACTTGTAAATTTGTTTTTGACAAGGCCCATATCATTAAATATGACATTAAAAATATAATGTAGAAAATCAAAATGATTTTTTATGCATGGTTTTGTTTCATGTCAATAATTTATTCATCATTTATCATTCTTTGTTGTTAACACTGTACAGAAAACAACTATGGATGGATGTTTGTACAGGATAACCTTAAAAGGACCTTCGACATATTTTCTATTGACCCGGTCCATTGTATGCCCGATTTACAACGGTACCGTTTAAACCTTTATCTGGGCAACTATATATATATGTTGCTATCAGGAAAAGTGTTGAATTGGGATAATGTAATATTTTGTCTTTGTTTCATAGACCCGCAATGGAAAAACCAAATAATGATGTTTTAATTATTTTTAAAAAATCTATTTTATTTTAGTTTTGTAAGATGAAATAAACTAGGCTTTTGGAATGTTTCGTGTCCATTCCGACCATCCTGACCATCCTAAGCATCCTGACCATCCTAACCATCCTGAGCATCCTGACCATCCTAACCATCCTGATCATCCTGACCATCCTGAACATCTTGACCATCCTGACCATCCTGACCATTTTGACCATCCTGACCATCCTAACCATCCTAACAATCCTGACCATTCTGACCATCCTGACCATCTTGACAATCTTGACCATCCTGACCATCCTGACCATTCTGACCATCCTGACCATCCTGACCATCCTGACCATCCTGACCATCCTGACCATCCTGACCATCCTGACCATCTTGACCATCCTGACCATCTTGACCATCCTGACCATCCTGACCATCTTGACCATCCTGACCATCCTGACCATTCTGACCATCCTGACCATCCTGATCATCCTGATCATCCTGATCATCCTGATCATCATAACCATCCTGACCATCCTGACCATCTTGACCATCCTGACCATCTTGACCATCCTGACCATCTTGTCCATCCTGATCATCCTGATCATCCTGATCATCCTGATCATCATAACCATCCTGACTATCCTGACCATCCTAACCATCCTGACAATCCTGACCATCCTGACCATCCTGGCCATCCTGACCATCCTGACCATCCCGACAGTTATTGTTCACCAGAAAACATGTTCATTTTGTGAACTACAAATTGTTAAAGATTAAAAGTTTTAGATTTTGTAGATTTTTTTATTTTTCTATTTGATTTATTTAGATAAATTTAAGTTTTTACCTTTTTGTGGAAGAAATCCAAATACACCTGTAAAAAATTAATATAGATTTTTAAACGTTATTTCAGCTGCTGCTTTTTTTTAATTTTCTAGAAAATTGACATTAATTATTTACAGTTATACAATTTAAGTTTTAATTGTTAACAAGCTTTTTTCAATTTACAAGTTTACAAGCTTCCCTTGACTTCTATATTTAGGTGTATTAATGCTGTTTAACAGCTTGATATAAATCAAAATGGAGAACGAAAGTCGCCTTTATTGTATTGCTATATTCGCCTACCATGTATATAAATGGTTATGTGAAGTTAAATTATTTTGGTCGATTTTAAACTGTCACAACGCCTTCTGTAGCCCTGGACATGTACATTTTAGAACTAAAAATCACTTGTTACTATGCCATCTAAAAAATACTTTTTCTTAGTTTGTATGTCCGATTATAACTCAAGAACCCCCCTGGCTCGATTTGACTAAAATTTTGGTTGGAAAACTCTGCAGAACCACGGGAAGGTTCTTATCCTGGTTTATAAATTCTAGGTTGATTAAATGGGTTGACATTTATAATGAAAACTACAGGCAAAATGGGTTTTGAAGCCTATTACTTACATAAAGTATTTTATGTTGATATTTACTCAACCATCCAGACTTCAGCTTCTGGAAGAACAGAGTTTCCTTCTCATCTCCTCGTGCAGTGAAGCTAATAAAACATTTTAAAGGAACTGTCCACGTGATTTAAAACGACCCTCCAGTTAAAGAGAAGTAAACACAATTCACAACAATACCCTTGTGTATTGCACAGATTAGTAGATAGTCTTGTTTTCAAATCTGAAATTTGCTTTTTCTCTAAAAGTGACTTGAAGATTTATGCAGCTAAGAGAAGGTATGGAAAAGACAGAATTCAACAAATTTTAGGATAGAAAAATTGTTATTCAGATAATCATTTAAAGATGCTGTTGTAATTAAAGTATGTAACTTCTAATTCGGGGATTTACTTAAAATTACGTTGACGTTTCTGCATTTTTACCTGGATTCTCCAATTAGAAATACATCCACTGAATCCCAGTGCTCTTCAACACGAGATTCAAAAAAATCAAATTCTTGATTTACTAAAACAAATGTTGTTAAAACTAAAATTATTTCAGTTTTTAAACAAATTTGTCAACTTAAAAAAATATAAAATAACCTAATTTTTTTTATATTGTATAGAGATTATGCAAATGTTTGCGGAAATTTTTGCTTCCAAATTTGCATGTGGACGTGGTTTGCGCAAAAATTTGTTTTCGGTAAAACTATAAATGTTTTTTCTCAAAACAACCTTGAAAAGTAAATAGATGCTTTGAAAATATTTTTTATTTTCATATATATATACAGGGTAACCCACGCAAGATGCGACTTTAAAAACGACTTTAAACTTTTAAAACGTAATGATCCGATGGTTGAACTTAATTCCGTACAGTCCTCTCTGAGGTCTTATCCTTGTTGGTAACCCTCTATATTAGAAAAATCTTTACTTTAAATCGTATTTTCTTTTGAAAATCAATTTAAAAAAGCAAATTTATACATTTTTCAAAACATTATTTCTAAAAGGTTTTTATTTATTTGCAGGACAAGCAGTAATATCCCTTCATTTTGAATAATAAATAATGAAAGAAGGTTGAGGATATCATATAAATAATTCAGGTTTAAGCAGCACAAACAATAGAGGAAATGGACAAATTTCAGCTCTTTTTTAAATAGAAATACATCTAGATCGTCCTCATTAGTAATTTTAACTCAGATAAAGGTAAAAAGGTTGTGAATGAATCAAGCAGCTTTGTCAATGGTGATCAAATTATAAATTTCGACTGTCCCTTAAATATAACATTTTTCTACCCTCTTGGCATTAAAAAAACGACAGGCGTTGTTAACGTAATCCGAAAATTGTTTTGCAGTTTACTAATATTTAGATTTTAGGAAAATTAATTAGATAATCTAACAAAATTTAGAAAACTTCTTCTGTTCTAACTTTTTTCCTCTTTTTTGCCAAACTTGATTCTTTATTAAAAGTCTGTCATAATGAAAGAATATTAATACTCGAATTAGATAAATTTTATTTGTTAAAAGATCATTTTGCAAAAGGAACTGCAGATTGCTTTTTTATTCCAGATATCTATGCAACCAGAGCTGAAAAATTTAGAATGAGATACCTTTAATCCCGATTACTTAATTTGAGTATCCAATATAGACACCATTTTGATTTTCTTCTTAAACCGTTCTTTCTTTCTTATAATAGAGAAAAATCAAAAACCGGTTTTTAAAATTAGAGAGTACCTCCCGTTTCTGTATAAATTAATCTTAAATGGGGCGCAAAATTTCAAATTTATCGGCTTCATGAACGCGACTCTGATTGGTTGAATTTTATGCAGTTTTCAGGATACAAGTACAAGATTAGGTTAGGAAAAGAGAGGATCAAGCATTAATCTCGATATCCACTATTCTACAGTTTTCAGGATACAAGTACAAGATTATGTTAGGAAAAGAGAGGATCATGCATTAATCACGATATCCACTATTCTAAAGTTTTCAGGATACAAGTACAAGATTAGGTTAGGAAAAGAGAGGAGCAAGCATTAATCTCGATATCCACTATTCTAAAGTTTTCAGGATACAAGTCCAAGATTAGGTTAGGAAAAGAGAGGAGCAAGCATTAATCTCGATATCCACTATTCTAAAGTTTTCAGGATACAAGTACAAGATTAGGTTAGGAAAAGAGAGGAGCAAGCATTAATCTCGATATCCACTATTCTAAAGTTTTCAGCTCTGATGGTGTAAATTTTGATATTCATAGTTTGAAATGTTAATTAGGTTTACAACATCAGGTTGCAACAATTTAGGGATTAAAAAATGTGCTTGTGGTGAGTTATTAGTTTCTATAATGAATTTAAACCCGTAATTTTACGCAAAAAGTGACATCCAACACTTCCTACATATTGGAGAATGGTTGGACATTATTTTAGATTAAACAAATTAAATTTATAATTGAAGTTTACGTTTATTTGATTTTCATAACACGGGATGTAATGTTTTTTTTTATATTATAAATAATATAATATTCAATGTTTTTTCATATCATAAATAATAATAATTAATGATTTTTTTCATAAATAATATCTTTTTTTATATCATAAATTATATAATATTTAATGTTTTTTTTTCATTTATACTATACTAATAATATTTATACTATACTAATAATATTTTTACTTCAAATAGTATTTTTCGTTTATTTACCTATTAATGCTTGAATTATTCTTCTGGGCTTAGATCTTAGTTTAATATCATATCGTTTTGTCTAAACAAAAATCTAAATACACATTTGTATGATACGAAAAACGTAAAAAACGGCTGAACCGATCGGGCCATTTATTTGTTAATGGGTATATCTGGGCAGGTTTATTGTCGGTTAAAAATTAGTAATTTCTTATTTTAAAGATCTTAAAAATATTTCAATAAAAACATGAAAATCTGCTGATTTCGTTAGTTTTATGATGTACAAAGAAAACGTGGTGGTATTTGAAAGCAACATAAAAGCTAGACTAAAAAGAAAAAAGCGCGAAGCATCAATTTGTATGCGCGTAGAAATATTTTGTATGTAAATACTAAAACGCATTGTAAACCTAGGTTACTGCTTCATTATATGCATCATAAAGTTCTAAATGCAAAATATTGCTTTATTTGCTTATTTAAACCTACTGTTTTATGCCACATATAAACCATTGTATAAATACATATCTAGCAATATTTACTCTTGTGTTAATATAACCTTTAATCCTACTGTTTTTTTGCCACATATAAACCATTGTACATACACATCTAGCATATATTTACTCTTGTGTTAATATAGCCTTTAATCCTACTGTTTTTTGCCACATTATATTTACTCTTGTGTTAATATAGCCTTTAATCCTACTGTTTTTTGCCACATGTAAACCATTGTACATACACATCTAGCATATATTTACTCTTGTGTTAATATAGCCTTTAATCCTACTGTTTTTTGCCACATATAAACCATTGTACATACACATCTAGCATATATTTACTCTTGTGTTAATATAGCCTTCATTTTTTTTATTTAAGAAGTGTCTGGTAAAACTATTTGCTTCGCTACAACGTCAAATATGCACTTAAGTACTGCTATAAAGTCGTCTTCTATTTCAGAGTTTTCTGGTTATTACTGGTTAATAACAAATTCTTACAAAAGTCAAGTTGGTAACGCTCTGAGAAAAACACTTTTAATGTTATATCTATCATTTTGATTTTGTTTTTGATTGAGTGTTTAATTCAAAGGCAAAAAAATACGGATACGCAATTGCGAGCACCACACACAATGAACCTACCCAGCAGAATTAATGAAGGGGTTAATATGTGCGCATCGATATCTAACACTGAACACTTGTATATAGGGTATATATTTCATATATAAAGGGGGAGGGGGTAAATATTTTGATGGAAAGAGGTTGGAAACATTGAACAAAATTACATTGTAATTATTTCTAGAGAATGTTTAACATTGAATTACAGTCACATTCTAGCAACACTATAATACATAAATGTAAAAGGTTTTTATTCCTAACTATGTCAATCGTTTTTAAGTGTGTTTTTACTCAATTTCAAGTTAGCACTTAAAGGGAATGTTCTCGAAAAATGAAAGGTATCAGCAACACTCCCTTTAATACCCCTTTGTGTTTTGAATTCAATACCAAGTTAAAAAACAACAAAATAGAAAACAAATCATTAAAAAACGATTTTTCTGGGACAATGTTTGCGCAAGTCGCTTAATATAAAGGAATCAGCAATATCTTGGTCATTTTAACCTAAGTTTTATGGTTTTTGACCGTTTCGAAAGATTCTACGAAAATTTGGGAAATTTTCTTGTATTCTATCTTAGAATTAAAATTTAGCATGGTTTAAATTAACAAAATTAGACAAAAAATATTGAACAACATTGATTATAGTATTCCATAATATAATTAATATATTTACCACATCATTGAACCAGACTGATGATGGTATTCCACAATATAATTTATATAATTACCACATCATTGAACCAGACTGATGATGGTATTCCACAGCTCTCTCCAAAATAATTTCTTCGACAAACACATTGACCCTTAGCCTGGCTGTCAGTATACTTGCTTCCACTTTTATATTTTAAAAATCAAAAGAAAATTAAGCATTGCCATCTTTGCATTAAGGTTCACTTAAAATTACAAAAAAAGAATATTAACAAATTTACTTTTTCTATTAAGAAATTGAATCTGTAAAAGTAATTTAAATTTAAAAACTAGCATGTCCAGTTCACAATTCCATCATTCAAAGTTCAAGCATGAATATATTTATTGGCCCTTTCCTTTTCAACGTTATCATTTATTTACACCCCGGCCCTTTCCTTTTTCAACATTATCATGTATTTACACCCAGGCCTTTTCCTTTTTCAACATTATCATTTATTTACATCTCGGCCTTTACTTATTCAACATTATCATTTTTTACACCCCCCCGGCCCTTTCCTTTTTCATGATTATCATTTATTTACACCATGGCACTTTCCATTTTCAACGTTATCATTTATTTACACCCCGGCCCTTTCCTTTTTCAACATTATTATTTATTTACACCCCAGCCCTTTCCTTTTTCAACATTATCATCTATTTAAACCTCGGCCCTTTCTTTTTTCAGCGTTATCATGTATTTACGCCCGGCCCTTTCCTTTTTCAACATGATCATCTATTTAAACCTCGGCCCTTTCCTTTTTCAACATTATCATGTATTTACGCCCGGCCCTTTCCTTTTTCAACATTTTCATTTATTTACACCTCGGCCCTTTACTTTTTCAACATTATCATTATTTACACCTCCGGCCCTTTCCTTTTTCAACATTATCATTTATTTACACCCCGGCCCTTTCCTTTTTCAACATTATCATTATTTACACCCCAGCATTTTCCTTTTTCAACATTATCATTGCAAAAAATCATGATATGATTTTTGATATTAAGTAAATTCTTTTTTTTCGACTAAAATCTAATAAACAAGCAATATAACGAATAAAACAACTTTGTTGAATGAATGAAAATAATTATAAATGTTAACTGACATAAATTCAATATTCAGTTTTATAAGTATAAATATATATATTCCTAGCATAGCACACCGTAGCTCCAGCAGTAAAAACACTTTCATTTCTGTTAATTAAGAATGTGTAAACAACATTTTTAAGTTTAAGTAATTTCTTTTTTTTCCTGTTTGTTCGTTTGTTTGGATCTCCAATCGCCACAAACTTTAACTTTATAATCCCTATTGCTTAGCAACCTGATGATGTAACCATACTTCAGAATGCATTGCTTTAAATATCAAAGGTTTTCGACGTCAGTTTTCAAAGATTTAGTTCAAGGTTAAAAATACTAGACGTTTGTGACAAGTGTTAAGTTTCTTTAAAAACATTTGTTAACACCGTCCAAATTTTTTATTTAACTTATAAAATTTATAAAATTTATATATGTTTTATTGGATCGAATGGCTGAAATTATATTTGTTTAACAGCAGAAACAAAATTCACTGGAACTGGGTTATTTGATTAAGGTTGTTAAAAATTAAAAGTGCTTTCGCTGACAATCGATTTAATTTTGATGTTTCAAATTATAAATTCTGCAAAATTAAAGTTTGAAATATCGAGGGATTATGCAATATACAGGGTGTAGTACGAAACATGACAGTAGCAAGACGATTTAAAGGTCATCTTTGATTTTTTAAATAATTTCCGACATTTATTTGTTAAACTAATCTTAAAATTGAAATTCTAAGGTAGGTAATAATCACAAAATACCTCTAATCTTGGCATTTCCAAAATGGGGTCTGCCTTTTTTGTGCTTTTATTGTTACCGGAGATTTGAAAAATTTCGTTTAGATTTCGACAATTTTCGTTTTATTTAATAAAAGTGAAATTCTGAATATATTGAGGTAATTTTGACAGCTCTAAAAAGGCAGACCACATTTTGGAAATGCCAGAACTAAGAGAATTTTGCGGTTTTGTTTCAAGAATCATACATGTTAAAGTTGATTAACGGCTAAATGCCACACAAAAATTTATGTCAAAGACGACTTTCATGTTTTCTTGTTGTCTTGCTACTGTCATGTTTCGTGGAACACCCTGTATATCCTTTGTTAAAACATACAGAGATATATATACAAACATATTCTATCCTTTAAACATACAGAGATATATATACAAACATATTCTATCCTTTAAACAGGGATATATATACAAACATATTCTATCCTTTAAACAGAGATATATATACAAACATATTCTATCCTTTAAACAGAGATATATATACAAACATATTCTATCCTTTAAACAGAGATATATATACAAACATATTCTATCTTTTAAACAAAGATATATATAAAAACATATTCTATCCTTTAAACAGAGATATATATACAAACATATTCTATCTTTTAAACAGAGATATATATACAAACATATTCCATCCTTTAAACAGAGATATATATACAAATATATTCTATCCTTTAAACGGGACTGCAGACAACTGACCCTAAGTTTATCATTTAGAGTGTCATGTCCGATTCACAACGGAACCATTTAATCCTTGGCCTGAACGATAATAAACGAGACATCTTTATTTTTCTCTCGGAAATTTGAATATTTTCAATTATGGTTTCAGTATACAGTGACATAGAGGTTCGAAGGAACTTGTGATAAATAAACACTTTCAAATTCAGAAATTTTAAAATCTTCCTAATTATTGAAAATATACAGGTTTAAATGGCACCACTGCAGAATTAGACATACCACTCCATAAACGTAGGTTCACATAAACGTACGCCTAACCACAATTCCCTAAATTTTACAAAAAGATTATTTTTGTTTGCACATTCCTAAACTCCGGGGGTGGAAGGGTTATTGAATCATTTCTCCAATTCTCTTTTTCCCATGTTTTATACTTCCAGACTAACTCAGGCTCAGACAACCTTTATTAACAATGAAAACCAATTAGATTCTGGTTTTTCACTCAAAAAAAATTAATCTTTTACGTTGATTATCGCATCTATACCTATAATCTTGAAAGAAGTTTGACAAAAATTTGTTCAATACCTTTATAGAGAAAATAAAATCGGTATTAGTTTCAAAAGGAATTGAGTTTTTGACACAAACTTAAATTTGTTAATCCCTTTATCTTTGCATCATAATGGTGAAAACATTCAATATTTCATACTTAGATTATTTGATCTAACAGAATTCATAGTTTGACATATATAAGGTCTACTCTAAAACATTAGGTTGAACAGATATATGGGATTGATTTGAAAATCAGAGTTTTTGGTAAAGACTCAATTTCTTTGTTCTGAATTTGAAAATGTTGAATTTGAATTTGAATCAAATTTATGATATTTGCTTTATATTACAGATCATATATTACTAAAAAAAATCCTTCCCTGTTGATATTGTTCACCTATATAAGCTATAGATGTAAAATGGGGGGAGGGGGGGGGGAGCTGAAAATATTTGTTAATATTTACATTAATATTCACTTTTATTTACAAGAAGGTTGGGGGGAGTGTATTCTAACCGGAGTGTTGCGTTTTTGTCAAGCAATAGACAAATGATAAGCACTGATAGACATGACATTTACACAGGCTGATCCAATTAAAGTGCGGAAAGGATAGCTCTAGTTGAGAGAGAATTTTTTACTGAGCCAGTGAACCCAGAGAATACAAAACAAGAAAGGAAAGGGTAGGCGGAAGAAAATAGACACAGGAAAACAAAATCAATTCTTAAAAGGAAAAATTCCTTAATTTCTTTCTTTTTTCTTTTGATGACTGACTGAGAAAAGTACAAAAGAACATAATTCAATTATGTTTGAAAATCCAGCTTTCTACAAGTCATTAGCAAATCAACGCTACGATAAACAAAAATCATTATCAGTTAACCAAACCTAATAGTTAAGCCCAAGGAAAAATAGGAAGCTAAATCAGCTCGCGTAATGTAAGTGTTCATATAATGATACCCATGGTCAAAATAAATTATTAAAGTTAATAAAACATTGATATTTACTTATAAAAACTGAGAGGAGGGGGGGCCTGGAAAATATCTATTTGATCCTGATGATATTGAAATTCAAATATAAAATCTTGGCATATATAATGCTGGAGCTGAGAGGAAGGGGGGTCCTAAAAATGTCTATGTGATCCTGATGATATTATAATTTACCTATAAAAACTTGGTATATATAATGCTGGAGCTGGAAGGCTGAAGTTTCCAACCTAAATGGGGACTGTTCATGAAATCTAAAAGGAGGGTATGGAAACCAATAGTTTTTAAATTTCAAGTAGCTCATATATTCTTATGCATGTTTTTACGGACACTTAAAATATTTGATGATGCCATTAAAATGTAACATGTAAAACTACATTTTTTATCTAGTGTTACCCGTACAAAAGGACGAGCCTTTAATGACGACCTAAATCTAAAAGAATTTAACTGTCTAAAGGTGAGATTTTGGTTTAAAATTTAGTGTTGATGCTGGACCAAACCTCATAGAGTTAAAAAGTAAATGTTATAGTTCCACATTTTATTAAAAATATATTTCGGTCTGGGTTGACCCTCGTCAGTTCTTGAGATTGTTTCTCTCATAAAAAACTTTTTAGTTTCTACATTTCAAATAGTTTTTAAGGACTATGTGAAGAATGTCAGAAATAAAACTTAGTAAATTATATTGAGTAGTCTCTAAAGTTTCATCCTTTAGAGGTAACCCTGTAATAACTATAGACAGGTTACTAAAACAAAAACTTCTCTTATGATTAGAGTTTTAAGGGAAAAACCTAAGAAATCTATCATAAGCTTCAGAGACCAAGGTTAAAATTGTTGCAGGTGAATCAATTTTAAAATTTATAGGAACTGTCAGCGTAATTTCAAGTGACCCTCAATGCAAAGTTGGCAATGCCCGATTCACAACGGTACCTTTGAAAGCTTTGTCTGAACAAGTATTAACAGATATCAATCTTAACGATTTTGAAAACTGATCATTTTTAACTGTAGGCTTTCTACGAAAGTGACTTGCGCATTTCAAGTGCAGGGAAATGTTTAGAAATGATCAAAAATGTATTTTTACTTAAAAAAACGATAATATATTCCGCATTATTTATCAAATACAGGTTTTAAAAGGTATTGTTGTGAATCGTGCGTACATTGCCTTCTTTGAATTAAGGGTCTCTTCAAATTACACTCACATTCCCTTTAATTTTCATTCCCTTTTAATATTTTAGTATTAATTATTATGTTCATTAAAACTATTTATTAGATAGTTGTTTCTGATATTTTACCTCTAGATTTGAAAGGCTGTAAATGGATGTAAATATGATAAAGACGACCCCTACAAGAGGAAAAGTCACACTTAACCTAGATAATAAATTTATCAGTTTATCATTAGACAAAATTTCAAATTTAGCTGAAAGCATTTCGAAATTATCAATATTTTGTTAGAATTTAAGAACAAAAAGAAATAAGTTTTTGCCACAAACTTAAATTTTTTAGTCCCTATATCTTTGCAACCTGATAGTGTGAACTTTTGATATTTCAAACTTAGATTTAAACTCTAACTTTCTACATCTACGACAAAGATATAGAGATTAGAATTCAGAGTTTGTGGCAAAGACTCAGTTCAACTCCTTTGTTCACAGCTTTTGTGAAGACATAAATTGGTTGTTAAGAACAATTTGTCTCAAATCTTCCTTAAAATAAAAATACGATGCTTTTGATTATTGAAAGAAAACCAGATTCGGAATCCCATCATGTCCCATCGCTGTTCCATCCTGTCCCATTCTGTCCCATTCTGTCTCATCCTGTCCCATCCTGTCCCATACTGTCCCATCCTGTCACATCCTGTCCCATCCTTTCCCATCATGTCCCATCCTGTCCCATCTTGTCCAATCCTGTTCCATCCGGTCCAATCCTGTCCCATCCTGTCCCATCCTTTCCCATCCTGTCCCATTCTGTCCCATCCTTTCCAATCTTGTCCCATTCTGTCCCATCCTGTCCAATCCTGTCCCATCCTGTTCTATCTTATACTATCTTATACTATCCTGTCCCTAAAAGTCCTATCCTGTAGCTATGCTCAAAAATCGAATTTTTTTCTGTTAAAGTAAAATAAAATACTTTCCTCATATTTGAGAAAACACTTCTACTTCAATCCCAAAATGTTAACTGCTTCATTATTCCGCAAACCTCGAAATAGAAAAGAGTACTGATTACAAAGATTGCTTAAACAGAGGGCCAAACTTTAGATTTTTAAAACCCTAGAGCAAGCAGTTATCTGTTTATTTTGTTGTTCGAAATATTCAGCTCAGTCGTATATTGTATATATATATTGGTTGGAATCCCAGAAAGGATGATAACTAATATTGAAAGATCAATCATTTATCCCTAGAATTTTTACCTAAGTCGATACCAAGTGTTATATTATCGCAATTTACACAAAAAGTTTGACCTTAGGGTTTATAAAAAATGCCAATAAAGAAAAACAGTTTTACTGCAGTTTTGCAAACTGTCAAATCTTAAAAATATCTTTAAATAAAAAGGTATTAAAAATCACATTTTAGCATTAGCAAGGGGAAAGATAATCATTTGAAAGATTTCAAAATTCGCAATCAGTTGTAAAAATGTGAAGTTCTTATTGCAGGTAACCTCCAGCGGAAACAAACTTTTGCGCAATTATGCCCAAGCGGAGATGATACGCAATTCGGCGCAAAACTTGCGTAAACAACTGTTTAATCTAATATGTGGAAATTTCTGCTTTATAGTTTATAATCAAGCGACCAGTATTAGAAGCTTTATTTTATATATTAATTATTTCTGTTTCTTTTTCCAAATTATATTAAACTTGTTTTAAAAGAAGGTTCTAAACCATGTGGATAATTGAGTTTAATTATGATTATTTTAAAACCTGTCACAGCGTTTAGTTTTTGCTGGCGATTTGCGTAAATTTTTCTCTTGAAATTTCAGAAATATATTTCGCATAAGTTGGAATTTTTTCCTATCGCAATGTTTACGCGGAATTTGCACATTTTATTCGGAATTTGAGCATTTTTTCCAGTGGAACAAAATCCCTAGTTCGTAGTACTTAAGAATCTTAAAGACTGAATAATGTAAAAATTGAGTAAAACGCCAAACATCTGTGAAACTCTATGAAATATGTTTTATATACATCATTTAGAGTAGAGTAAATTCAAATGTAATAAAAATACGAAAATTAAATCTTAAAAGTTTTTTTTGTGACCTCTCATGATCTATAGGGAAGTTATATGGATGTTCAGAATTTAAAAAAAATTGTCCTGAATAAATTTCGACTTTTTTAATCCGCAAAAAAAATCATAAATCAGCAAAAAAAATTTAGTTATTGTTTTGATAACTTTAGAAGAGAAAATGCCGCAGATCTAGGAACAATTAAAGTCAAAACCGAAGACGGGTGCGAAGGGCCCTGCATTGTTTAATTGTTTAAAAATATAGAGTAATTACAATAGAGTATGCGGACATGAACAAGTGTAGTCCAATACTATGGATAGTAGAAATAAATTTAGAAAGCTGGACGCGTGGAACTATTCAAAATTAAGGTAATAAGTGAAGAAAATTTAATTGCTGTTGCGTATTATCTACGTACATATTGAAACCAGTTCTCTCTGGGCTGTGTTTGTAAACAAGAATAGATGAATCAGTGTTCCTCTAGTATACGAGGAGGATAAAAGCATTTAACTTAGATAATTTTGATAATTCACATAATAGTTTCCAATGACCTGAATATTTCTTTGATTTTTTATGACATCCGTCTTGTGTTTACTTTACACACTGCATTACAAAAAATGCGTACACCTCTGAAATAACTATCTTTACATTTCAATTCTTTGTTCAAAGGTTTGTAAACATATTATTTATTACTAATTCAAATATAGAGATGTCAACGTTTCGACTTTTTCGATTTTTAGCATACGTTACGATAAATTCAGCTTAAGCACATAACGTTAGAAAAGTTACGTTAGACATTTTTAAATAGTATTCCACAAAGAAACGTTACGTTTTGGATTTTATGCCCTTGAATATCTTGAACAGCGTTAGAATTATGATTTTTTTTTTTAGCTCCGTTACGTTTTGCTTTCACAATTTCAAAAATTTTCATAACGTTGTGTTAAAGTTTTATTGAAATTTGAACAAATTTACAACGTTACACATTTCTCTGAAATAGATTTTTTGTAGAACTTACGTTACACTTTAACACTATTTTATATCTTGAATCATACAAACGTTTCGTATTTCCATCACGTAGTTTATGCCTATTTCAGAAACGTTACGTATTAGAGCATTACTATGTTGCATTATAACGTTAAAATTTTCCATGATGTTAAGAATTATATATATACTACTTATGTTACACTTTTAAAAACTTAGTCGTCTAAATATTTTCCCCTTACGTTTACTGAACCCTTCCAGGTCTGGAAGTTTCTTACGTTACGCAATATCGAAACGTTAAGTGCTTGCCCTTTCCAACGTTACACTAAAGGGAACGTTAAGTGTATGTATGCTCTTTCTAACGTTACGTACTAGGGGAACATTACGTGCATACTCTTTCTAACGTTACGCAATGAGGGAACGTTACGTATATGCTCAACCAAACGTTACGCAATGTCGAAACGTTACATGCATGGTCTTTCGCTATAGGGAAACTTTAATGAACTTTCTAACGTTATGCTATAGGGAAACTTTAATGAACTTTCTAACGTTACGCTTTAGGAAAACGTGAAAATCTAGAAGTTTCTGACGTTACACTAATTTGAATTATTCAGGTCTGTTCTTCATGTTACGTAAAGTTACAACGTTAAGGTCTAATCATTTCAGCCATTACGCTTTTTAAAAATTGTTAAGAATGAATGATTTACACCATTATAGGCCACAGGTAGGTTTATCAATAAGTATACACATCTTTTTTTCTTTCTCATAAATAGAATTTCTTGCAATCTTTTGTACTGAATTGTTAAACCTGGTATTCTTCTGTAGTCAAAAATTAATAAACCTCGTCAAAAATAATTGATTTTTCCCACGGAAAGAAATTCTTAAAATATCAAGTTTTAATTAAAAAAAATCATTATCTTAAAGAATACGGTTTCTGAAATACAACAATTTCGATTTCAATCAAATCAAACAGGTTACTTTCAATAATCCTTGGTATACTTCTTGTCTAGGTTTAGCATTAAAACATTAGTAGATGTAGAATATGGTTTTATTCACAATTTCACATATAAATTTACATAATTAACACAAACAAGAGATTTAACAATTGTAATAGTGATATGGGTATCAAAAGTTGCCTCTTGAAATGCTGAACACCGCCCGTTTGGCCGATTTTCGAGATTTCAAAAATTGTTTTGATTAAGACTAACAAATATCATTCCAAAATTTTGCTACATTTGAATAGGATTCTTACGAATTTAACGTTTCTGAACTCAATATTTCAACACGGATTTTGTGAAACTCATCTTGATTTTATATCGACGATTTTTCTGGTTTACAATAGTGAGTTTGATTTACACAAAAAAGCAAAGACATGAATAAGTTTAAAAAGTTTGGAACTAGAAGGCGAAATTAAGTATTTTTATCAAAAAAAGGCCCATTAGTTTCACTAAACCTGGTGCTTAAAAAAAAACTGCTTCCACAGCAATGTTATTCAGGGTGTCACAATAAACATTAAAATTGATTGACACTAGTCACTACAGTGTCCTAGGGGGGTAGAGGTTTACTTTAAATGTTAAAAAATGGAGTTTTTTAAAAAATGAGAGGAAAACTCCAGACACCATGAACCTCCGCTATGCAGACAAGCCTCCCAGAGTTGCTAGGCAGACCAAGCCTCCGCTTTACAGAAATGAGCATGAACAATACATGAAAATGTGCCTGTGTAATACAGGAGGTTTATTGAAAATTGTTTTTAAAGTTTAAATAAAAAAGTTGAAATAAAATATTTTTTCTCATATGAAAGTATTTATCGATTATCATAAATAGTGGCTAATATTGTTTAATGAAGTGGTGTATAAAAATTTGAACATTTTTCACACTAAAAAATTCTGTATAGCGTAGGTTTGTTAACTGGATCGGTCCACCTAGCAAGTCTGAGTATCTCGGTATCTATATAGTGGAGGCTCATATGGTCCATTTTCGATTTTCATACATCAAACATCAATGTAAAAAATGTTAATTATTTTTTTGGGAGGGTTCTGCGGTATTTTCAAGGCATATTGGAATAATAAAAGTTACATTAAAGGGAGTGACCGGCTATGTAAGGTAGTTGCACTGAGTATGCAGTGTTGTGGATATTTCGGATTCATTTGAGACATATTAAAGATCTGTTAATCCAGAGTTTGAGCGCAAATTCGATGGTCAAAACTCCTTCTTTGGGTGTGGATACGTTTTCAGAATTAGTTTTTTAAAATTATTAAATAACGACGTCATAAAATGTAAAAAAGGTCTACCTTAAACTACAGACATCATGAATAGGAACATGTTGAGAAAATAAAAATTAATCTTATCATCGAAAATAAGTAATCTTGTTCAATTATTAGTTTCTATTTTCTCATTATTCTGGTTTCTCATTCACAAAGATTTTCGCAGATCTTCTAGAATTATTATCGAAAAGACGAAATTTTAAGATACTGAAGAAATCTGCGAATAATTTCAAAGAAAATAGGAAATTCAATATGATAAAAAAACGAAATAATCGACGTTAACGTTATATAGAATATATCCAAACGTTACACATTATCCTAACGTAACGTACAAAAACGTACATTTTACGTTACGTTACACTATCGTTGACATCTCTAGCAAATGAACAAAAAAAAACTAATTATTAGAAATTAGTCTTAAGTGTATTAAACTACATTTAAGTATAAAATAAAATTTTGAATTTAAAGATTTAATAACAATCAATTCTGTATCTCTAGTCTGGGATCCTAAAGCTAAACTCTAATCTGTTTTATGATTAATATTTCTAATTTCTTCATGCAGGTAGATAAACTGTCAGTATTTATGACAGTGCACTAGGGGCCTATACAGCGGGGACAATACACCCCCCCCCCCCCCCGAATTTACATCGTACCCAAATATAAACCCACATACATTTCCAACAATTCCTGTTTTCGCAGTTGATATTTCCAACAATTGATATTTCAAGATTTGGTATTTCCGAAGTTGGATTTTCAGGAGTTGGTACTTTATAAGGTGGTATTTCAGGAGTTGAGTTTTTTAGGAGTTGGTATTTTAGGAGTTGGTATTTTAGGAGTTGGTATTTCAGGAGTTGGGTTCTTTAGGAGTTGATATTTTAAGAGTTTGTACTCTAGGTTTTGGTATTTCAGGGGTTGGTATTTATGAGTTGGTATTTAAGGTGTAGGATTTTTTAGGAGTTTGTATTTTAGGAGTTGGTATTTCAGGAGTTAGTATTTTAGGGGTTAATATTTCAGGAGTTGGTATTTCTGGAATTTGCATTAGCGTAATTTCCCCCCCCCCCCCCAAAATAAAACACTGTTTAAGTCCCTAAGTCCCCTATGTGCACCTGGAAGCCCTGCACGACCTGAATTAGCCGCGGATATTGAACCAAAACTTGTTTAATAGAAAATAAGCAATTTAAACTGCTTTGCTCTTTAAGTGGATAACTATTCTTGTTATTTCAAGTGATCTTACATTTTACAGGGCATGTCTGATTTACATCGGTACCCTCCGTTCAAAGATCCAATTCTATCTGAAGTAGGACTCAGCAATTGTAACTTGTAGAAAGAAACGATTGAAAAATTTAATCTAAAAAACACAGATTTTTTTCATATCTTTGATCACTCAAAACTGTTAGGATACTGTTATTAATCGGACATGCCCTCTATCTGTTTATGAGGGGTCACTTAAAACTAATTTTATCTATACATGATCTTTAATTATAGAGGATATAATTAAAAACATGCAAAATATGAAAATAATAATGATTAAATTTAGTTAAACATTAACTGAATTGGTTACCTGGAATTGATTTTACTATTTTCTGGTTGAAATGGTTCCAAAGTACCCACCATATTTACAAACTGAAGGTTGAAATGGTTCCAAAGTACCCACCATATTTACAAACTGAAATTACTAAGTTTCAACACAGTCTTATTTAACCAATGTTGGTCAAATCAACAAACTCTTCACTTCCAAATACTTATTATTTTGCAATCCCTTTATCTTTGCAACCTGGTATTAAAAATCTTAGGAATTATGAAACCAAGACTTTTCACTGTTACAGAATTCATTATTTCACAGATCTCTCAAATCAAAGAAAAGAAACAAAGATAAAAACTTCTGAGGATTTCTTTTCATTAATGGTTAATAAATAGACTGGGCGAAAGGATCACAGAAGACAGGTTACAATTTTTTTTTATATTTTTAGAATTTAATAAGATTCAATCTCATTCAAAATTCTTTTTAAACAGTTATAACAGTTATAACACAAACAATTATAATTAAATTTTAAATGAAATCTATAGAGTGTGACAAACTTAAAAATACAAATACTTCAAATTAGTTTTATTATTTATTGGTCTAATATAGGATTTTATTTGAGTCGCTGGGAAACATTTTTACTGGCAATTTTTCTTTCAGAAACCTCCTGTAGAATTCACAGACTTGTATTTCGCTAAGAACTGAACGTTCCGTTCGAAAACGGTATTTTCGGTTCTTATTCAAATTTTTCTTTTGTTAACGATTTCAATTTTATTAACGGCGTTAATGAAGATATCATAGCAATCGTTTGCAGTGCAGACGTTGACAACCCTTTAGCAATTATTTTATATAAAAATAGCTTTAAAAAGTTAAAGACAATATCTTAAAAAAGATTTAAAGACAATTTTTTTCTGTTGTTTGAGCAAAAATTTTATATAAATAACAGAAATAATATCTTTTCATGGTTGATAAACGACGATATCTTCCTCATATCTTTCTTCAGAACGAAAGTTCCAAAGTTGCATGATCCGAACCAGTCCAAGGATTGCTTAGTGTAGTGTTTACTATAACTTATAAGTACCAGCACGTCTAGTGTACCAGCCCGACTAGTGTACCAGCCCGTCTAGTGTACCTGCCTGTCTAGTGTACCAGTCCGTCTAGTGTACCAGTCCTTCTAGTGTACCAGCACGTCTTGTGTCTCAACCTGTCTAGTGTACCAGCCCGTCTAATGTACCAGCACATCTAGTGTACCAGCCAGTCTAGTGTACCAGCCCGTCTAGTGTACCAGGACGTCAAGTGTACCAGCCCGTCTAGTGTACCAGCCCGTCTAGTGTACCAGCACGTCTAGTGTACCAGCCCGTCTAGTGTACCAGCCTGTCTAGTGTACCAGTACGTCTAGAGTACTAGCCTGTCTAGTGTACCAGCCCGTCTAGTGTACCAGCCCGTCTAGTGTACCAGCCCGTCTAGCGTACCAGCCCGTCTAGTGTACCAGCCCGTCTAGTGTACCAGAGTGTCCGATAAAGGGTGGAAGGGTTTTATTGTGAATAAGGCAAGTACTGTTTTTTATCAAGGGTCACTTTGAATATCGTGAACAGTTTCTTGTGGAAAGGCTCAACCTGAACTGTTTTCAAATGATTACAGTTAGTCGAGCAGATTAAAAATGTTAATAGTCCATTATGTTTGTTTATTCATAATGTTTTCATGGCGCAATCGTAATTCAACCCGCCTTTTTAACAGTTAAAGTTACGGATTTCTTGTTAGCATTGTTGGATATCAACAGATTAAAAAAAATGTGATAGTGCAAAAGAAACGTACTTTAACGCGAGCACGACAAGAATCAATTAGAAAACAACACTGTCCTGCATGTTAACTGTTTATGTGCAGAATTGTTTTAATTTATTTTTCATGTTGTCACTGTAAAAAGCTTAGTATGTATTTCCTTTGTGTTATTTATGTATACAAGTTAATATTAAAATCATTTGATGAGAAATGTTTGATAAAATATATAAATATATTTGTTTAAAAACTGACCTAAATTGACAATGTAAATATTGAATAAAGCAAAGTAATTATTATTAACATGTTTAAACCGGATGTACGCTTTTTTTGTATGAAGGGTGTCCCGGTAAATAAGATAATCGAGAGACAACTTAAAGATCGTCTTTGATCCCTGACATTTATGGAACAGATTTAGTCTTTGATAAGCTGTCAATGATCCTATAGAGGATCTTTAAGTTGTGTATCTTTTGTCATGTTTTATAGGACACCCTGTGATTGTATCTAACTGTCATTATTTTTATCTTTTATTATAAAGTATCCTCCATTCATAAATAGAGGGGGGAGCACATAAATTAATGGAGAAACATGGAGGGGGGGGAGAGTTAGAGGTTCTTGGAAGAGGGTGAGTTAGGGCTAGACATATTCATTTTACAAATGCTACGCGCTTGTTTCTATCTAAAGTTTAAAAGGAGTATTTGGCAAAATACTCATTTTAAACTTTTGATGCGAAAGCGTAAACATCTTGGTTTGCAGTGGGAGGGAGCTAAGACGTAGGGCTCTTGGCCGGTATTTAGGATGAGGGGTAGAACTCTCCCTGTAAAAACCTCCGAATATGAGCTCCTTACTCCTTCGTAAGATATATGTAGAATGAATGGCTGAAACCATGAAACAATATTTCCTTCTTTGAAATTATAATGAGTGAAACAAAAACTAAAATAAAAAATGTATAAGCTTGATAATCACGTTTAATCACTATAGTGTCCTGCGAGTAGAGAAGAACTGAACAACAGGTTCAAATAAAAATACTTTCATTTTTGAGCATACACACAAAACACCGCGGGCCTTTCACTTCCTATACCGTTAAAAATGCGTGTGTGTGAATCTAGTGAATCCCTGTAGCTAGGTTAGGTCAGGGGAAAATTCCGTATATATATATAAATGAATATATACATAGATATATATAACTCTCCACTAGTTTGTCACTTTGTCACCTTGTACCCTCTCCACTAGTTTGTCACTTTGTCGCCTTGTACCCTCTCCACTAGTTTGTCACTTTGTCGCCTTGTACCCTCTCCATTAGTTTGCCACTTTGTCGCCTTGTACCCTCTCCACTAGTTTGTCACTTTGTAGCCTTGTACCCTCTCCACTAGTTTGTCACTTTGACGCCTTGTGCCCTCTCCACTAGTGTGTCACTTTGTCGCCTTGAACCCTCTCCACTAGTTTGTCACTTTGTCACCTTGTAAAGTTGTACCCTCTCCACTAGTTTTTGTCACTTTGTCGCCTTGTGCCCTCTCCACTAGTTTTTGTCACTTTGTCACCTTGTACCCTCTCCACTAGTTTTTGTCACTTTGTCGCCTTGTGCCCTCTCCACTAGTTTTTGTCACTTTGTCGCCTTGTGCCCTCTCCACTAGTTTTTGTCACTTTGTCACCTTGTACCCCCTCCACTAGTTTGTCCCTTTGTCAATGTCACCATGTACGCTCTCCACTAGTTTTTGTCACTTTGTCGCCTTGTGCCCTCTCCACTAGTTTTTGTCACTTTGTCACCTTGTACCCTCTCCACTAGTTTGTCCCTTTGTCACCTTGTACCCTCTCCACTAGTTTTTGTCACTTTGTCGCCTTGTACCCTCTCCACTAGTTTGGCTGCTTAAAAAAATAAAGGGTTTACAAACTTTATAAAACTTTAGATAAGTCGTTGTGTTTAAGAACTTTACATTTCCCAAATTTTACATTAGTTTCTGTAAAAGCGAAGAGATCAGACTTTGCTTCAAAACTAAACTTTCTCTAAAACTCAACTTTAAACCAAACAATTCCTGGTTCTCTAACGACTTCCTCAGTCAAAATTTTAGGCAAATCAGTCCAGGGGTTCCTGAGTTATGATCGACATCCAACTTCCAAACAGAGATTATTACTTTATATACAGGGTGTCCCATATTATATTAGATCGTTCATAGCTCTTAATTGCGATTTTCGGGACAAAGATTAAATCATTTAAAACAATTTTGCAAGGCTATATAAAGATTTGCATGCATAAAATACTAGTTTTTTTAGTAATATGTGCGTAATTTGGCTTTAAAGTTCAGTGATCAATCCGATATAATATGTGACGCTCTTTATTTAAATATGTTGTATGAATTTTGTCTACGAGAACAAGAAAACATTTAAATAAATGTCGTTTTAGTTGTTATCTTGCAACCGAAACATATAGCTTATAATGCCAAATGGAAGTTTTATAAATAGACTATAATACTTCAGTTTTAGACATTTTAAAATCCTTATTCTGATTGTAAATGCGAGATAAACAAATCTATCTAACTTACAAACATTTAAATATTTTATTAATTTTTCAAAAATTTTATTTTAATCATATCAGATTGTTTATATTTCTCAAATCTGTTTTTAAACATTTAAAATTATATACCTCTTTAATTCATTTTATAATACTGGTTGTTTTTCTAAATTAATAGATAAATATTTTTTCATAATTATAGTTTTTAGTTTTTCTTCTTAAAGACTCTCAGGGCATCGGCTTCAGGCTTTCCAATAACACTAAATAAATGGATTTAACAATTTAAAAAAAAAATCATAATTTCTTGTTGTTGTAGAATCCAAAAAGTCGAATAGAACTGTTAGATATCAATGTGTTAACCATTAATTATAAGAACTCTGTAAAATAAAATGTCGTCTTCAACTCGAATCTCCTGTCGGAGACAGCCAAACCAAATTTCAGCCCGCAAATTCCTTTGTACTTCGGCTCACGGAGCTTGAAACATTTTGTTATTGTGAAATCACTAAAATTAAGCAAGAATATTTTCATAAGAAGCATTAGTGAATTTCGTTAACTATTCAATTGTAATTTTTCAGAAGTTAAAAAAAACGTATTTCAATACTGATCAACAATAAGTTTCCCCCGATCACACTCAAATATTTCGTAAGATTTTTTCATTATTAATATTCATTATAACATTGTACAAGTAACCATGACCTATAATTTATGTTATTTTTTAGGAAATAAAGATTTTGTTATCGAATTTCTGAGACGGGGTTACTCTGTTGTGTGTGTATTTGTGCGGCCTATCGGGAAATAATTGTCTGGGGATAATAAACATCCCCCACCAGAATCCTAACCGGCCTATTATCCTGATTTGTCTAGCGTGTTGCTGTTTTCCGTCAACACAATGTTTTTAATTTTGAAAACTGATCGTTTTTAATTGGGGCTTCTTTACAAAAGTGACTTGCGAATGGAACACCAATAGGAATTATCACAATTAAACACTTATAAACCTAGAAAAACGAAAATATCTTCGACATTATTGTCACAGATCAGATCAAGGTTTAAAGGGCACATCTCAAAATAAAATCTTAAATCCTGAAACCGCCCATGCATGCGCTGGTGCATCACTCATATTATCATTCGTTATATTTGCAAAAAATAAAAATAAGCCTTTAAACAAATTAACAGTAAACGCTCAGAATCTGTAAATTAAACCATGTAGATACTAAATATTTGAATGTTTAAAAGGAAAAGTTTTGTTCTATTAAGGTGTTTATTGGGTAGGTTAAAATGTTTAAAAGTCGTAATTTAAATGCTTACTTTTGCGTTATTTCATTTGGCATAATGCAAGGTTTTACTTTTCGACGTTTTTAATTTCAACATTTTTTATTTCAAATGTATTTTTCGTCAGCGTTCTGTTTTTATTTTTGCCACGTTTTGCTAATTTTTTTTACACGTTATTTCAATTCACTGTTTTGTTATCTCAATTGTTGATTAAATGTTTATCAGTTGTTCTGGTTCTACCTGAGGTACAAGTTCATGGTGTTCCCGTTGTCAAGGAACTCTCTGACCTCCTCGACCTCGAGACCGTTGTCAGGCTTCTTCACCTTCTTCAACTTGTTTTCCTCTATAAAACACAATATAAAATTTAGCTTATTTGTCTGTTTGTATTCAATAAACGTCAAAACAGCTAAACTAATAAAGCCAATTTTTTGTGGCAACTCAGGTGTCTTTAGTTTAGGTTAAAATTGTACCAATATGGATGGATCAGAGATAAATTGTTATGTATTTATCTCTAGATAGGAATAGATTTTTTTATCATAATTCCTTAAAATATGGCGCTTGACTTTAACAGTAGGGGTGCACCCTGATACATAAATTGACCCAAGAATTACCTGGAATTCGGGATGAATCGAACTTTATAAATTCTTATACTGGGAAACATTTTCATAGATTATCGAAAAATGTTCTCCTTACCAGACACAATAATTTGTCTTATTTCTTTGAGATCAGATTTACTTCAAAACTCACACTCCAATACTTCTCATCTCCAAAACTTCAAAACTTTAAAATTCAAAGTTCAAAACTTCATAACTACAAAACGTCAAAAAATTTGAAATTTAAAACTTTAAAATAACTTCTAAACTTTAAAACTTAAAGTTTAAAACGTTAAAACTTGAAACTTAAAACCTACCTAGTGTTGCAATTGTAGGAATTTTATCCCCCTTCAAGGTTGTCTCGACATAAGGAGATCCAAGCTATAAAGTACTTACATAAATAATACTTTATATATTATTATTTAAATTAGTTTACACTAATGAAAAGGGCTCTCGTTGTAATTTCAAATGATCCAGGGGCGCCTTAAGCCCAATTTTATGGATAAACTTTCTTGGAGATATTGTTGTTTCTGGCTTTACAAGTTTTTAATAATGATAATTTCTTCCATTGTTTCTGAAGCAAAATCAGGAAGTCACTTTTATTGTTCATTTTCAATGTTAGAATTGAGGATTTTGAAAACTCAAAGACGAAAAAAGATTTCAATTTTTTTTTAAATAGTTGGAAAAGGGACCGAGTACATTTTGAAGGCTAAAACGGCATTTTAAAGCAAATTTTATAACGACGACCTCCCCCCCTCCCTATTTATTGTCATTGTACCTATAATAGGCAAATATTGTATTAGAAAAAAACGACGTTTATCGGGTGAAAACGCAATTAATATCTTCGGAAAAGGGACAGAGCACATTATCGAATATTATGCCTAATTTTGAAGGTTAAAACGACATTTAAGAGGAAAAAATTTCATCCACGACCCCCCCCCTCCTCCGATTTAAGGGTGAGCACTTTTTAAAACACAACAATGATGTTTATTAGGCTAAAATGCCCAAATACACTTTTTTTCAGAGACACTTTGTATACTTTCTGTAAAATCAAACAAGATCAACAATAAATAAAAACTAACCTTAAAGTTTGACTGGGCTATTCTGCCTCCAATACCTATATCTACAATTATCTCTATTTCGTCACCGACCTGCCTAACATCAGAGAAATAGGTAAAATATCATTCTTTTATGCTTTTCACTACTTCCCAAAGCTGGGTCTCAAAAAAAGATGGTGGTATGATGAAATAAATATAAAAAGCGTCCGAAAATTAGATGTTTTAAATATGAATGCACATCATGAATTGGATTTAAATTATAAAATAGCTTTATTAAAAAGCACAGTTTCGTGGAAAATTATACATATTTTCTACTAAATTATTTTGGCTTAAAACAAATTTGCGGAAAGGAATTGAGTCTTTGCAACAAATCCCAATTTTCTAATACCAATATATCTACAACCAAATTATGTAGACCTTTGATATTTCAAACTTTGATTGTTTGATATAACAGAAGTCATAGTTTGAAATATCTAAGGTCTACAACATTGGGTTGTTAAAATATAGGGATTTAAAAATCAGAGTTTGTGACAAAGACTCATTTCCTTTTCTTTTTATTTGTAAATAAATATAATTTATGAAAAATAAATAATTAAAACTTTTGAGAATAAACCTGATTGTTTGCTTGGGGGATGTGGCGGCCAAGAGAGTCCTGAAAATTCGAATTTATAAGTTTGTTAGATTATATTTTGTTAGTTTTAAAATTTTTTTTTTTTCAGAGCTTTCATTTCTGTTCAACATAAACACTTACCTTAAAATTTAGATTGTTTAACCCTTTTATCTTTACAACCTGAGCTGAAAACTTTAGAATGGTGGATATCGAGATTAAATCTTGATCTCCTCTTTTCCATAATCTCCAGATTAAATAATGCTTGTGTTCCTCTTGTTATTAATCTTTAGATTAATTAACCGATTGGGATTAAGGATATCCCATTCTAAAGTTGTCAGCTCTGATGTCGTAGTAGAGCATTTAATATTTCAAACAATAATTCTACTAGATCAAATAGACAAAGTTTAAAATATCAAAGATTTATACCATTGATTGAAAAGATACATTTACAAAAGTAATTCACACTAGATTTTACTTAGCAGGGCCCCTCCCAAAAGGGGGGGGGGATTAAAACTTACTTTATTATTTCCCAGTTTGCTTTCTTCGGTAGCAGATATCGAAAAAAAAACAAAAATTTAAAACTCTAGATTTGAAAAATAAATATTTGAATATGAATCAGCTAATCTTTTGTATGAAACAACATTACCTTTGAAAAAGTCCTATTCCAATAGCAGACAGAAATTTATCATAGTTGTCACCAGAAACATACTCATATTCACCTGGAATATAAATATCATTGTGACATCGGCATGCATTATCAGTTTATTATTATTATTATTATTATTATTATTATTACTAATATTATTATTAATATCAATATTATCTTTGCATTATTATATTTTTTATCCTTATCTTATCCTTGATAGTAAATTCTTACATTTGATATGTTTATATTCAAATTTAAAAATTATATTAATAGTATTTATAAAGTACAAGTTTTCTTTTGCTATTTTTCATGTATTTTTGTTTAAATATAGGATTTATTTTTACCTATCATATACTCTGGTAGGGTACTTTCAGCAAGAATACATTTAGCTCCCAACAGACTAAATATTTTGTAATTAGTGGTTTGTAGGTTATCTTTGTAATCTTTGTTTGACTGTCTGTTTGTTTCTAATTCCGATAATAACTCAGGGACCCTTTGACCGATTTGTCTCAATTTTTTATTGGTGTACTCGATAGAACTGCACGGTAGTGTTCTTAGGTTTGGTGAAAAATTGTAAATTAGGTGTGTTGACTTGTATAGACAAAGCACGGTGGACTAAGCCAGTAAGGTCGGTCAAATAGGCCTAGGATTAGGCCAGGTACTGTAAAAAAAACTGAACGCGCCATGGGAGTTGTCATAGTTAGCCCTCCGACGGGACTATGCCAAGAAAATTGACCCCTGTCGTATGTAAGGCTGGTTAGGGCGACGTACTGTACCATAGGATCGGGTCAGTATACACGGTGTTATCTGGCAGGCCGGTACAAACTGGGCATGTCCCGTTTGAATTCAAATTTACTACGGCCCAGAGTTTAGATTTCTATAAAGTTAAGATGGGTTTCCAAGCTAGTTCGTTAATAGAATAAACAAATAAAATACAAAATGAAGAGTTTGAGAAGTAAATATTTAAAAACATCCCAAACATCTGAAAAGAGAGGCTGAAAGAATATTTCTACATTTTTAATCAAAACTTATTGTTAGTTTTTTGTCGACCACATGAACTTAAAACGTAAAAGAAAAGGAGGTATAGATTTTTAACCAATATTTTTTATGTGTGCCAACAATAAATTGGTAATTTAGCCTAAAGAGCCATTTTCAAGAGATTTTTAATAATTTCTATATTTAAAGAAAATGCCTGGCTAGGAGAATAAAAGTTCTTGGTTTCATCATCATTACTGGATATCTTCAAACAGACTGCAGGGATTTACAATTCAATCTGCTTTTATATTTATAATACAAGTGAAGCTGGTATTTGCAAGTCATGCAAGCATGCTTACAGTGTTTAAAGCCTCAAGGGTTAGAGAATATAATCACAAAACCAAAGTGTACATTTGTACTTTTTCCACTTTTTGGACATACAGGATGTCCCATGAAACATGACAGTTATAGCAAGACGAATTGAAGGTCTTGACAATTTCAAAATGTGGTCTGCCTTTTTTGTGCTTTTAACATTACCTGAGATATTAAGAATTTCGTTCAGATTTGGTTTTATTTATTAAAATTGAAATCTGAACGAAAGTCTTAATATTTACAGAAAAAAAGAAAGACCGCGTTTTGGAAATACTGCAGGACTAACTAGGAGTTTATTTTTGGTTATTGTTTCAAGAATCATACATGCGAAGGTAGGTTGACGACTGAATGGCTCAAATAAATTAAAAGTTTAAAGACGACTTTCAAATAATCTTGCTACTGTCATGTTTTGTGGGACACCCTGTAGCTTACTTATATTACCATATTGGCCTCTCATAACCCAAAATATCCATCCGGGGACAGGGGGGGGGGAGGGCAGACAGAAGAAGAAGGTAAATGCGATCACTGGTATGACTTTGTGACCTCGTAGCTCCTCTAGTATTGATTTTACGCATAAGTAAGAGCATAGCAAATTTATCCGCGCTATTTATTAGAAATTCTAAACATTTTTGTTTTTCTTAATAGATCTTTAATAAAAGGAGTTATGATTGAAAACATATAAATGTAATGAATGCTTTACTCCAATATTTCTCTATAAGTATTTTTGTCCCCACAAAAGGTATCGAACTGTATCCTCTCTACCAAACCCTGGTGTTGTTTTTAAATTAAGGTGAGTTATTCATTTCAAAAGAATGAATTTTAATACATATGAAACAAAAAAACTGAGTAAATTTAAATCCACCCAACCTACCCTATGCATCAAAAAACAAAATTTGTTCACAACTATGAAGTTGATAAAGATTCGTTTCTATAAATTATTTAGAAAAAAACAACAATTGTAATAGGGTTAAAAAAGCTAGGTTACTTGGCAAAAAATATATTTTTATTTTGGATTAATTACAGCCTAGTACAAGGTGTAAATATTGGCTTTTTATTTGCGAATTGCGCTTGCGCATAAACATTATACATTTAAACAGAAGAAATTCTTGTCACTGAACAAACAATTACTCTGCTTCAACCATTAAACCAGATTTTAAGTAAATAAACTTGAAACTTAAAAGTTGAACCATTAAATAATTGATAATAAACATTTTAATCAAACAGTCGTTTTAAATTTTAAAATTGAATTTTATTTAATTGTAAATCGTCCAATTGTACAGTTAGAGTCAATTTTTCACCCCCTCCCCCCTCTCTAAACGTCCCTCTCCCTTCATTAAATAATTTTTGTAAGAGGATGTAAGAGGGGAGGATGTTTCAGGCAGTGGCGTATTTAGGGGGGAAATTACCCCCCCCCCAAGATATTATGGTTATAAGTATGATAGAAACTTGATTTCCGTGTTCATGATTGCCAAAAAAAAAGAGAAATACATTTTTTTTTAATTTCGCGATTCACGCATCATTGAACTTAGTCAAATTAATAAAAGTAACACAGATGACTTCATATGATCTGCATCATCTCCAAAACACTCAGATTTTCCTTTTAACAGAAAAATGGTGTAGTTGCATCTCCATAACTTTATAGAATAACATGGGGCAAACACAGGATTTCAGCCAGGGGGGGGGGGGCGAGGTTTTTAGGCACAAAAAATTCTGAAAATAGGAACAAAAAATTATGATAGAAATAGAAAGTTCTGAAAAATAAAGTATTAGGACAGGGATTTAAAGGATCTAGGGAGTATTGGAATAGGAGCAAAAATAGGAACATTAAGTAAGTTACAAGGAAGGTCATATAAAGGAAACATACATATGAACAAAAACATCATTCATATATGTATATGTACATGAATTAGGAACAATACTAATAGTTAATAATAGGAACATATAAATTAAATAAACCAGTGGAGTCAAAATCTTACTACGAACTTCCGTGACTCCAATTGTACTCCTACTTTTTTTCAAAACGGAAACTTTTACAACAAAACATAATTATTTTCCGGATCTCTGTCCTTCTTTTCATCTCAGAGAAAATTTAAGTTTAACTTGAGTTTTTCATTTTCAAAAATGTCTTTTACTATCTCTAGTTTAAATACTAATTTTTACTAACATAACAGTATAATTAAATGTCCATTTTTTAGAAACAATACTTTTTTTCTGATAGTTTTTGTTTACAGGACCGAGATAACGTAGTACATGCAAGGTATAATTGAACTGTATGTTTACCTTTAAGCATCTTATACTTATGCCTGATGGAAAAAGTCAAATATGTTTTGAATATACCATTCAAATCCCCCCCCCACAGATTTATTTCTGTATACGCCTTTGAAATTAGGAACAATATTACAATTTTGGGTAATGAACATTTTTACCCCACCCCCTACACAAATGTTCTTGTACACCCGGCCCTGCCTGATCATGCATGAAGGGTACTTGTATGCATATAATTGTCTNCTGGGCCGAGCGCTGCGGCTAGGACAGGCTAGGGGGCCGAGCGCTGCGGCCACAGGTTAGGATAAGTTAAGACACTTTCTGTCAGACCCATGTACAAAATTGATAGGAGGGGAAGGGGGGTCCAAAAATCGTTCTTTAGGAATATACCGACCACTTTCGACAATTTTTCAACAAAATTAGTATGTCTTTAGAGTTAGGTTATGTTAAGACACTTTCTGGGCCGGGAACTGCGGCTAGGACAGGCTAGGGGGCCGAGCGCGGTGGGTAGGATAGGTTAGGGGCTGAGTGCCTCGGCTAGGACAGGCCAGGGGGCCGGGCGCTGCGGCCACATGGTCAAGTATCCATGTCTTAAATGTAAGATCCATGTACAAAATTGATAGTAGGGGGGATCCAAAAATAGTATATCAGAAAATTTCCGGTTAGGACAATTTCTACCGAGCGCTGTTGCTAGTACAGGCATGGGGGCCGAGCGCTGCGGCCTGTACAGACCTTCAATTTCAATAATTCGTCCATATAGCGTTATCTCAGACAGTCGGCAGAAGTTATTTTAACCAAATGGATAATTTACTCTTATGAAAGAGCCCACATCCACATCAAAAAGGTCTTAAAACTTTACTTTATATCTGAAAGTTTTCTGTTTCTAGGATCAATGGAGGCCGAAGTGTTGAAGGAGTTCTCACTGGGTTTGATCCATTCATGAATCTTGTTCTTGACAACACCGTAGAGTTCACAAAACAGGTATTCATTTTGGATAATACCATATAGTTCAAAAATATATAACATTATATAAAAATATACACATACAGGGTGTCGGGTCCGTCCTAGTGAACATTCAACAATTTTTCCAACTGGTGCAAAGTAAAATGTAAAAGATAATCTCCGTTAGCACAGTTTTATGTTCAATGTTAGGTTACAGTTTATTACAGTACAATTGTTATTTTTAGATCTACAAGACAAAAGTTGGGCTCATTGACTCGGAAATTGTACTTAGATATAATAAATGGTCTCAGTCTTGAAAATCCGATTATAAACAAGTTATGTGCAAACTGAGATTATCTTTATTTTTAGCAAATTTACCCACTCCAGTTGGAAACTTTAGGAGCCTTTAAAATTGTCATTTTTAGATCTACAAGGCGTATTGAATCGGAACTTGTACGTAGCTTTTAAAAATGGTCTCAATCTTGAAAATCCGATTACAAACGAGTCTCTAGACCCTTATTCCCCGTTTATTTCAGTCATCCTGTATGTTCTTTTTAAGGTGTTGACTAAACCGTTTGTCTAATTTTTTTAAATAATGTCTAAAAACATTGAAACTCGTAGTTTCTTCCTAAAAATTTGAAATTTCGCATTTGACTAAATTAAAATTTAACTTAAAATTAAATCTCAATATCTAGCAATATCATTTGTTCTAGGGAACCAGGAATCAGATCGGTATGGTTGTGGTCAGAGGAAACTCGATCGTCATGATCGAAGCTAAAGATCGACTCTAGACAACACGATCATCATTCAACAATTCCCAAGTCTAACTTCTGATCCAACGAATTTCATTCTATGAAGTGTTACTTTTCAAAAAGAATTTCAATATGAAAAAAAACAAACAAAGCATTTACATCAAAATCTTTTCTCCCATTTCAGAAAAATGGCGCGAACTGGAAAAGAAAGTAAGGCCAAGCAGAAGAAAGCTGAGCGGAAAGCTATGGAGAAGAAAATGAATGCTGGATTTGCCAATGTTAAACTTGCTAATGAACAGGTATTGGTTACTTTCTAGTTTCTCGAGTTTTTAAAGCGGCAATTTCTACAAAGATATTTTTTATATTTTGTTTTAATTTATACAATACCCTCTAGAAAATGTCTTTAAATTCTAAGATTCGGGAAAAAAGGAGTATATTGTCCAATGTCCGTGGCTTAAAGTAAATTTTTGATTCATATTTCCAAATGCTCGTTCATACATTTGTAACACAAGTTTATTCACAAAAGAAAAACATATAAAGCATTAATTCAAGAAGTATGAATATACAGATCGTCCAATATCACATTAATTATCCCAAATTTTTTTCACCAAGATACGCACAGAATACTTTTAAGAAACTTGTAATTCTGCCATTTTTGTATCTAAATCATGAAATTTTGTTAAGTCCCGAAAATCTCAATTCAGAGTTAGGCATCAGTTTCTAAGGCTTTTATCAATACATTTTTGCTTACTGGGGAATCTAAAGAATTTTTAGTTAAAAAGCAGTGCTTAGGATCCGGATCCATTGTATGCGTAAGATTTTGGCTTCCTGGATCTGGATCCGCAAAAATATGCGGATCCAGATCCAAGGGGTAAAATATCAACCAAAAACTGCAAAAAAACCCTTTTTTACTCCTAAAACCAAAATCTGAACTTTTGAAAAAAAGAGAGACTATAAAATTTTTCTCATTTCTGAATGGTACATCAAGTTTTAGGATAAAAATATGCGAAAAAAATAAAACAAAAAATTTGAAAATTATTTTTTGTTAAAAAGAATCAGTAAATTTTATAGAAATGACCTGGATCCGGATCCGGATCCATTTTTTCCCGTGCGGATCCAGGATCCGGATCCGCATCAAAATTAAATGGATCCTAAGCACTGTTAATAAGTTCACAGAGAACTAAATTTGAAGTTATAAATTCTGCTCAATGAGTATAAACCAGGACTTCACGTCTTATTTAACGCAACTATTTGTACTGGAATTTATCGGAGGAATGTTTTTTTTGGGTTACCCAGAAAGGATGAGAGACTATGAAGACGACCTGAAACTCTAAAACTCTGACGCTTTTAAAAATTATATAATTATTTTGCGGTCTGCCATGAATTTAGTCATTTTTATGATCTTATGTAGTCATGAGGTAACGAAAGGAACAAATTTACAGTTACAGGGAATCTTAAATAAGGAAACAGACAGTGTTAATTCCGTTAAATCGATTAGAAAGTGTCATCCGGTAATCCTGTAAACAAAGCTCGGTCTAAATACCACACGTTCATATCAGTATCAAAGATATATAGTTCCTGGTTTTATCTTTTCTGCTTCAAATATAGTTGTGACTTTATCTGAATTTAGAAAATTCATGCTAAATAATCTTCTAGTAAATATGAGGAAAAGGTTGATTTTAGATATTTTAAATATTTTAATTTTTAAGTATCTAAATTGAATCAGGACCCTTCTCCTGGTTTGTAACCGACTAATAAGTATTTTTTGGCCTCACATTAACATAACATTAACCCCCCATCTTCTAGGGTTATATTGATAAATATAATTAAGTATTTAAATTGCATCTGAACTCTTAACCGAGTTTGTAACCGGCTACAAGTATTTTTTGGCATCACATTTACTTAATTCATACAAAACAATCTTCTAGGAAAAGATCAGGAAAAAATTGATTTTAAATATATGGAAAAAAATTCCATTTCAGGGTTTGTATCCGGATACAAGTTTTTTTTGGATTAAATTAAGATAAATTATTAGCACTTGATCAACTCTTAGTGAATTCAGCTTCAGTGGTATTAATAAATATTTTTCCGTTTCCCTTAGCAAAACTGCTAAGAAGAAAATCGGATTTTTGGGTTTCAAAAATCTTGCCGATTGATGTTTAATACTCCGAAATCTTTTTAATTTACTTATTTTATTTTCAATTTAGCTAATTATAGGGCGTGTTTTTTGGGTTAAAAGTCGGAAAAAAACTTGCTGATTGATGTCCAATACTATCATGGATTTTATCTTCAATTATAGGAAGATCCTCTGTCTGCCCTTCCTTCTCTTACTTCATACAATAAGAACGGTCTGGATCTAAAACTGGAAACATTGAGAGGTAAATACAAAACATTGAACATCTTGTCGAAACTATGGGTTCTGGATAAACATGCCAGTTGGTGAATAGTTTTAGAATGTCTTTTTCCATAATTTGTTCAGGTGTTTGATACCAAAGATCAATAAAAATATTATATGGAAGTCATGTTATATCAAAATTGATTTCAAAGTAAAATATAATTAGCAAAAGATTTGTTTAACTAAAAATAGCTATTTATTAAATGTCATGTTTCGTGGGACACCCTGTATAACAAACATGAAGATGCCACTTACCTGCATTCAGGGGTGTAGTAAGACTCGTGTTTGTTTTCGAATCATTTTTTTGCTCAAAATTTTCGAAATCTGAAAATGGCAGGTTAGTTGGGTCAGTTGTAAACTGACCCAAATTTGCTCTGGGAGGAATCGCCTTACCTAAAAGGTGATGACGGGCGTGATTTCTAACTCGATTCTTAATTCCTGAAATCCAACTAGAATATGTCTAGGCCCTGAAATCGATGAGAAGACTATGGAATGGGCATTCAAACTGATGGAGACAAATATGAAAGCACTGTATGAGTCCTGTTACCAGGTTTGTCGTTTTATAATTGTTTCTGCCATTTTATTAGTGCAATTCTTTGAAATAAAGTGTCGAAAATGGATATAGTTCGTTCAGAACAATGTGACCAGAAAAATGTCTGAAACCGTTCGGTTTTCTGAAAAAAAAATTTTGTTACCTAATTAAAAAAATCGCTGATTTTATGTTAAATTGAAAAGTTGTGTTAAACATACTCAATAAAATCTTTTGTCTTGTTGCTGGAAGGGTTGTAAATCGTTAAAAACGGTGGGTCACAACGAACGAACCATTCTTTTTTAACTTTTGATAAACGAAAAACGAAACAAAGATTTTAAATGTTTGAAAAAAAATTTATATGAATGCGATTTTTGACAGTAAATAAAATTGTTTTTTAAAGTACGAAAATTCTATAAATGTCGTCCTGCATGGGTTTTATTACACAGAAATGGCCTTAATGACCCAATGTTTTGCCGACCTTTGATTGATCATTTCTTTCAGCGACATGATTGGTGTAAAAATCATCTATTCTACCAAGGCAAATCGTACGAATCTACGGTCATTCGTTAACGGTCCGTAATAATCGTCAACGAAAGGGCCGTCGTTAACTATCATCAAAAATTAAAAAACGCCTCCATTAACCAAACTTCTAACTTAAACTAAACTTCTTAGTTTGTTAATTTTAATAAACTTTTTATTAATAATAGAACATTTTAAACGACTGTTACGTTTTTTCTATGTCGATAACGAAACAATCCTTTTTTTAAAGTTAAAACGATCCATCCCTTGCTAATTAAGTTAAGTTAATGAATACTTTGAATTAATGCAGTAAATCGGTAGATCTAGAGTATCTGAAATATAAATATAGTTAAAAATCACAATTACGTACTTTTTAACCTGCAGGATGGTTAGCGCCAAAATGTACGGATTTGTCACCCTGAAGTATATTTTCGCTCGATTTTTGTTGATGTCAAAAGTCAAGATCTTAACGAGAAGTTTAATTAAATCTGAGTTCTATCTAAATCTGTCTATTTTTAGACTTTTTTATTGTTTTTTACAAAAATAATTTAATAACATTATGGTCTTAATTATTTCTAGAGATCCTTCATTCAAGGAGGGAGAAGTCGGACTGTCAGATTCATTAAACCTGTTGCTAAATAATTTGGAAAATTTCTACGTTTTCTAGCTTTACGTGCTTAATTCTGAAAATTTCCTCCTTTGTTTTTACAGCAAAAATCAGACTCGATTTTTGTTGATGTCAGAAGTCTAGATCTTAACAAAAGAAGTTTAATTAAATCTGAGTTCTATCTAAATCTGTCTATTTTTAGGCTTTTTGATTATGTTTTTTACAAAAATAATTCAATAACATTATGGTCTTCATTATTTCCAGAGATTTTTCATTCAAAGAGGGACAAATCGACTGTCAGATTCACATTGGTACCCTGTAAAACGTGTGCTTAATAATTTGGAATATTTCTACGTTTTCGAGCTTTACGTGTTTAATTCTAAAAATTTCCTCCTTTGTTTTTACAGCAAAAATCAGTAATTGATCTCTGTAGAGAAACTGCAATTAAAAAGAGATAAACAAAGACTCAATGGACCAAAAAATAATTTTAAAAAGTCGAGTCCTTTTATTTAGGGTAAGGATCCTGACCTGTGTTGGAATGAGAGCAGGAAACGGGACGAGCTGACCGATCCCCGGGCCTGGTTCCTCATTGCTAAATCAGCTGAGGGAACTCCAGCTGCTTTCGCGCATTTTAGGTCAGTTCTGACGAGGATTTTTTTCTCTCTTTCGGATACTAATCTACTTATTTTTGTCGCATGATTATATTTTTTATTTTTAAATCAATTATTTTAATCATAAAATCATATATATCGGACATTTTTTAGGTGAAAAAGAATTTTGGTAAATAGTATCTGAAAAGGTGAGACGTGCCAATTTTCAAATTTTGTTCCTCAGGAAAAAAACTGCCACCACCCCATAAATATATATCCCTTGAACTGGAAACTATTGTATTGTGGATATTGAAATCAAGCATTTGATCTCGATCTATTCTAAATCTGCAGATTAATATAGTTTTATTCAATATACCGCAGTAGTTGTACCCTGTAGGGATAATCGAAATGAAGTGATAAAGCATTAATCCTTTAATTAAAAGTGCTCAGAGTGGATACAAAAATCAAGCGAAACGGATTATAAGTATCCAACACAAAAGTGTCCAGCTGATTCTCCAATTTATTTTTAAGAAAACCTTAAACCTAAAAGAATGAAGAGGGTTGGGAATGATTTTTTAACAAATGTATAGTGTATACCCCTCTCAAATAGATTATCAATTGGCAACAGGGAAATGAACCGATTATAAACGAGTGTCAAATATAACAAGAAAAACGTGGCAACAGGGAAATGAACCGATTATAAACGAGTGTCAAATATAACAAGAAAAACGAAATTTTCTCACATTAGTTTCATGTTTTCCAAGGTTAAAAAAAATGTGTAAAAACAGAAACTAAAGAACGCATAAAATTGTATTTATTTCACTGTTTGAAAATCAGTTTCTCCTAAAATTATTATTAAAAATTTTGTCGGACACTAAAACTGAGTTGACACTTTGACGTAAGAATACAGCTGTACAAATTTTACGTTGCTATCTAATGTACTTAAATCTAAGTGACCCCTCTGATTTAACGGCTATTAAATATTGTAAATCATAAATCGGTTAAATACTACGAAACTACAAAGCTATCTAATGTTGCTATCTAATGTACTTAAATCTAAGTGACCCCTCTGATTTAACGGCTATTAAATATTGTAAATCATGTAAATCGGTTAAATACTACGAAACTACAAAGTTTTAACAGACAAGAAGATATTAGAAAAATGTTTAATAATGAATTAAAAATAAACTATGTTTTGTTCAGGTACGATATGGATTATGATGATGAAGTTGTCTATTGTTACGAGATTCAGGTATTAAGAGTCTACTCGGGGGTCAGTGGCTGTTTTTATGTGGCAAAGTTGTTCGTAAGATGTCATATATACTAGATTTCATCCTATTTTGTTGTCGAAAACTTCTCGCGATTTTTTTGCTCATTTTTTTTCGTTATCCCTACTTAAATAGTTAACGATATGATAATTGAGGGAAATAAGAAATAAAACTTCTAGATCCTCGCCCCCTTCCGCTGTAAAGAAATTTTCTGATAGTTGGTTTTCATTCTACGACGTTAAATGTCAGTAATGAATTTCTCTGAACTTGCTCACTGTTTTTCAATTGATTACTTTACTATAAAATACGTAGTTATTGTTATTGTTTAAAACAGACTTATCATTGACCAACTAGTACAACAAATGTTTCACTGTGTAAAGTAAGTGTTATAGTTTAGTCCACAAAATAATAATAAATGAAGCGAATAGATTTGTTATTAATTTGTTAGCCTTAAAATGTTATAGATTGTGAGCCCCCTTAGCCGATTTTCTATTTCTCTCCTGGAAATTTAAACAGTGAATAAAAATATCTTAGCATCGTCTTAGGAAGCTTTTTTTTGCATGCGAACTTTAAAATATGCAAATTACATGCATTTTTTGGTTTTAATCGGACCTGAGCAAAAGTGTGTGCATTTTTTGTGAAAAAAAATCGCCTTTTTTATTGTAAATCAATCTTAACATCATTAATTGAATTTAAATAATTATCCTGATACTGTTGAAACAAATATTCGCTTAATAAATTCACCTCCAAAGCCTTAAATGTCCGCGGGCGCTAACAAAATCTTTGAATTCATTTCCAAGGTCTAAAAAGAAATTGGAGCATTATGACAGGCGCGCTAGTAGCCAGCAGTTATGATATCGGTCATATTAGCAAAGATTGTACATCCTGTGGGTCGAATTATAGGTATTTGGGCACAAGGAATTAATTTCTGAGGTCAAAATAAATATTGGAGCATTCTGACCAGCGCGCTAGCAGCCAGCAGTTACATCTTAAAACAGATTTTACATGTATGTCGATGTAAAGATAATTGAGCATGTAAGGATTTAATTTCCGAGATAAAAATGAATATTGGGGCATTCTAGTATAACCAGCAGTAATATTATGGGTCATCTTAGCGCAAGGTTTACATGCTGGATGTCTGATAATAGGTAATTGGGAATGAGGAAAACATTACTGAGGCCAAAATAAATATTGAGGCATTCTGACCGGCGCGTTAGTAGCTAGCAGTTGCATTATGGGTGTTCAAAATACAGATTTAAATTTTCTGGAGAGTAATACTAAATAGAGTTTGGAAAGCTTATAGTAAAGATTCCCAAGCTAGGATTTAAATAATTTTGTTAACGGTTAAACCTGGATTTCGGAGGAAGGGTTTGGGAAAGTTAATGGTAAAGGTTCTTGAACTAGTATTGAAACAATATTGTTAAGGTTGAACCTGGATATCGGAGGAAGGGGTTGGGAAAGTTTGTGCTAAATGTTCTTGAACTAGTATTAAAATAATATTGTTAAAGGTTGAACCTGGATTTCGGAGAAAGGGTTTGGGAAAGTTTATGCTAAAGGTTCTTGAACTGTTGATGATCAAGGCAGATATGCTGAAGATAATGGCAACAATATTTAAGAATGATGAACCAGAGGTAAGTTAAGATTTTTTTTCTTAAGGGACAGTCGTTTTAATTTTAAAATAACCTTCAGTTAAAAAAGGGGCATGTCCAATTCTTCAAATAAAAAAGCCAAAAAAATGTCACCCCTTTTTTAATGTTTCTTATCAAACCTTTTTCTTTGGAGGCAATAAAACTTATGACCAATATGAGCTTAACATATTTAAACACTATTAGGAACATATTTTAAAGATAAAATAAAATGGGAATTAGTAATGACGGTTAAAACTGTTGATTAATTTTAATTATCGATCAAATATGGTCAATACAAAATATTTCTCCAGGTTTTTTGAAATTACTAAAGATCCTGTAAAATTAAATACAATTAAATGTTTACTCAGTTGGATTCTTTTTTTTAAACCCTGACAGAAGATATATGCAAAAACGGACGTGTTATAGTGATCTTTTTTGGATCGTTTTTCCATTTATTTTAGGATACAGATATTGCAAAATTCAACAAAAATAATAATAAAAGCAAAGCTTAACAGCTTACTTTTTTAAAATCTTGGAAGTTTATTAAATTTTTTTTTTAATGTTTAATATTTTCTTTTTTTTCAGGTTTCCTTTTTCAAGAACTGTTTGAAGTTTGAAACTGACGAAACCTCTCCTCTTGACGATGTTTACGAAACATTCCAATATGAGATAGTCTCTAGGTTAGTATTTGTAGTTTATTTTTTATTTATGAGGCATGATCTTAGTGAGAAGGTGATTTTTCTTAGAATTATTCAAACAGTCAACCAATGACACAAAAATGACAAAAATAATGGCTCCTAAATAATTAAAACCCCAAAATACACACAATTTCACATTCGTAGTATTAAACAGATGATATTCAACCAATACGAAACCAATCTGAGAACAACGATATCCCATTGGAGACTGAGAAACTCAAGTTTGCTACTAATATTATTTGAATTTAATCATTTTTCATTTTTAATGGACATCAATGTCATAATATTATTTTTGGGTCCGGAGCACCAGAACTCCAACTAATGGCAGTGCAGTATTTTTGTCATGTGTGTCCGTCTGTATCACGTGACCAGTATACTGCACTGCCATTGGAGGGAGTTCTGGTCACGTGATACGGACGTATTTCTTACATATATACGTTTTGGTATAATTTTGACACAGTTTTATGTCAATTTCTCGAGACAAGAACATCAGATAGATGTCTTAAAGGTATCGTTCAACTCCTAAAAGGAACACTTCTCTGGATTCAAAAATATTAACTTATTTCTAACAATCAATCGATCAAAACGACAACTTTAAAAAAAATTAAAGCCATTTGTATCCCGTACGATAAAAGCCTTATCAAAATCAGACTTATGCCTGAAAACCGAAAAGTGATATCTGAGAAAAGCCAAAAATGGCCTCGAAACCGAAACGTTACGAGCTTATAACCAGGGGTGTATATTTTTTAAATGCTTTTTGACGATTTTGGGGACAAATATAAAAATTGGGCATCTAATGGCAAGTTTTCCATTTTTTAATACTTTTCACCTTAAAATTCAAATATTTTCTTCTATTCAGTGTTAAAAAAAAACCTTTTAAAAATGTTGTGCTTCGCGCTTGCACAATACATACATAAAACATCATCGAAAAAAATTTATTTTTAAGGTGGGGGGGAATATACACCCCTGCCCATAACTCGTGACCCGGAGGTTACAGGAGTCTGGAATTTCCCATATAAAAGCTTTAAGCCAACTTTTAATAAATTCTATTACATTGATTTCTATAGTTTCTCTTGTCAAATTAATTCTGACTCTGTGTATCCTATTTTATACAAAATATTATTATTTAGATTTAACCTGAAGAAGAAACGTGAGATGGAAGCTAAAGAAAATTCTGAAAATAAACCGATCAATTGATTCCAGAGAATAATTTTAAACACTTCGATCTGATCAAATTAGTATCAATGCCAGGCACATGATTATATAAACTGTATCTAAATATTGACAATTAATTCATTTTAGATAAAAGCTGGAATTTTTTTTTCTACAAAGAATACGTCGCATTTAATTAAATCCTCGATAGGTCTGTAATGAAAGCCTAGTACAAATGGAAAATATACGCTTAATATTGTACCTAAATAAATGTATAATAATTAAATTACTCTTATGTTTTTTTACTACAAGTGTGGAACAATTTTACCCTTTTTCTAACTTTTAGCATCAAGTTTAACATTAAGGTTTAAAATTTTATCAACAAGTTTTATTAACGTAACGTCAGAAGATAAAAGTTAAATTTTTTTTAAATATTTCGTTTATAGATAGTTGATTGTTCATGCTTATATTTTAGTTAGTTAATATTTTACAAAAATGCATAAAAACAAACTGACGAAAAATATTTGAGTAAAAATGTTGACTTGACTTTTAAGGTTTATAAGGTGTTTTTAACTACTCTTAAAAAGGTATATATATAAAACCTGAACTGAGGAAAATCCTAACTACGATACCAAACAAAAAGCAACCTGTAAGTAAAACCTACACGCTTAATTTATTGGTATGTCAAAGTGACAGAGCAAGAACTTCAATGAAAAATGCTGATTGAAGAGGATGAGGTCCGATTCACAACGGTACCCTGTGAACCTATATCGGAGTTAATAACGAGGAAAATGTTGTTTTTCTAGATGAAGAAGATTCCCTTTAACAGAATTCCGCAAATCACTTCTCATGAAGAAACAACAATTAAGAGAAAATAAATCTTGTTAAAAACATGAATATTTATGAATTCTCAATTATACAGGGTGTCCCAATAAACATGGGAATTCAGTGACGAATTCGATATCGTCTTTTTAAATAATTCTTTGATTTAGTATAGTGATACATGCTGAGAAAGCTGTAATCTGTAAGAGTTTCGTCTGCTATGTTCACATTTTGTTTGTTTATGTTTTGACTGCATACGGTTGTACTTAGTAGATCACAATACATCTACGGCAAGAAATATTACATGCTTTTAAGGAAGATGCATTATATATAAGATTAGATTTAGATACAAGGTGTCTCAGGAAACATGAAGTATAGCAAGTCAGCTTAAAAGTCGTATTTGATCCTTGATTTTTTTTGAGACATTTAATCTTGAAATAATGACAACATAATTCTCCTAGTCCTGTTACTTACAAAATGTGGTCAGGCATTTTTGTACGGTCGATATTACCGGAGATATGAAGAGAAAGGCAGACCACATTTTGAAATGCCAAGACTTATGGATATTTTCTGATTATTATCTCCAGAATTTTAATTATAAAATTATTGACAAAAAATACAGTATATTTTATTAGAAATCAAAGACGAACTTATAGTCGCCTTGCTACTGTCATGTTTCGTGGGAAACCCTATATAATAAGATGCTGGGTGTCCATAAAGCATAGGAATTAAATGACGATATCGAGATAGTCTTCTCGAAGGTTTTAGATTTAGCATTTTGATACCAACAGAGAAAGCTGTAATTTTATTTTAAAAAAACCAGGACATACATTTAGGAATGTGAACGCGAAGCATTATCAAATATTTATGTTTTTATTAGTTTTTGCTAAATTTGAAAATGAAATATTTTTTTGGATAAAGAATACCATACAGCCTAGGGTAAGATATTGACAGTTAATGTCAAATTTTTCATTCGCCACTAATTGTTCGGGAGTGGGCGGTATTCTTCAAAACTAAGTGACAAATGTAAAAATATATATGTGTGGCATATATACTTTTATTTCATACTATACAATTAATACATAATACAATATTTAATCATAATTCAAATACAGGCAACATAGCTAGAGGCTTACTGTTATTTACAATTTAATATTTACATTTAAAAATTTGCTTAACAAACTATTTCAGAGTAGTATATTTTTTAAACATTCATTTCCCCCAGTTAATTGGTATGTTTGCGCGGAACAAAAAAACATGCTTGTAATTTCTGAATTTTAGAAAATAATTTAATTTAAAGGTTTAATTTACTAATTTAATGGCGAAAAGTGGGGAAACTTAAAAGTTTATGTCCAATATTTCATTTTTTCCCATCAGGGCATCACATTTCACCATCTTCCTGTAAGGGGGGGTGGGTAATTTTTGAAAATATACAACCCTCAGCTATTTTAAACTAAGCTTCACTTTGTTCTTTAAGTTTAGGAAAAGCTGCTAATCTATACTTGAACATAACTTCAACTACTGACTGATAAAGTTCATCAGAGTCATCAACACATTCATCTAGACCTTCATCAGTACTCAGACCTCGTTCTGATACCACCAGACTATCCACAGAACCAGACATCCCACGCAGATCATTACAACTTACGCTGCGCCCAGAGAAGGGAGTGAACGGGCTACACATCCCACTGCTGACAGATGAAACATCTTGAATGGAATCATTTAAAATTTCGTTGATTAGCAGGTTCTCTTGCTCTTTTTTACTATTATCATAATCATTAGTGTTAAGATTCACAGTAACGATGGATTCAAATTCTTGTTCTGAATCATCTTCTTCATCGTCCTCATCTTCCTCCTCGTCCACCTCTTCAAGTGCTTCAAGCATCCAGGTTCCCTTTGATCCGAAGAATTCATATCTTTCTAGATTTCTGTATTTTCTAAATCTTCTTTCTATTTGAGCATTGCATTCTAATTCTCCTTCATCCTCATCCTCATCCTCATCCTCATATTCTTCATCAGAAAGGTCTAATGCGTATGATTGAAACAGATGGTTGTCTTTGCTTGGAAAATACTCGCATGACGTATCAAACTCAGGCAAATATTCCTTCTCACCATTGTTCCAAAACTCGGACAGACAATCTGATTTCTCTTTCTCTCCCAGCCATGCATTGTGGGATATTACACTATTTACTGGTTCAATGGGTTCGTTAGTGGTGGTTTCAGGACTCCTACAGGCAATTCCACTTGGATAAATGTCAATCCCAGTTTCTACATCTTCATCAATGCTTGAGTAATCAATAGAGAAATTCTCAGTGTCATCTTCCTCTGTTTCACAATCATCAATTGTTTGCTCATGGTTCTGTATGGTGTTGATTCTATTTTCAGTTTTCGGATTAATCTCATCTCCAATCAGATCAGGATAAAAATCTGTCTCTGCACATTCTACAAGGACTTCAGTTAAAGCAGTGTAGCATGTTTCCTCAGTTTCACATCTTGATAAAATACTGGGAACAGCTTTCTTCTGCACAGTCCTCTCATTGCCTACTTCCTCACTTGTAGGAATAGGAAGAGATTTAGGAACTTGGTCCTCATTTTCCCTTTTGTGGTTTTTCTCATCCTTTACCAAATCCTGATCTGTCTGTTCTTTTGTCCTTTCTGTATCATGCACGACTGACTTCAGCGATGAAATAATGGGGGGATCACAGTTAAACCTGATTATGTCAGTCTTTGTATTTTCAAAGCTCTCTGTTGCATCTGGATATTCTTTGAAATTAGTCTCAATGTGTTCTTCTAAAAATTCTAACACAACATCAATATCCTCCATTGAGTCTTCTTCTTCCATATCTTTGGTTTCTATTTCTTCTATTGAAGCTTCCTTGTTAACTGCTGTTGATTTTTCTTCCCTTCTCTCCAGCTCTTGTGCAAAAGCTTCAAGTATGAGGTGTGCCATAAATGCTTCACCTGCAATGGCTTCTTGTTCTCTTGCAAAAGATTCAATTTTTATTTTTACAACTTCTTCTTGATTTCTCCCAGACTCTAGCTCTACTGAATCTTTAAGTACAGCTTTTTGTTCTGCTTTTTCATCCTCAATAATTTCCTCATCTGGAACAGACACATCATAAACCTCTGTTTGAAAAATATCAGCATTCTCTTCTTGATTTACTATTTGGTTAGTGGCTATAAGTAGCTCTTTGGTTTCCTCTGCTTCTGCTAATTGATCTTTGGTCTCATCTTTGGTTGAGTCCCTGATAAGAATATTCTCAGAGGTTTGAGTTTCAAATTCATTTGCAATATTTTCAAGTACAGCTTCAACCTCTACAGCTACTTTATTAGTAGTGCCCTGCTCAGTTGGATATTTATTAAGTGTACCTTCTTCATTAACAGCTTCTTTAATATCAAGTTCATCTTTGTCAGTATTTTCATTTTCAGCAGAAGTCTCTGTTACGGCATCATATGCTCCAGCAACTTCTGGTACAGCAACGTCTTCTACAGCAGCCTCCTCTACAGCAGCCTCCTCTACAGCAACCTCTTCTAAAGCAACCTCTTCTACAGCAACCTCTTTAACAGCAACCTCTTCTGCAACAACCTCTTCTACAGTAAACTCTTCTACAGCAACCTCTTCTACAGCAACTTCTTTTACAGCAACCTCTTTTACAGCAACTTCTTCTACAGGAAAAACTTCTACAGCATCCTTTTCTACAGTAATCTCTCTAATAGCAATCTCTTCAATATAAGTCTCTTCTGCAGCAAACTCTTCTACAGCAACCTCTTCTACAGGGACCACTTCTACAGCAACCTTTTCTGCAGCATTCTCTTCCGCAGGAACCTCTTCTGCAGCAATTTCTTCTGCAGCAACCTCTTCTGTAGCAACCTCTTCTGAAGCAACCTCTTCTGCAGCAACCTCTTTTACAGCAACCTCTTCTGAAGTAACCTCTTGTGCAGCAACATCTTCTGTAGCAACCTCTTCTGCAGCAATCTCTTCTGCAGCAACCTCTTCTACAGCAACCTCTTCTGAAGCAACCTCTTCTGCAGCAACCTCTTCTACAGCAACCTCTTGTGCAGCAACATCTTCTGTAGCAACCTCTTCTGCAGCAATCTCTTCTGCAGCAACCTCTTCTACAGCAAACTCTTCTGAAGCAACCTCTTGTGCAGCAGCAACCTCTTGTGCAGTAACCTCTTCTCCAGCAATATCTTCCACAGCAACCTCTTCTTTAGTAATGTCTTCTGTAGCAACCTCTGTTACAGCAACTTCTTCTGCAGAAACATCTACTGCAACTTTTTCTCCAGCAACCTTTTCTGCAGCAACTTCTTCTACAGCAATCTCTTCTACAGCAACTTCTTCTACAGCAAGCACTTCTACAGCAACCTCTTCTACAGCAACCTCTTCTACAGCAACCTCATCTCCAGCAACCTCTTCTTCAGCAACCTCTTCTCCAGCAACCTCTTCTGCTGCAACATCTTCTACAGCAACTTCTTCTTCAGCAACCTCTGTTACAGCAGCTTTTTCTGCAGAAACATCTTCTACCGCAACTTTTTCTCCAGCAACCTCTTCTACAGCAACTTCTTCTACAGCAATCTCTTCTACAGCAACCTCTTCTACAGCAACCTCTTCTACAGCAACCACTTCTACAGAAACCTCTTCTGAAGCAACCTCTTCTGTAGCAACCTCTTCTGCAGCAACCTCTTCTGCAGCAACCTCCTCTGCAGCAACCTCTTCTGGAGCAACATCTTGTGCAGCAACATCTTCTACAGCAACCTCTTCTAGAGCCACCTCTTCTGAAGCAACTTTTTCTGCAGCAACCTCTTCTGGAGCAACCTTTTCTTCAGCAACCTCTTCTGCAGCAACCTCTTCTGCAGCAATCTCTTTTGTAACAACCTCTTCTGAAGCAACCTCTTGTGCAGCAACATCTTCTGAAGCAACCTCTTCAGCAGCAACCTCTTCTGAAGTAACCTCTTCTGCAGCAACCTCTTCTGCATTAATCTCGTGTACAGCAACCTCTTCTGAAGCAACCTCTTGTGCAGCAACATCTTGTGCAGCAACCTCTTGTGCAGCAACGTCTTGTACAGCAACCTCTTGTGCAGCAACATCTTTTACAGCAACCTCTTCTATAGCAACCTCTTCTATAGTAACGTCTTTTGTAGCAACCTCTGTTACAGCAACTTCTTCTACAGCAACTTCTTCTACAGAAACATCTTCTACCGCAACTTTTTCTCCAGCAACCTCTTCTACAGCAACTTCTTCTACAGCAATCTCTTCTACAGCAACCTCTTCTTCAGCAACCACTTCTGCAGCCACTTCTTCTCGAGCAACCTCTTCTCCAGCAACCTCTTCTACAGCAACATCTTTTTCAGCATTTTCTGCTCCAGCAACCTCTTCTACAGGAACTTCATTTACAGCAACATCGTCTACAGTAACCTCTTCTACAGCAATCTCTTCTTCAACAGCCTCTTCTGTATCAACCTCTTCTACAGCAACCTCTTCTACAGAAACCACTTCTACAGAAACCACTTCTGCAACAACCTCTTCTTCTACAGCAACCTCTTCTACAGCAACCCCTTCTGCTGCAACCTCTTCAGCAGCAACCTCTTCGACAGAAATCTCTAGTACAGCTTCATTTTCTGTTGATGCTTCCTCTGCATCAACTGGATGCACCGTAGCTGATTCTTGATCTTGAGAAGCCACATTATCCTGAGCAGTATCCTGATCTGTAATATTTTCCCTTGAATGTGCTCTTGAAGCAGTTTTTCTCTTGTGTTTAGAAACAACTAGTTCTGCAACAACAGCTGCAATATCAACCTCGCCATCCTCCACTACACCATTCACTGAATCCTCATCAGCAACATTGTCAACCTGAATAAGGAAAACATTTAGCAAATCATTCAAGAAAAAAGGGTGTCTTACGAAATATGAAAATTTGGCTTTTATTTGAAAACAAAACTTTCCCTTTTAGGGACTATTTTCTTGATGGTCATAAGTTGTAGGGGTTGAATCGTAGTAATAATATAATTGACTTTTCAATATTCAGTTTAATCATCAGATCTTCAGATATTTTAAGAGTTTAAGAACATCAATACAGTCCCGTCCTATATCTAACCTGAATAGTTGGTATAGATAAGACTGGGGTTTCCTTCTCCTCTGGGGCACTGCAGACTGCAACCTTGAAAAACAACCTGGGTCACATTTAAAACTTTTTTAAACAGGATGGAAATTAAAATAAATTTCAAGGATTCTTTCTATTCGGAAAGGATTCGTTCTATTCGAGAGTTTTTGAAAATTAAAATTCTGGTTTTTAAAGATTAAAGGAAATTTAAAAAAAAATGTTTTTATTGCTTAGTAATTATTGAAATTTGCAAATAACTATATATAGATATCAAAAGTTTTATTATTGATAATTTAAACTATCCTTACTTTTTTCGTCTCAATTTTGTCTTATATATACATACCTGTTCTGCTGTAGGTTTATTTAATCTTGAAGCTGCCCAGGTTCTGTAGGAACTGCGCAACCTCTTCCCTGACATCAAGTATTTAAAAACAATTATTTTTTTTACAAAAATTAGAATTTTGAATTGTTGTGCACGCTCTCGCGCCTAAAAAACAGTATTTTTCAATTATTCCTTTTAAACTGAAGCTCTAACAAGTACGTTGCAATTTTAAAATGTATATGTCTAGGACTACAAAAAAGTACGTTCGTGAGGTAAAACCAAATGTGTTGCAAAAAGTAAAGAAAACTATTATAGAATACAGTTTTTTAATGTTTTCTCAGATTTTGAATTTTGAATGTTTAATAAACAGAAAATAAGAATCCCTCCTAACTTCAGCCTGCATTAATGAATTTTGTGCCAAACTCTGCGTGTCAAAGATCTTATTATGTTTTTGATTAACTCACGTAGCCTTTTCATTTAGTTTCAGGAATATAATGGAGTAATGACGTACATCTATATATTTATGAATATTTACTATAAAACAATAATCAGTGAAGCTTCTCAGTTTTCATATTTATGAATATTAGATATATAGGGGGTCTCTAAAAACAATAGTTTATGTCAAGTGCCTCAATTTGGAACGGATTTTTTACATGAATATTTTCACAGTGGTCTGCATTTATATTAATACAATGAAAACTTGACAGCTTCTATTTCTTTCCTTTTTAACACATTTCTGATTTAATGAGTCAAAGGGAAACTTTGTATTTTCTTTGAAACAAATTCTATGGATATACAAATTTCGAGAAATCCTGTAATGCATTACAGTTTTGTCAGAGTAATTAATAAATTACTCGGACAAATTTGTAATCTAATTGGTGAAAACAAACAAGTTGTAGGAGGACATTTTTTATACATATTTTTTTTACTGTTCGTTCCGTTTTAAAATCAAAATAATTCGCTAAAAACACGATAAAAGGTTTTTGCTTGCACTATAAAATCAAAGAAAAGAAAAATGGCATCAATCGGAAAAAGTTATAAAAAAAGAATTTTTAAAATTTTTGAAATTTAATAAAACTTGTTACAAATTAGAACCTAGATCGAAATAATAGTTTCATGTCAAAAAACGAAATACTGTTTTTTAGAGACACTCTCTATCATTAATTGTATGAATGATATTATCATTCCCGAAGTTTTCTATGGAACCAGGATCTGCAAAGTAATGATTAAGCCTTATCAGCCAAAAACATATTAATAGTTTTTTCTAAATTGTAAAAAAATTAGTGATTTCAGTCTTTTTCATTAATAAATTTACATCAAGCTAATTTTTAAAAATACTGTTAAACGGGGTTTTAACGGAAGCGCTTATGAATTGTTGAATGAGGAAGTGATTCGTCCTTAGTTCTACAAATAAAAAACTTCCCGCATTTCAAAGATTTATTTTGAATATTTTATTGGAATGTGAATTCGAACAAAAAATAACCGCTCCTGCAATTCCTGTCCCCACTTTTTAAATTAATGATCACCCCCTTTACTTTCCAAACTAAACTAAGCTAACATATTTCACATTAAATCTAAAGAATTTAGAATTGAAGGAAAAAATATATATTTATACCTATGCTTGGCCTGCGTTTCAAATTAGGGGGCGGGCTACCCCTGGGCGTGTTAGCTCCACCCCCTGGAGGCGGACTCTTGTGGACCGAAGTGGTCGTGGGGCTGGGGTCAGCCCCTAGCTGCTTAGACAGCTTCACCCCCATATCATCTATCCTTTAATTTTCTAAAAATAAAAACAATTTTACAAATTATCAACTAGTAAAAACCAATTACTATTTAGTTACAACGACAAACTCTTTAAGGCTCATTTTTTGTAGGGAACCCTGTAACCCTGTAGACAATCCATGCTCTAGTGATTTCTATTATTATTATTTTTATAAAACAACCAGGTGGTAGGAAAACAGTGCTTTATTTTGGAACCAAGTAAATCATTGTATTTTCTCAACCATAGCTTTTACATTTAATATATCTTAAAATATAAAGCGAATTAAAAAATCTTAACAGAAGTATTAAACTTATCAACAATCATATTTTTACATGATTCAAACCACAAGGATTGGAAGGGTGGGGGTAGCTCAGAGCTCTTCCTGTTCCAGAATTAGTTCAGAGAGAAACTGTATTCGAAGAAACTGAAGAGAAAGATTTGTCGGAATCAAGAAGAGAAGAAGTTTCTAACAAATAGAACCAGAGTTTGAAACTTTTGTTTGAGATAGCGCTAATCTTCAACGCTTCATCTTGATGATCATTCTGGCAACGTTTAAATTCAAGAGATAAATGCGTAATCCAAGTAATTGAGTCTTTGCCACAAATTTAGATTTTCTAATCCCTATCTTACCAACCAAATATATAAAATCAATCCTATAATCAAACCTATTCTTAAGGGGGAAGGGCGGGGAGAAATTCGTAAAGGAAATTGGTCCGAGTAGAAGGTGTACGTAAGGATTGGATACGGATACTTCATACTTTCTAACATTATCCTTTTTTTAAAAGATATTATTAATAAGAAATTAAAAATTTTAAATCCTTTGATGCAATTAATTAAATATAAATGCATGTATTTTTTAAAACAATTCAGTAAAACCGATCATATCTAGATTTTTAAATACTTTTTCACAACTTAAATACGACTCAAGACCATTTAATGATTTTTTTAAATATTACAATCATATGAAAAAAGTTTACTGTAAATATATACTATGGAGAAATCCTTGACGAAAAAAAGTGTATTCAAATCTTTAAATACAAAATAAGATTGAAAACTTTAATTTCGAAATATTCTAGACTGAATTAGATTTTGTGGTCTTGCATGAGTGCACTAGCAAATATTTTCAAGAAATATATCTTCGGAATTTCAATTTATATCTTTACAAAATAGATTTGCTGATTACATCATTATGTATTTTCAAAAATAATTCATTTCCTCCCTCCGGTCCTCTAATCTTCAAAAATTATTTTCCTTTTTGATAATTTTCAAAATATAGACAAAAAATTGGGTTTACAGCTAAAATCTATCCTTTGGGGGAAAAGGAAGTAATGTTGTGAAGAAAAATTTTCAGAGCTTGGAACATTAGAATGTGATATCCTTAATCCCGATCGGTTAATTAATCTGAGCTGAAAACTTTAGAATGGGATATTCTTAATCCCGATCAGTTAATTAATCTGGAGATTAATAACAAGAGGTGAACAAGCATTATTTAATCTTGAGATTAAGAAAAAGAGGAGATCAAGCATTAATCCCGATATCCACCATTCAAAAGTTCCCAGCTCAGAATTTGTTTGAAAAATAATGTTTATCCATAAATAGGTGCAACAATGTATAGTTTGTTGATCGTAATCATTTCCTTAATCTTTTCAAGAACTGAATTATGCACAAAATTAAATCCACCATTGCATTGTTTAATCATTTTCTATTTTCGCTACCATGCCAAACTAGAGTAAACTGCATATAAGATTGAAATCTTAAATGTTTTCATCAAAACACCACTTTTAGAAGAGCTATTAAGAAGAGCAAAAATGTTTTTAATTTCTAATTTTAAACAGGTAAAATTTCTTTTCTTATACTAGTTCGTAAACTCAAAACTTAAGTAGCTAAAAGCTCACAAAATCGCATGAATTTGACCTTCTCCTTCTGTCTAGCTTACAGTTCTACTCATAAAAAAATGTCCGTTTTTGACCACGAGCTGTTTGAAGCCTTGTCGTTTTCAGTAGAAATCAATTTTCTAGTTTTTTCTAATCTGTGTAGGATTATATTCATTATATTCTCGAGTTGATAAATCCATCTAATCTTACATTTAATCTTCATATTCCTGATAACTAGGGAATTGTTTTTAACATGAATGTTTTATTCAGTACAATTATAATCTTTATTTTGTATTGTTCCCCACTTATGTAAGCCTTTCCCTGCTTCCAAAACAGTTCCAAATTGGTAGATTTTTTATGGGGGAAATTCGGAGGAGAAGGGACAAATTTTGCGTAAATTTTATTTGTAGTAAAAACGAATCTGAGGAAGGACATCTTCTCTATATTTTATTTTGAATATAAAACCCTATTTGGTTGGGTAGAAGAACATTTCAAACTATTAAATGTTCTCCTCAATAGCTCTCGAAAAAAGAAATTGGGATTTTGTTCTAACGTGAAATTCACTTTAATTTGAGGTAAGGAATCACTGAATATATTCCACTTTATTATAGGGACCACTTTAAATATTTTTATTTTTTTACTAAATATTATGTGAATATTTATACTGTGATAACCAAAAACTTTAGAATAGGAAGACGACATTAAAGCAATACTGAAGTGCATTTGATTCTGTTACAAAGCAGATAATTTTATCAGTAGTAATCAAATCACTTACAAAGTTAAATGGGCACTGTCTACACTTCACAATTCCTGTGCCTCATAATCGTTGGACTATTTAAAGTCATAATTTAAGTCTGAAAGTCGACCTCGTATTCCATAGTTTTGTGGTTATCACTTTATTTATTATATTTTCTAAATATTAAACTGTTGATGTATATTGTCAAGGATGAATAATCTCTCTCCTCCTACCTTCCTATGGAACTGAACCAATGTGACTGCCTGTGTATTAAGTGTGAAACTACCGCTCTGAGAATTCTTATATCTTTCTTTCTATCGTTCTTTCGATTTATCTTTTAGACTATATGGTGTCTGTCTTATATCATCTGTCTTTCTGTATGTCTTTACTTCCATCTATCTATCTATCTAAACCTTGTGTGACATTAGCTGCATGCCAATGTTTGCTTGAATTTCGAAATTGGTTTCACTTCCTGTACAGTATGTTTTACTGCCTGTACAGTATGTTTCACTTCCTGTATAGTATGTAAGGGTGTATGTATTACTGTAAACTAAGGAGAAGAAGAAGGTAAAGTTTATGCAATATTACTGGTACGACGTTGTGACATCATAGCTCCTCTAGTTTTGATTTTATGCGCAATTGCATGAAAAGCAAATTTATCCGATCTCATTTTAGAAATTTAGAAATTAGAAATAACATCAGATGTGTATCCGTAAACTACATACAGAGTTAATCACAAAGCATGCAACATAAATTTCGACTTTATTTTTCAATCTAGAATGATTTGAAGTTTTAATTTGATTTTTTTGTCATAAAAAAATTAATTTATGGTATAAAAAATGTTTTGACAAAGAAAGAAACAAGTTTACATTTGTGGGAAGCCAAGAAATTGAGAATAAAGACAGAATCAATTCTATACAGTCGTCTCTGAAGTCTCATTCTTTGTGGGTAACCCTGTATATGTATTATATATGTGTATTGTTATTTATACAAATATATATGTATATGTATTGTATACGGACCATTTTCATATGCTTAAATGCATAAATTTAAAGGTCGAGGATAGAGTCCAATTCATTCATGAGAGGTTTTCTGTACCTTCATTAACGAAAAATATCGAATAGTTTTTACTCCCAGTACGTTTTTATGAATTTAAATAGACTCCCCACTAAGAATGTAGTAAATACCCTACTCCATAAACTGCTCTCGAACCTGTTTCTATCCAGGTACAATTCGTCAGCTATCAAGGTCAACACGGACACAAGCTCAGCTATCAATGTCAAAACGGACACAGAGTCTTAATTGATCAATACCAACCCAATGGGCAAGATATCAGCTCGTATGTTTCAACGAGGACCAGCTATCAATGTCAACAGGGACACAAGCTCTTAATCTATCAAGGCCAAACCAATGGGCATGATCTAATAAGCTATAGATATCAAAAATCTAAGGCCAGAAACACTAATATCAGTTTTCTCTAGGTTGGATAAGCAGTCAAAAGGACGAAAAACATATTTAAGATGACATTCATAAACTTCTAGAAATTTTAAAAACACCTAAAATTTACTCCATTCGTTTGTTTTGAAAAACAATGTACATCCTTAACCTAATGTATACAGCATAAAAACTCAAATGAACATGTCAAAATTATGATGGTTTATAACACTATAGTGCTTTAACTTTGAAATGGCAGAAACGACTTAAACTTCCGTCTTTATATTTCAAGATTATTGTTTAAAAAATAAACCTGATGTATAGCCAGGATCCAGGAAGGGGTTTAAAAAATATGAATATGATTTTTTAATCTCTGAGGCATGAAATCTACCCTCTCTCCCCTTCTGAAAATTTTTAATGGTATTAAATGATTTAATTCAACCAAGAAATAGTCATATTCTAAGAGTATTTGTAGGTCTCTCTGCATACTACTATAGCAAAATGTATAAATCATATTTTATTTTGTTTTCCTTATTACAAAGACTACCAGTTCAAAACCATGCTTAGGTCCCAAACCTGACACTGTCAGGTCTTAACAAAATTACTGTTTAAAAATGTCTTTCCTCTGCATTATAACATCTAAATATATATAAATATATATATATATATATCACCCCAGGGGCCAGGGATGGTTTATGGAACATCAAAATTGGACAGAAAAAATTCCATATAAATAGTTGGAATTTTTTTGAAAATGCGTCATTTCGAAAAGAAAATTCCGCTAAAAGAAACTGTAAAACTTTCCCGGGGCTGTTCAGAATGATGAAAATTTCCCTGTATAGTAATTGAAGGAGACTGCAGTATGGTTTTGGTGAATTATATTGACGTACTAAGCATAGGGGTCTCAGAAATATTTTTTTATCATTTTTTTCAACCATCCCGTAAACCTAAAAAAGTTTAATTTTTAAAAGAACTTGTTGTTCTCGGTAATTTCATATGTTTATATTAAACTTTCTTAAACTTTCTAAATTCATTTAGTAATGAGTTTTAAATCAAAATAAGTAATAATAAATATTGCTTTATATCGAGTAGATATTCTTAAACATACCGATGTAAAACCTTTTCAGAAAGTAGGAAAGATTCTGCAAAAAAAGTTGCCAAACCAAACAGAATTTTTATTTTTAATAAAAATTGGTGATTTTGCCATCCCTCTCTCCAATGAATCATCAACAGAATCTCTTTTTTATTGTTTTACATGAATGAAAACAATGGAAAGCTAGAGTAAAGTGATACCAAGAAATGCTTCTATATAAGTCCTAAATATTTTTGTTCAAAATAAAAATTCTGTTTGGTTTGGCAACTTTTAAAAATATATTATTCTCTTGGAAAAATGTCAGACCATTTTGTAACAGCTTGCTGACTAAATTAAGAGAAATTATTTGACAGCGTGAAATTTAAATACTTTTTAGTTCTTGAATAGGATATTTTTCTTCAGAATACAGGGCTTGTGATGTGTCAATAATTTTTGATAATAAGGTAGTATTCTTTCGCAAATCTGAATAATTTATTAAAAATTGGTATCTACTGGACATCAAGGAAATTGTCAGAATTAAACACTTTTCAAGCTAGAAAACCGACAATATCTCTCACATTATTGATCAAATATAGGTTAAAAAGATACCAATTTTCATCAGACAGGACTCTCTTAAAAAACTGCACAGTCCCTTTAATGCTGTAAAGTACAACTCTGTTCTGTTTCTGCTCGCCAAGGATTAGTTTAATGCCAAGGATCTAGGTCTGCAGATCTATAGATAATAGGACCATGGATTGATTGATTGTTACATGAGAACTATTCACCCTGTTTTCTTAGAATTGGGAACTCGTCTTTATTCTAGAAACTCTAACCACGCTAAACTAGTTCATCCCATTAATCCGTTAGATCATTAGTTATAACGACGAACGGAACGAGTTGTTCGGTAAAAAGTAACAGAGAAGTTAGTTTACAATTTACAATTTAACTTGATATAACTCTTATGCCTAAACCTACCTTTACTAAAATTGGTGTATCTTTGGAACTATTATTCTATAGCCGTAGCTGGCATATTACAAATTTTTGTATAAATTGAAGGGAAAAGCCTTAACTTTGAAACCAGTTTCATCCGGAAAAAGAAGACTTTTCGCATTTATTATTTCTTACATTGCTGAAGTTACAGGATAATTAAAAGTTTTAGCCTCTGGGCTTCTAACCCTCCTTGGTAACTATGTGTATTTTCCAGAGATAAGAAAGTAAAAACATCTATCTTTATTCTATCGGGATATTAAAAGATCCTTTGGATATGAAATACAAAATCTTTAAAAATAGACTAGTTTCATAAATTCTTGATGTCGTATGTAAAAAGTTAGTGTTTCTTTAAAAACAGTAAAACAGATCTACTGAATGCGACAAGAGGCCTTTAGATGACAGTCAAAAACCTGTTGTGGGAATTTAGCTTGCCGTGGCATTTCGATTATAGGCCTAGTTAGCCCACCTGTGAGAGCCGATTAGCAATCTGTATATATTTATATATTCTCTGTACGTTCATGAACTGTAACCTCTCCAGTAATTCCAGCTCCCTCCAGCTCATAAGCAGCATGATCTCCAGCATCCAACTCTTCAACTGACTTTCCAGTGGGGGGTTGCGTGTTAAACATCCCCTGGCTATCAATGCCTCCCCCCCCCCGTTTCAAGTTTCCTAAATAATATGTATGCTTGAGACTCTTGAGACAAATATACATATTTTGATTTGATTTGATTTGATATAGTCTGTGTTATTTTCTTAGAAGCAATAATAAAGAAATTATCTCAATCCACCAGGTTTAAACATGTGGCAGTGGTAGACACGTGCACTGCATGCAATCAAAGAGTTGTAGACCAAAAATCTAATTTGAGACCTTTTCCAAGAAATGTCGTCTTAACCAGTCCAAGTCCAAACCAAACACTTTTGGTGACCCTACCTCTATACTCTCAGACCAAAAAAAAAAATAAACAGAGAAACGTTTTACCAAGTAAAAGATTAAATCCATAAATAACTTTGCATTACACAGTAAATTCCACTTAAGCAATTGGGTATATATTTTCAGAAATAAATAAATGTTTTAAACTACACCACCAAACCCTTCACCACTCCTTTTCACCCCCACATACATTTAGCTTCATTAAAATATTGCCATTCATGTTTAACATAAAAAAAACGGAGCTTATCTCTTCGCTCCTTTGAAACTAAAATGTCATGGCGACTACCTTGATTGACCGCAGCGCTTCTCACAGCTGAGCGGTAACTAAACTAAGGTTATGTATGTTCACATAGTATAAAGTAAGACAATATCAACGCCTCTAAAACAAAGTTCAATGTCAGAATAATCGTAAATTATATCATCGTACTTTACCCGCTCCCTTTATATCCTCGGAATTTGACTTAAGTGCTTTATGTCTAAAAGTTCACATACTATCCTTTTTTAGTAACCAGAGGCCAAATTTAAAGAATTTGAGCGGCGGCTTAAATTTAAACCGCGGCTCAAATATGGTTGGTTTCACTTAAAATTTTATTAAGTTTTTCAAGATTTAAGCCGGCCCTCGATTGAAACCGTTTTTTGGGTGATTTGAGACGCGGTTTAAATTCATAAAATTCGGACACAGTTGTATATTTGTATTTTCATTTTAGTATTTTTCTGAGATTTATTCCTCGCTCTATCTTGGAAGCAATTTTATTTTCATTGTCTAGATCTGTAATATAATATATTAAAGATTAGGTCAGCAGATTCCTTTATCAATTTATTCCCGTTTAACCATAAAACGGGGTAGGGTCTAGCTTGTATACCCCAACCATTTTTATGTGCTTTTTATTCCAGAAACGATCGTTTCGTTTTTAGAACTGCTCGTTTCAACTTTTAAAACCCGGAAAAACTATCAGTTTTTTAAAATTAAAAGTTTGCTCATTAATTTGAGTTTTATGACAATTAATTTAAATTTTTTTTCAGTAAGATGAATTTATGATTTTGTCTTAACGGTGGTTAACGAAAGGTCGTCGTTAACAATCATCATTAAAAACGACCTACTTTTGTTAACGAAACGACGAACTTTTCAAAAACGATAGTTTTTAAAACTCCCTTTTTTAATTATAACGATCATTTTTATTTGTCGTTATTAAACTAAACGATTGTTTTTAAAAAAAATGAAAACGATCCATCCCTAACCACATGCGATCCAATTGATGAAATTATGAAATTATGCTGAAATTTCTTAGCTTTACAGAAATTAAAACTGATAATTTTTTTGTATGAACATGCTTTGCACCTGAAGATTTTAACAAAACCGTCATTTATGTCAAATAAGGCTTGGCGGCTTAAGAATAGCTCGGCGTAACAAAGACGACATCTAAATATATTGCGGGATTACAGGATTCATTCAAGGATAAATATAAGTACAGGCAAAGTAATTATAAATTGAAATCATTACCACACCATCATGTTGAAAAGATATAAGGATAAGAAAATTTGAGCTTGTAGCAAAGACTCAACTTTTTTATTAAATATGAATTTTTTTTAGAAAACTTCTAAAATCTACAACCCTTTCTTAATCCACTTTTTTTATTTATTATCAAGACAATTTCACATATTTATCGAAACAAAATAAAATTTTCAAATTCTTATACTATTGGTACCTGAACCGGATGTCGAAGACCTTAAATATTTTAAATCTTACATCGTTGTAACCTGATATCGTAGACGTTAAATATTTCAAATCCTTATATCATTGTAATCTGTTGTCGTAGACGTGAAATATTTCAAACGATTAACTTTTCTAGATGAAGTCAGTTGTCAAAGTTTATTTTTTCAAAAAAAATAAACTGAGTTTTTAGCCAGTAATCAGTTCCAAAGAAAATATATTTATTGTATAAAAATTGAGAAAGTTTTTATTTTAAGAGGATTATCTAACTAGATCCAACCAAGTTTCAGCTGTTTTGGATTATTCCTCTCATCCACTCTTACGTAGATCTAAATATAAATATTATAGGGATAAACGTTACTTCAAGTTAATTTATAAATTTAAGTTCGTGTTCGATACCTTCCTTTATTTTGTAAACTTTTAGAGGGATTGTACAATGTACATGAAAATAGTCAATTTACAGATATCTCAGATCAAGGTAGAATTAAGTTGGCTAGGGAGGTTTACAATATTATAAGATCTTCTAGCTTTTGTAGAGCTAAAAACATGAGAATAAGTCCAATAAAATTTCACAGTTTAAATAACAAGTTTGATTCCTAAAATGGTCATAAGAATGTTAATAACTATTTATAACACTATTATTTTGGTTCGCAGTTATATAGTTTTTGGACAGAAATTTTCTCTTTATCGATAAGGTTCAACCCCTTTTCGATTAAATTTTGTTCCGAGCTTTAGCAAGGGACAAAATATAATCCAAAAAGGCGAGAACCTTTGAGATATAGAGAAAACTTAAGTCCAAAAACTGTATAACGCGTCGTGCCAAAATAATTGTGTTATAGGTAATTTTATAAAACGTTTGTGTAGTTATAAAGTTAATTTCAATTTTATTTTCATTTTAATTGAAACCACGGGCAGCCGTAGTACATTTGAATTTTCGAACCGGGTCAACCTTGAACTGTATCGCCTGGACATTGGGTAAATAAAACAGACACTCAATAGGACTAGNCTTTTTATTATTGAATTATTGTAACTTAAAGTTTGAAATTTCAAAAGTCTGCGAGAGCAGGCTCCATAGATATAAAGATTAGAAAAAAATCGCGAGTGTTCGAATATAGGGTTATCTTAAATAAAAGTTTTACCACAAACTCAAATTTTCTAATCACTGTTTATTTGAAACCTGATGATGTAAGCCTTTGATATTTCAAACTTAGATTCTTTTTATTAAAAAGAATTCTAAATCTAAGGTCTACGACATGGGGCTGCAATTGCAAAGATACAGTTAGAAAATCAGAGTTTGTGGCAAAAGCTCAATTCATTTGTATTTCCAATATTTTTATTTCTAACTCTGTGCTCCTTCTGCTGTTCTGTTTTTATTTATTATTGAAAATTAATGAGGAGAGAAAGAAGTATAAAGCAGATTGAGAAATAATTTTTAACATAAAAATATATGAAACAAGTTTATTTTGAACATTTTACTATCTCGAACAAAAAAGGGTTTGTTTTATAAATAAAGAGGAAATTAATTCTTTTAAAAAGTGTATGTTTAAACTCTGATTTAACCTGATTTCCGACTGTTGGGAACAGATTGTTCTTTTTAATGACCTCAGTTTTCTAAAAGAAAGATAAAGGATAAAAACGTGATAAAATAAAATCGTCGTAAAAAAACATAAGGAAAAAAATTCTTACGGCGTAGCTAGGGTTTACAGGGTGGAATGGACAAGTTATTGCGATTGTAACCGGTTATTGATGGGCTTGACCGATTGACAACAGTACCCTTAAAGTTTTGTCTCATCAAGAATGCAGATATCCATTTTCTCCTTATAACATTGATTATTATCGTTATGTGAAGTAACTTGTGCTACAGACACACTGATGATATCTTCCACATTATTGATCAGATCAAGGTTTACAGGGTATCATTGTAAATTTGTCATGCACTTCTTCAGATAGGGTAATCTTTAAATTACAGGTACAATCCCTTAAAGTCTAGGTTAGACCTACCAGGTTTACTCCAGTAGGATGGAAAGACCAGGTTTTGATTTCAATGTTTCCAGATCTCAAACCTTCAGAGAGGGTTCGGATCATAGTCGGAGATAAGATCACAGATCTCACCTATGTAAAGAATGGAATAAAGTGCATCATTTGGGTATCATCATCATCATTATCATCATCATCATCATCATCATCATCATCATCATCCTCATCATTCAAATCATCATCATCATCATCATCATCATCATCATCATCATCATCATCATCATCCTCATCCTTATCATCATCATCATCATTATCATCATCATCATTATCATCATCATTGTCATCGTCATCATCATCATCATCATTTATTCATCTCTCTTCATCTCATTTATTACCCAGCCCGAGTTGAAAAGGAAATACAGAATAAAAATTTAAGGAATTGAGTTTTTGTCAGAAGCTAAAATTTTCTAATCTGTATATTTTTGCAACCTGATTGTACCTTTGATGTTTCAAATTTAGATTATTCGGTCTAACATAATTTTTAGTTTGAAATGTTCAAGGTCTACAACATTGGGTTGCAAAGATGTAGGGATAAGGAATTCTGAGTTTGTACTTATTGCCTTCCTTCGTTGTGGTCTTGTGGTGTTCAAGACTTTTCTTAAATAATTCTGGAATTTTAAGCCTCCAAAATATCGATAGTTGATTAAAATGACGATATTTTAAATATTCAACTTAAATATTTGTAATTGTTCACATGCAATAGGGTCTTTTATTTTCATAAATGCCAAGATTTGAATGAAAAAAATGTAGTGTAACGTCTATTTATTCTTGATTTCTTAATCTTTCAAACCAAATTCTAAAAAACTGTAGGTAGAAAACCCATATTTTAAGGATAATAATAGAATAAAGTGTTTTTTTAGCACATTGGGACTTACAACATTGTGGACTAGGAAGACGATGTTGATATTACCAGTTTAAAGGAATTGAGTCTTTGCCACAAAGCCAAATTTTTGAATTCAAATATCTTTGCAACCTGATAGTGTTAAACTTTGATAAAGTTAGATTATCTGATCTAACATAAATTCTAATTTGAAACATCTAAGGTTTACGACATTGAGTTGATTCGAGTTTGGGGCAAAGACTCAAGTCCTATTTTTTGGATTTAAAGACCCATCAACTTGTTTTGTTATGTTAAAAAGATTAAGCGCAGGAAGAGTAATAATTATATTACCGAGGTAAGTTCCCTATTGATAGGATTGGTAATATTGATCTCAGTTCCAGGAATCAGTGTGATCGAATCATCATTGTTTCCATCCTCAGTAGTTATAGTAATCTCTTCCGCCTTCTCAACTGAAGCATTAGATCCTCGCCTTGTTTGAACTTCAGGTTCAGCATAATAATCAAAGTTGTCATTCATATTCTCATTAGACAAATCATTCTCCTTTAAGCTGACAGATACTACGACGGAAGCATCACGAATGGTTCTGATTGCATCCTCACTCAAACCTGGAAATATGGATATATTTTATTAAAAACTAATTTCTAGACGAGAAAATAGAGGAATTGAGTCTTTACAACAAACTCTGATTTTTATCTTTACATTAGGCAAAGATAACGTGATAAGAAAATTTGGGTTTGTGGCAAAGACTCGATTCAATTCCTTTGTTTACTAAGTGTGAGTTTGAATAGACATAGGGGTTTGAATTTTATAGTGTAGATCCCGTAACACTGGAATTTTAGGTATCTAAATGGTTATTTGATGTAGGAAGCATCACGAATGGTTCTGATTGCATCCTCACTCAAACCTGGAAATATGGATACATTTTATTAAAAACCAATTTTTAAACGAGAAAATATAGGAATTGAGTCTTTGCCACAAACTCTGATTTTTTTATCTTTGCCATTAGGCGGCAAAGATAACGTGATAAGAAAATTTGGGTGTGTGGCAAAGACTCAATTCAATTCCTTTCTTGACTGTGTTTAACTTGAGTTTGAATAGATATAGGGGTTTGAATTTTATAGTTTAGATCCCGTACCACTGTATGAATTTCAGGTCTCTAAATGGTTATTTGATATTGTTCACAATATGGTAGCAATTAAAAATCAACTTATTAAGTGAGATGGGAACATGAACACCATATATGCATAATTACTATGTTTCATGTTAATTGCACGACTTACACTTAAAATTAAAATCAGAATTGAAAAATAATAACTGATTAAAATATTTATTGATCACCTTGAGCTTTCAAAACATCCTCTAGACCATCGTACTGATAATGCTTCAGAAGAAATCTTCCTGTTATAATCGGTTCAACCAGTTTTATTCTTTTCAATCCACTTCCAGGCTAGATTATTTATATACAGTTGTAAGCGTTTATAACAATAAAATCGGTTAAACCAGTTCTATTCTATTCAATCTTACTCCAGGCTAGATTATTTATACATTCAATAGTAAGCGTTTATATCAATACAATCCGTTCAACCAGTTCTATTCTATTCAATCCACTTCCAGGCCAGATTATGTATACATTCAATAGTAAGCGTTTATATCAATACAATCGGATCAACTATTTCTATTCCTAGTTTCGGTAATGTACTTAAATGTACTGAAATATTCATAAATAGTATGTTTTGGGTAGCTAACCCTGAAAAAAATACCCAATTTTGTTTGAAAATCTTAATTTTAAGCAAAGCTGAAATTATGTTTATAAAAAATGAAACAAACAAATTTCATAAATTTCTTTTAAAATTTGATTTTTGCAATTTATATAAATTTACCTTCGGAGGATTAAAGAAGTTGAGTACGTTGAAATCCAAAAACGAAGATCTAAATATTTTATAAATCAATTTTAAATTAAATTCTATTCAGTCATTTTTCGTTTAACAGTGCTTCTCATTATTAGGAGGTTGAAAAGTTTTAATTTTCAAATCTCACTGAAAATTCCAATTCATCTGAAGTACTGTCCCAACATTTGAGCAACTACAGCCATTAGACGGTGAAACGGAACAGTACACTAAATGTAGGTTTGTACCGTGTCTGTTTGTGTAAAAATGTCGAATCCGATCAGGCCCAAATGTTTGTAGAACATGACCCCAGGAAGGGTAAAGCCGATCAAGAATAAACTTTAAAAAATACTGAAAAATCAAATAATAAAAACGGAAAAATCGAAATTTGACATTGTTAGTTCGTAAGAATATACACACAAAAAATGTTTACCTTTATGCATTTAAGAGCTACAAATATTACGAGAAATAGCAATTTGTTTTTACAAGATTGCAAAAATGCTTGAATATTGAAAGTATATTATTTTCAATCTGAAATAACTCTCTTAAAGTTTAAATTCCTGAGCATGGATTTTTAATTTTTTTGTTAAAAGAAGGATATTTTCATCAAAACAATTGAAAACAAAACATATTCATACTAAATTTATTACAGCATGAGTAACATTTTCTCAACGAAACTATACCTGAAACCATACCGTAAACCATACCAGAAACCATACCGGAAACCATACCGGAAACCATACCGGAAACCATACCGGAAACATTCAATCCACTTCCAGGCTAGATTATTTATATACAGTTGTAAGCGTTTATATCAATAAAATTGGTTCAACCAGTTTTATTCTATTCAATCCACTTCCAGGCTAGATTATTTATATACAGTTGTAAGCGTTTATATCAATACAATCGGTTCAACCAGTTCTATTCTATTCAATCCACTTCCAGGCCAGATTATTTATACATTCAATATTAAGAATTTATGTCAATACAATCGGTTCAACCAGTTCTATTCTATTTAATCCACTTCCAGGCTACATTATGTATATACAGTTGTAAGCGTTTATATCAATAAAATCGGATCAACTATTTCTATTCTTAATTTTGGTAATTCGAAATTGGAGAGTGAACCGGTGATTCAGGATATGAACCAGAGGTAGGTAGTTCAGAGACCTCTCCAATTAATTATATTTGGTCCTAGAAATGTTTATTAAATTAAAAGAACACTCAAATGTAAAGTATGTTTTGTGTATCTAACCCTGAAAAAAATTATAATTTTACCTAAATTTGTTTTAAAATTCTGATTTAAAGCAAAGCTGAAATTATGTTTATAAAAAATGAAACAAACAAATTTCATAAATTTCTTTTAAAATTTGATTTTTGCAATTTATATAAATTTACCTTCGGAGGATTAAAGAAGTTGAGTACGTTGAAATCCAAAAACGAAGATCTAAATATTTTATAAATCAAATTCAAATTAAATTCTATTCAGTCATTTTTCGTTTAACAGTGCTTCTTATTATGTAGGTTTGTACCGTGTTTGTTTGTGTCAAAATGTCGAAACTGATCAGGTCCAAATCTTTGTAGAAAATGACCCAGGAAGGGTAAAGCCGATCAAGATAAAATGAATAAACTTTAAAAAATACCGAAAAATCGAAATTTCACATTGTTATTTTTGTAGAATATACATACCGGAAACCATACCGGAAACCATACCGGAAACCATACCAGAAAAACATACCGGAAACCATACCGGAAACTATACCGGAAACCATCCCGGAAACCATACCGGAAACTATACCGGAAACTATACCGGAAACCATACCGGAAACTATACCGGAAACTATACCGGAAACCATACCAGAAACCATATTGGAAACCATACCGGAAACCATACCAGAAACCATACCGGAAACCATACCGGAAACTCTGGAATAGGAAAATTACTTTTTGACCCAAGTTAAGACTTTAAAAAGTCCAATGAACATGAGACAAAGCAATTGTTCAGTGTAAACAGACCATTTCACTTTAGGAGGGATGTAAAACTATTTGCTTTGTATAACAGCGTCAAATACACTTGATTAATGCTATGCGGTCGTCTTCCTATTCCACAGTTTTCTGGGGTTTTTACTGCACATCTTGGTGTTTTTTACATCTAATTTTTATCTGTTCAAATAAAAATTGGTTCTGACATTTTCATTTTGCATGCCTAGAAATTTAGGAGGGTCCGAACACCGATGATAAGAAAACAGCTATAATTAATGTTGTTAAATTTTTTTGGATCGTTTCTTTTTAAACTTTTACTAAAACTTGAAAGGTTTAAAACTTGTACATTATGTTTGTTTGTTTTTATTTAGACTTTGCAATATTCTTCTAAAATCCTAATTGCACAAATAAAAGTAGGCAAAATTTGATTCACCTTTATACAGGGTGTTCTTTTTTAAATTCTGTAATTTATGATTCTGGTGCAGCAAACGTTTAATCATTATGGATTACATTTATTAAAGAATTAAGGTTGTCTACACATATGTACGTTTGGTTTATAGCAAACAAATTATTTAGATATCTTCATAAATGTTAAAAATTGCCTCCGTTTTATTTGGCACACAAACTGGTTTTGAGCAGATTTGATCTTCAACAATGCGCCCTCATTTTTATAGAACTGGCTGTATTTTCAGGAAACTATAACCAGGCCTAGTTCGTATTAAAATTTTAAAAAGATCGTTGCATTAGTTCTGGTCAGTCTCTCCAGAAAACATAATTTTTTATGAAAATATGATTTGACAGAAAATATGAAATTGCAGATTTACATGTTTATATTCCCCGTATTTTCTTTACGGATCATAAAACGTCCATTAATTATCTACTCGGATTTTTTTTTTTTAAATCAAAAAGATTTTTAAAATTATAAGAACGTACAGAATGGTTTGCTCAGCCTCTGTGGAAAAATTTGTGCATTTTTGGTAAACTATTTTGTGAACAAATTACTAGTAAAATTATAATAGACATTTAGAATTTGAGAGTTCCGTGAACTTTTAGATTCTAAAAGTTTTATTCGGAAAAATTAATCCATCGTATTTAATTAAACTATAACAACGATAATTAACGTATCTATTATTATTCTGTACATACAGGGTGTCCCACGAAACATGACAGTTGGTGAATAGTTTCAAATGTCTTCTTCCAGAATATTTCAAGTTGTTTGTTACCAAAGAGAATAATAATAAATATTTTAAGCATCCATATTATAGTTAAATTGATTTCTAAGTAAAATAACTTTGATTAAAGTTTTTAAACTTAATAAAAAGCAAAAAGTCTTTAATATCTAATACAGTGTATGGAAGAAGATATTCAAAACTATTCCCAACTGTCATGTTTCGTGGGACACCCTGTAGCATAGATTTATACAACTTATGTATATTGGTAAGATTAAACACCATTAATCAACTGTGCAGTAAATTTGTGTAATGCTATTGCGTACATCTTTAAACAATTTGTAATGCAAAGATAAAAAAGTTTGCTTAATTACAGCTTATAGATATTATATGGGATAAAATGTTTTAAAATCCAGTTATAAACAACCTATTCCGCAAGAGTTTTTTTTTTATTTTTGCAGTACAAATTGTTTTCATACATCACGATAGCATGCAATGTCCCATGACACAGTTTCTGTACTGTTGAATTGGTGTCTAATCTACGTAAATTCTTAAGATAAATTACTTACATATACTTATTTATATTCGAAACCTCGGAATGTTCTGAGATAAGCTCTCTTATTTTATTTAAATATCTACTTACCCCTGGTTTAAGAAAGGGTTGATTATTTGCCCCCGGCATACAGTCAAACTCAGTAGCACAACACAAACCTGCCACATGGACGGGGTATAGAAGGGACATACTTGGAGAAAATGTTTACAGGCACTGTAAGCGTAATTTTAAGACAGCAATGCCTGATTTACAATAAAAAACATACTCAGTCTCTTTGAGTCTCTTTGAAAAACCTCAAGTGGACGTGTAAAACTAAGCTTTCTAACTGGACTCAGAGTTGTTGATCCTTTTGGATCGTTTTAAAAAATATTTCAAAACTATATTATGTTAAAGTTTGCTTTATTGAAATTTGCAATATCTTTATTCTAAAAAAAAATCAAAAACCGATCGTTTTTGCATCGTTTTTTTGTTGTTTTTTTTTAATGTCGTTTTTTGCATTTATATCTTCTTGGGTCCACTTTTTATCCTGAAAGAAAAAATATAGACAAAAAAAGACCCAAAAAAGATCTGTAACGGAAGGCACATATTTTGAAAACAAGACCCAGAAATAGATTTTTAATTGACTTCCAAGGAATATGGATTTTTTTAAAAAGAATATTCTTTTCTTACACGAATTGAAATCATGTTAATGATGTCTCTATACTGGAATAGACTGCTCCTGCTGCTGGACCTGATATGACTAATGCTGGTATTGAGTTTGCTCTGAGTGATGAACCTGAACCTGAAGAGTTCCACCCGACTGATTCATTTCATATCATAAAATAATATTTATTCGTATAAATAGTAAAAAGTTCGCATCAATACTTACTGAAGGGAATCACTAGACGGAATTTGTAAAATGTGTGTGATTTTAGGGCAAACATAAATTTATTTAAATTTTATATTTTGTTCGAAAATCGGCTACGGCGAAGAGATCGCAACTACGGCGGATGTTTTTTTTACAGCGGAGACATTGTAGCTAGATGAAGATCAGAGCAGCAGCTCAGCGTAGAGGAACAAATCCATCCGTCCTGGGGGGGATAACCAGGTTCGTGGAGGATGAGTTGATCAGGAAGGTTATTGACTGGAATTCCTCAATTTATCACCTTTTTATATTAATAGTTCAGAGTTCAGGTAGAACAGGTAACAGCACGAGATTAAATCTGGGTTTAAAATAAACCTTGAGTGCACAACCTGGAGCTAACAGGATATTAGTTTCATATCCCATAAATATATTCGATATTTTTAGGCTCATTTTATACAAATCTTCGGACTCTACAATTTATATAAATTATTGTTCTTAATTAAAGCTTTCAGCATTTAGTTTTCTCAAATAAGATTCTTGACTTTACAATAAAATGATTAAAGGATTATTTCTTCATTAACCCTATCCCTGCTGGGGTACTTGAAAACCAGGATACGCTGGGGGGGGGGGGGTCAATTTGACCCCCCCTCTAAATCCATGTTTTATTTCCAAATATGACAAATGATACATTATTAGAAAGCTCTTGTGCTCTACTTTTAGAATCTGCAAAAGAAAATTGCAAATTTGCGAAAATTGAATTGAAAAGCAGACATTCAGGCAGTGTGCCTGAGGACTCAGGCAGTTAGTATTAAAGCCCAGTTTTAGGCCTAAAGGGAGGGCTTTGGGTATGTAAGAAAAGTCAGAAAATTTCAACAGNCCCCCCCCCAGCAGGAATAGGGTTAACAGCCGTAAAGTCCTCTTCTCGTGAATCAACCAGAACAATATTCATATATAGATCCTTAGATCGTTAATAAGTCTTAAACTTAGAAAATATGTGCCCAAAATGTTTATATATTTTCTTACAGTTAAACCCTAAATAAGCCCTACACTGAAAGAATTCACCAAATGTCGTATTCTTTACTTTCTAAAAATGGAATGTTGCAGATATTTAGTTTTTTAATTAAAAGATTATATCGAACTCTTTCAAACTGTTTCCGCATATTCATGGCTAATTATTTATTTTCGCAAATACTGATTTTTGCATTTGATAAATTCTTTCGATGTGTGGCACATTTAGGGTTAACTGTATATTTTCAAAGCCCGGCAGCTACATTTTTATCATAGTCTGAGCAAAGACGACTTTTTGTCCGCTGTTCACTGATTTTTTTCTGTTTGTTGATTTATTTCCTAGACTACTGCAATTTTGGCATTCATGCTAAACCAAGCAACCCAGACCATGACGAGAATAAATTTGCTAGTTTTATTCATGGATTAACATATATTCATGGACTAACAGTTATTCATGGATTAACATTTATTCATGGATCAACATTTATTCATGGATTAACATTTATTCATGGATTAACATTTATTCATGGATTAACATTTATTCATGGATTAACATATATTCATGGATTAACATTTATTCATGGATCAACATTTACTCATGGATTAACATTTATTCATGGATTAACATATATTCATGGATCAACATATATTCATGGATCAACATTTACTCATGGATTAACATGTATTCATGGATTAACATTTATTAATTCTCTTTATATCCGGGTCCCATAAAAGGCTGATTAGTGGTTTGTGATACTTTCCTGTTGAGATCAAAAAATGAGTTTTTCAAATGCTTAAAAAGTTCAAAAACAAAACAATTCCCTTTTTAAAAAAAAACCTTTAATGCACATTTTGTTTTCTTTAAAAAATTTATTTATATCCCAATACTATACTGGTCAATTGATTTCTGTCTGTATCACGTGACAACGATACTGCACTGCCATTGGCTGAAGTTATTGTGACATAATACAGACTATACGGACTATATGTGATAATATTATAAATTATATCTATTAAAAATGCAAAATAAAAATATATGGGATATCGTCATTTTCAGATTGGTTGCGTATTTGTTGAATATATGATCTGTTTAATACTACATCTGTTACGCGGGCTCACGCATGCGTACAAAGTCTATGAATTGGTCCTGTATTTATCCCTGTATTCTGATGATTGTTGCTGAGGGAAAGAAGCTAAAACTGAACCTGTTTTTTACTGACAAATTGTTTATTGCATTAAGCATGCGCTAAAACTCATGCGTTAGATCAGTTTACCGGCATATGTATTAGAAAGTAGTTAGATATATATCTTTTATGCTGATTTATCGTGCTAGTATCGGAGGACTATTGTGGTAAATATGTTTATTCGATTATTAAACTCTTTTTTATATGTTTTGTATGATATATTTACGTTCTTTTAGCTTCGGCTACAGTTTTTACTGGATGAATAGTATGATAGGATGATTTATATATTGGATGAATACAAACTATACAAAGCTTTTCTGTAGTCTAAAATATATATTTATTGGCAGACTGAAGCACCCAGCCTTAATAAAACTCGAAGCTATCCTGTCTTTGATTTACTATGAGAAGGAGCGAGAGTAGAGGAGCTTACGGTCAGGCCCAACGAAATACGGCACGGTAGTTACTCATTTATCTTTAGGACTTTAGGAAAATTGCCATAGTTGCGTAACAACAACTTTTATACAAAATTGCATATATATATATATATGAATTTTCTTATAAAGGAATTGAGTCTTTGCCACAAACTCAAATTTTATTATCCTTATATCTTTATAACCTGATGGTGTAAACCTTTAATATTTCAGACTTAGATTATTTGATCTAACAGATTTAATAGTTTGAAATATCTAAGGTCTACGACATTGGGTTGCAAATATATAAGGATTAGAAAATCAATGTTTGGTACAGTTTTTTGTTAATTTCTCGAGGCAGGAATATCAGATAGATCAGTCTTATATGTATCGTTAAACTTCTGAGATTCTCGGGTTTCAGCCTATACCCCTTATCATTTATCCTTTACAGTCCATTTAAGCTAAACATTTTGTTAAAATCTTTCTTAATATTTGTGGATTGCTTCTTATAACGGATTGCTTCTTATAACGGATTGCTTCTTATAACGGATTGCTTCTTATAACAGATTGCTTCTTATAACGGATTGCTTCTTATAACGGATTGCTTCTTATAACAGATTGCTTCTTTAACGGATTGCTTCTTATAACAGATTGCTTCTTATAAGCTTTCTCAACACTTATTGCCAAGGAAAATTGTTCCTAATTGGCTTCCAACTTATATTCATATGCGTTACGAGTCTATCAATACTGGATCAATTGAGCTTCTCTTTTTTGGCAAATGTCGTCTCTGATGCGAATCAAGAATTATGCTAAAGTCTAAAAATTGTCGTCATTGCTGTAAAAATTTCAATCTTTATAAAAGAAGTAATATACTGAAAATTCTATTTAATTGTAAAACCGTAAGGTTATTTATCATATTCCTCATGAACCAGATACTAATTAGAACATCAGATTAAATATGTTAAGACAAAATCCGTGCCTAAACCAGTATGATATACATTATATTTTGTAATATAAATGTTAACATGTAAAACAGAACGGAAAATAAAAATATTTAGTTTAAAAAAAATATTTGATATATCACAGCCAATTATTTATTTAATATTTAATGTACAGATTGCAGTCATTGCACACATATTTGGTAAACATTCAAAACCTTTAATATCAAGCAATGATACATTTGAAAAAAATATTCTTTTTTGATTCAACTAGATTAAGATTAAGAAATTAGTTTATATAAAGTAACAGCTAACAATGCATGCCGGGCACGGGCAGCCGTAGTACATTTGAATATCCGAGCCGGGCCAACCTTTCCGTTCCCAGTTTGTACTTTACCTAGCTCTATGGACAGGACTAGCCGGTGCAACAAGGTTGACGCGGTCTGACTTTATGCTTCATATAGGCTGAATTTATTTTTACTAAAGGGGCAGATGTGCGTGCGGGAGAAAAAAAAATATTTTTTTTGCTTGTAAAAAATTGGGGTATTTTATATAGCCTAGCATTTAGTAACACATGTTAAAGTTATATCTTTTGCCTTTTGTAGTACATTTTTAGGAATTCAATGAATTATTTTTGTATAATGTCATTTTTGATAATTATTCGATGAATATTAATTATTGCCAATGATTAACAATAACTTCAAAAGAATTTGCTTTTTGGAAAAATGAATATAAAGCCATGAAATACACAGGCCACTTTTTACACAACCCAGTATAGTTTTCCAGGCGTTGAATTGTTTATAAATTGTGTCATTGATTTATTAAAACACTCATTATCATCGATAATAAACAAGCTAAGAAAAGGACATTATAATTTTGTTTCATTGTTTTACTTTTGATGGATGGATTAGTTTTAACGGCAGATTTTGGCGATTTAAAAATAAAAGTGAGTGTTTGCAAAAATAGAAAAGGGGTTTTGATCTCTGTCTGAGCTAAATAGATAAATAGATAAATAATTCTATTTTATTTTTACTCTTTTCAGTTTATGAAAATACTTTATTAAATCTAAAGGTGATCTCAATCTTTCTACATTTTAAAAGATTTCTAGATGTTTTAAGATCTTAAAGATTTTTTTTACTAGATTTTCAAACTTTTTAAAAATTAGACTAATTTAATTATTAAAGCTCAGTTTATCTTCTTTAATTAGCTTGCATACAGACGATTGAAAAATTCTTCCTTTGTCACCGCCTGAAATAGAACACAGGTCAAACATTAAGTTTTACATTTATTCTACATTTTCCAACCTTTTCTCCTATTCTCTTCCTTCTTTTCTTAACCATAGTTGGTTTAGGTTTAGGTCTACTCATCTCACTGAAATCTAAAATATTCAAAATAATGGAATTGCAAATCTAATTCTGATAATATTGTAAACCTTCTCTCATGGGATAGAATTTATTTTCAAGGCTGTCATTGGTCAATATAATTTACGAACTATATTCCTGCACTCTCATTGGAGAAAATAATGTCACTCTAGTATACCAAGTCCATTAGTGCCTGATCCAATCAGGGTTCAGCCATGTGTTTGGTGTCTATTCTGAACCAATAGAAAAAGTATGGCGGTAACATCTATATATCTTTATAGCTCATTATCCAATTAGAGATAAATCCTTATATCGGCGCTATAACAGTAAATGGAAATATTTACTTCTACTGAAACTAAAGTGATGTACGGATATCCAAAGAGAGAGAAAAAGAGTGGATTAGGGACTAAAATTAAAAGTTTCCGCAGTGGATATTAGGATTAAGTAGTTGGGATTAAAGGTTATCCATTCTAAAGTTCCCAGCTCAGGATACAAAAAATTTCTAATCCCTGATATTATTGTAAACCTATTATATTGCAACCATGGATGTTTGATCTCGCAGAATTCGCAGTTTGAAATATCAAAAGTCTATACGACATCACTATCAGGTTGCAAAGACAAAAGGATTTGAAAATTAATGAAAGATGCCGAGGTTGTTGTAAAGTTATGGCTAATAAGCGTGTATAATTACTTATACTAAAATATTGAACTTAAAAGTTATCATATCTCACTAGGCTAAATCAAATCAAATCAAATCATTCTTTTAGGGACGTCCTACACCCACACCCCAAAATTGAAGTGAATATACTAAATCAATAATGAATCTTTGATCTTATAAGGCTTTAATTCTGTACTTATCATGGAAAAAAATACGTTTTCAATGAGAACCAGAAAACTTTGGAAAAGGAAGACGACTTTAAAACTCAAGTTATGACTTTAAATAGTCTAGTGAACATGAAACACAGCCATTGTGCAGTGTAAACAAACCCATTTTACTGAATAAGTGATTTAATATGTAACTGTTAAAACAATTGGCTTTGTAATAACATGAACCAAAATTAAATAGTGCTTTAATGTCGTCTGACTATTCTACATTGTTCTGGTTCTCACTATAGATACTGTTGATACTCGATTTATATTTTTATTTTGCCTTCTTATTAATTAGCAACGCGTTACTATACAGGCAGGGGCGCACAAGGGGGGAGGGGACTGGGTGCACGTGCCCCTCCCCCACGCGTGCTCCCTCCCCCCTCGGGGGGCCTCATTTATCAAATGATTTTATATGATGTGGGGAAACAAAATTAAAAGTTTAAATTAAAAGGCCAGTTTTTTCATCATTTTTAATAAATGTTACGCCAAAATTTATCAAGTAAAATCCAGAAATTTTTTATGGCGCTCCCCGCAAACATACCTGACTTGTGTTAACAAAATTATTTTGGTCATCTAAAAAAAGAAAACTTTGACAGCAAAAGTTTTTTCGTTCTTTTTAATTTTTTGAAACAAGAAATTTAGCAAATAAAACCCTGAAAATGATTTGGGGCTCCGCGCAAATGTCTCAAACTTCTGTGATAAAAAAGAAAAATTGGACATCCTTTTTCAATATTTTTAGCAAAAATTCAGCAATTAAAATATTATATTCTTCTCTTACTAACCTACAGAACCTATAAATTGTTATTTAATAAAAATAATTAGCTTGTTCATTTCTCTACGACCGAAAAGCAAAAGAAATTCGATAACACCTTAATTTTTACCTATAACCGTGAGTGTCGGGGTTTTATCTAACGGTGTATTTAAGTACGGTCTAAGATATTGTACTCTTGGGGCATTTCCAGCTGTACTCAGTACACCTCCCCCGCCAACCTAAACCAAAAAAGGGTAAATTTTAGCCAATGTCCTATTGTTTTGGACATTGTTAAAGGGAGACACCGGCTAGGTAACATTTTTAAACCGAGAGTGCAGCATCATAGAGACAAATTTGGTGATTGTTTGATAACAATGAGACGTGTTCAGGTTGTATATTTTCTAAGTAAGAGCGTAACTTCTTTTATTTCACCAGAACACAACAAATAAGTTAACAATAACATTTTTCGTTCGCTTTATTAAATAATTGTAAAAAAAATGTTATCTGAGCGCAGGATCATCCCTTCTGGTGTTAAAGACGACATTTACCTTCTTCTCTTGTGTAATGAGGATGGAAGAGGATGAGGAGAAGGATATTGAAGGGGAGTAGATCATATCAATAGTTGGGCCTAAGCCTAGATATGTTTAGTTAGCTACATATAAAATATATAGATGATTGATTAATTAGCTAAATATAGAATTTATAGATGGACATAATCCTAGACATGATTGATTAATTAACTAAATATAGAATTTATAGAAGTACATAATCCTAGACATGATTGATTAGTTATCAACATATATAACATATAGATGGACATAATCCTAGACATGATAGATTAATTAGCTAAATATAGAATTTATAGATGGACATAATCCTAGACATGATTGATTAATTAGCTAAATATAGAATATATAGATGGACATAATCCTAGACATGATTGATTATTTATCAAAATATATAACATATATAACATATAGATGGACATAATCCTAGGCTAGAAGGTGCCCACGCCTAATTTTTCCAGGGGGAACGTCCCCTCTTTCTCCCACGCCCCACCCCCGTAAGCTGCCTCTGCCTGAATAAACAGACATTGACAATAAACTTAGACACGCTGATATCAAGATTAATAATATGAAGACTTTTTCTTCTTTATGTTTTTATACCTGTGATTCCTAGAGATGACCGGCTGCTGCTCCTACTAAAAGTGTCTAACCTCAAGTTCTCTAGCAACGGGTCAGATTCACTTCAAATCAGAAGATAATTAGAGATGGGCATTGTTTTCGTGAAAGAACGAAATATTTCAAAACAAAATATGTATTTCGTTGTGACGTATTGGATCGTTCAAAGAAATTTAAAAAATGTTTTTTTTTCAAAACGAACGAGAAAAAAACTAATTAAAATTGCTACCGATCCTTCGCATTTTATTAATCTGTCAGACCTAAATACCAATTTCTAAATCATTCAATCGTATGAACTTATAAAAAAATATTTTATTTTACTGAACTAACAATTTTTTTCTAACACATTTTTGAGAAAAACTATCGTTTTTTTGCTAAACGAACGAATTTTTCAACAAAACTTCTGTAAAAAACGATCATTTTTTAATGAACAAACAATTTTACTGACCGAACGATCTCAAGGAAAAAACTATTTGATTGAAGGTTCTTTCAATTCTGAAATCTAACTAATTAAAATTTATACTGACCGACTGAAAAAAAGGACAAAATGGGTCGTTAACGAACGATCAACAAACAATTTGAAAAAATGCTATACGCGCACATCTTCAAAGAAAATTAGAATCAAGGAATATAACAGAAACTTCCATAAAATAAAGTGTACTGCAGTTTGTGGGAAAAATGTAAACACACTAAGCGCTGCCTAGGCGAAACTTTGTTAACAGTCCACCCAGAAACCTGTTTACAGTCCTCTTAGGAACCAGTTTACAGTCCTCCTAGAAACCAGTTCACAGTCCTTCCAGAAACCAGTTTACAGTTCTCCCAGAAACCAACTTATAGTCCTCCTGGAAACCAGTTTATAGTCCTTACACAAACCAGTTTACAGTCCTCCTAGAAACCAGTTTACAGTCCTCCTAGAAACAAGTTTACAGTCCTTCTAGAAACCAGTTTACAGTTCTCCCAGAAACCAGTTTACAGTCCTCCTAGAAACCAGATTATAGTTCTCCCACAAACTAGTTTACAGTCCTCCTAGAAACCAGTTTACAGTCCTCCTAGAAATCATTTAACAGTCCTCCCAGAAACCAGTTTACAGTCCTCCCAGAAACCAGTTTAACAGCAGTTTACAGTCCTCCCAGAAACCAGTTTACAGTCCTCCTAGAAACCAGTTTACAGTCCTCCTAGAAACTAGTTTACAGTCCTCCTAGAAACCAGTTTACATTCGTCCTAGAAACCAGTTTACAGTCCTCCTAGAAACTAGCTTACAGTCCTTCTAGAAACTAGTTTACATTCCTCCTAGAAACTAGTTTACAATTCTCCTAGAAACTAGTACACATCATTTAATTTAATAAAATACAGTCCTCCTAGAAACCAGTTTACAGTCCTCCTAGAAACTAGTTTACAGTCCTTCTAGAAACTAGTTTACATTCCTCCTGGAAACCAGTTTACATTCCTCCTAGAAACTAGTTTACATTCCTCCTAGAAACCAGTTTACAAACCTCCTAGAAACCAGTTTACAGTTCTCCCAGAAACCAGTTTACAGTTCTCCCAGAAACCAGTTTACAGTCCTCCTAGAAACCAGATTATAGTCCTCCCACAAACCAGTTTACAGTCCTCCTAGAAACCAGTTTACAGTCCTCCTAGAAATCAAACTAGTTTACATTCCTCCCAGAAACCAGTTTACAATTCTCCTAGAAACTAGTTTACAGTCCTCCAAGAAACTATTACACATCATTTAATGAAATAAATACCTTTCCGTTATTTCAGGCATATCTTGACTAAGCTTTGAATGTCTAAAAAATCAACATTTTAATTTTTTGCATTTACACTTAATTTCACATTTCATTGTCCTTGTCCTTGTCCTTGTTCTTGTCCTGGTCCTGATGCTAGCCTTTGTCCTTGTCCTTGTCCTTGTCCTGATACTAGCCTTTGTCCTTGTCCTTGTCCTTGTCCTGATACTAGCCTTTGTCCTTGTCCTTGTCCTGATACTAGCCTTTGTCCTTGTCCTTGTCCTTGTCCTTGTTATTGTCCTTATTCTTCTTCTTGTCCTTGTCTTAATACTAGCCCTTGTCCTCGTCTGGATACAAGCTCTTGTCCTTGTCCTGATACTAGCCTTTGTCCTTGTCCTTGTCCTGATAGACCAAATTGTATACCTCTGGATAGATCTGAAAGTTATTGTTCTTTTAAGTTCCTTCTTATTTTTCTCCTCCAATATATCAAGGCTGGGGTCTGCATGGGTCATCTTATAATGAATAGTTTGACAAAATCAAATCATAAACATTAGAAAAGCTTACGCTTTGCATTGTGTGGCTTTATTATAGGACTGTAAAATGGTTTTACTGTTATTGTTTATATACTTCAAAACCCTGAATGTTTAAAAAACTGCTTTAACCATGATATTAAGCATATGCAAATCCAATTTTATTTTCCTTTCGTTCTTCATCAGATTCTTCGTGTACATCCTCCAAATCTAACCTAATAAATATGAAGACGACATTTGAGCAATCTTTTTGGGTTTATTTCAAGTAGCTTGAAACAGCTATATTAAGCTAAATGCATCTGTGTATTCTGCACAATTATTGAATTATTTATGATAACTTGAGTCCTACAGTCGTTCCTATTGCACAGTTTAATGGGTCTCACTGTAAATAATTATTTTAAAAATATTAAAAATTTGTATATTATCAACTATTCAAAACTTTTGTGTAGTTAAACCCCTGAATTTAGTAATGCATGGATTAAAGGTTTCTTTTTTTTAAATTCCTCTTTGATATTTCGTGAATAAAGTACAGTACCTGAGATTTCTTAATGGACTACTTGTAATATCATCTAGATCATCTGAACTAACGTACAGTACCTGAGATTACTTAATGAACAACTTGTACTAGCATCTAGCTAGATCATCCGAACTAATGTACAGTACATGAGATATACTTAAAGAATTACATGTCATATCATCTAGATCATCCGAACTAATGTATATTACCTGAGATTACTTAATGAACTACTTGTACGTAATATTATCTAGATCATCTGAACATAATGTACAGTACCTGAGATTACTTAATGAACTACTTGTAATATCATCTAGATCATCTGAACTAATGTATAGTACCTGAGATTACTTAATGAACTACTTGTAATATCATCTAGATCATCCGAACTAATGTATAATACCTGAGATTACTTAAAGAACTACTTGAAATATCATCTAGATCATCCGAACTAATGTACAGTACCTGAGATTACTATAATGAACAATGAACTACTTGTAATATCATCTAGATCATCCAAACTAATGTATAGTACCTGAGATTACTTAATGAACTACTTGTAATATCATCTAGATCATCCGAACTAATGTATAATACCTGAGATTACTTAAAGAACTACTTGAAATATCATCTAGATCATCCGAACTAATGTACAGTACCTGAGATTACTATAAAGAACTTCTTGTAATATCATCTAGATCATCCGAACTAATGTATACTACCTGAGATTACTTAATGAACTACTTGTAATATCATCTAGATCATCTGAACTAGGATACTGTATTAGGTTCAAGGAGATACGATTCCTTGCACCCAACACAGGACTTTCCACCTTCGAAAATACAAAAAAAATTAAATGGCAGATTTAATAAATGAGGGTTAGATGATAGATCTGAACAGTAAAATCTACCACAAACTTTTTTTTTACAAAAAACGCGTTTTCCTAAAACGATTAGAATAAAGCGTTGAAAATTCGTCTGACTCTGATTTATATGGTGTACATCTTTAATAATTTAAAGTTTGAACTATGACTTTTTTAACCAATACAATTATTAGTTTTATATCAAAGGTTTACAGCATCAGAAGTAGAATTAATAGCAAGGCGTAGTTAATGTATGACTGGTTAAATTATTTTTCTGTAATATTTCGAATTAGAAAAATAGCTTTCTGTTTCAAGTAAACCTACTTTTCACAATTTCTCAATTTCGGGTTCAGGTACGGAGAGAATAGTAATCTGAGCTTTAAACTTTTGTATTAGTTACTCCTAATCCCCTTGCTCTCAATATCCACTGTGGGGACTTTAAGTTTGAGGTTTAATGCTTAATCTCTTCATTAGTTCGGTTATTCCTACGGTACGATTACCAGGCGGTGCATGTAACACAGATTAAACTGCAGATTAACAAAGGATCGAGATCAATTATTGATCTCGATGCACAATACAAGAGTTCCCAGCTAAATTTCTTGAACAATATAAAACATAATTTGTTTAGAATACCTTTGCTGAGGAGGAGGAGGGATTTTTCTCAAGTCTTTTCTTTTTTATTTCTTCCAAAACAAAAGCTTCAAGAATAGACTCTCTTTGTTTCGCAACTTCCCTGAACAACAAGAGGAACAATATTGGCCAAATGTTTCTTGATATTATATAATTGGGATCAAAATCCTTTTAGAAATCAAAACTTTTGAACTGTCGTGTTTATAATATGAGACTTGGAAATCTATCTTGGGTATTAAAGGGAGTGTTCACGAAAAATGAAAGGGGGTATAGGCTTACGGCGATAAATAATCGATTTTGATCGCTGCTAATCTTAAATTCCATCTGTTGCGTCTATAGGGAGAAAATTGTTAAAAACGACGTATACCGAAGAACTTAGTGTCCATACCAATTGAGATAGTTGCAACATACGACTACGATCGTAGAAAAATCAATTTAATATCAAACAAATCATTGAAATATTAAAATCTTTTGACATCGATTATTTTTCGACGCATTCGAATATAGTTAATGTTTCATAATATTTGTTATTTGTTTATATGCAATGCACTTAAAACGACTTTTTTCCGCTAGGTGTCTCTGCAACGTGAAATCATTCAAGGCATCGAGAGCAGAGACACCTGGCGGCCAACTATTTCGGCGTTTTAAGTGCATAACAAATAAAAAATATTATGAAATATTAACTATATAGAAATGCGTCGAAAAATAATCGATGACTGTAGGTTGTAATATCTGAATGATTTGTTTGAAATTAAATGGATTTTTTTACGATCCGAGTCGTATGTTGTAATTTTCTCAATTTGTATGGACGTTACGTTCTTCAGTATAAGTCGTTTTTAACAGTTTTCTCCTTACAGACGCAACAGATAGAAGTAAGATTAGTAGCGATCAAAAGCGCTTATTTTTCGTCGTAAGCCTATACCCCTTTCATTTTTCGCGAACGCTCCCTTTAGGTTTGATGGAGAGACTGGTGAGATAAGACGTTCAAATACTATTAATAATTAAAAGCTTTGTCATAAAAAAGAAAGCCTCTAATTCCCCCCCCCCCCACCTTCAGAACTAAAAAAAATGTAAAACGTAGTTCAAATCAAAACTAAAATAAAATTAATACACAAGGTAAATCATGACAGAAAATAGAAGTTATTATAATATAAAAAGTGGTTGAAAAAAGATATACCATCCTCTATACATTAATTGATCACATTATTCTACACGAAGACAAATTACGCGTTAAAAGTAAAAATTTAATGTCTGATATATATAATTGGATTTTGTACAGATTCTTTAGCGTTAAAAGGATTCAATTAGATATTAAAAGGGATCCTCTAAGTGCTCTAAGTGCACTGAGGATTTTTCAAAGAAATCCCCTTTTAAGAGATCCATCTAAATACTTTCTGTCTTTTACAAAATAAAATATTTAATTGTATTAAAAATAATTTGAAAAAGTCAAGTTTAATTTTTGGTTCTTAATTAAACCGTGTTGGAAGTATCATTACAAAACAAGCATATTGGTAAAATATGCAGGGTGAGTCAGAAGAAATTGTGAAAAGCGTCTTTTCCGTCAATACAAAATAAATTTTCGTGACATTTTTCATTTAGCATTTTTTAAACTCACATTGTCTTTAAGCCTGAACTGAGGGACTTGTCTCAGGTAGAAAAGTAAAAAAAACTTTAACAGCCTCAGACTATTTTTTGTTGAGTTATGACCAAGCAGGAATAGAGGTTAAAAATCACGAAAAAAAAAACAAAAATTTAAATGGACTCAGGGAAGAACACATTAAAATGTCTGACCTTAATCTCTCCATGTTAAAGCTTCTGTGAATCAGATTTCCTATTTTAGTCCCTTCTCTAATTTTAATCTTTTTACAGAATATGCTGTGTTAGTATGTTTTTCAAAATTGTGAACATTTGTTGGAAATTCAAAACATTTTGTTAGAAATTTCTGAACATTTGTTAGAAATTCTGAATATTTCTCAGAAATTCTAAGCATTTTGTTAGAAATTCTGACCATTTTGTTAGAAATAAAGAACATTTGTTTAAAATTCTAAACATTTTGTTAAAAAATTTCTGAACACTTTTAGAAATTCTGAACATTTTGTTAGAAATTCTGAACATTTTGTTAGATATAAGGAAAATTTCTTAGAAATTCTGAACATTTTGTTAGAAATAACGAACATTTGTTAAAAATTCTGAACCTTTTCATTGAAATTCTGATAATTTGTTAGAAATAAGGAACAATTTTTTGAAATAATGAACATTTGTTAGAAATTCTAAACATTTTGTTAGAAATAATGAATATTTGTCAGAAATTTCAAACGTTTGTTAGAAATATTAACATATGTTAGAAATTCTAAACATTTCTTAGAAATTCTGAACATATGTTAGAAATAATGAACATTTGTAAGATATTCTAATCAATTGTTAGAAAGAATTGGATGACATATAACTCTGTAATAGATTCCCTAGAAATGTTGGTTTGTCCTTCCTCAGATTCTAGAACCTTCTCCTCTAGAGGGACAATACCTAGGATCTAAACAGAACAAGGGCAACACTTTTTAATCTTTTAATTAACCCTATTCCGATCGGGCTATTTTTATCTAAGATAGATTTTTTTTTGGGGGGACAACCATGGAGTACAGTACATCCGTGTACGGTACAATTTTCTGACTTTCCCTAGTTCATATATTCATATTCATATATGCTGCTAGAAAGGATGGAAATCAAATTTAAAAATTTTGTTTTTTCCATTTTTTCAAGGGATTCACAATAATTTAAAATAGTTGCAGTTTTTATAGGGATCGTAAATTTAAATTTAAGTGACCCTCCATCGATAGAGTGGCATTTCCGGTTCACAACGGTACCCTTAAAAGCTTGGGGTGATTAAGTATAAATAAAATATTTTGTTTTAAACCTATTTTCATTTTTGGTTTCTCTTTAAAGTAACTAGCGCATTTCATGTTTCAGAAACAATGAAGAAATTATTAGAAGTAAACACTTCCAGAAAAACTAGGTTATCCTCCACATAATCGATTAGATGGAGGTTTCAAGGGTAACGTTGTGAATTGTGTATAACCCTCTTTAATCAAGTGCCCATTTGAAATTATTGACGTCGGGCCCTTTTAAATTGTATTCTCTAGGAGTTTGCTTTTATTCCATGTAAAAGTTTTATTCTAGTTAAGAATATATATATTTATATAAAAATAGTTACTAGGCTTTTTGGGCGCTTAGCGCCCATCTTCTATTTGAACTGTGAACAAATTTTCTCTTTGTATACATTGTAAAACAAAAAAAGAGAAAATTTTGCTGATTTTATAAAAAAAGTTTCTTGGATTTTCAAAAATTTCAAAAAACAAACTTTGTTGTAGGCAAATTTGTGAAAATTCGATCACCCATAAACCTTCTCTGGGGTCACGTGAGGTCCTACAAACAATTTGGGCCCAATCGGTTCAGCCGTTTTGACGTTTAATGGATACAAACAGATAGAAACATAAAAATTCTCATAAAATTTTGAAAATCAACGAAATTCTTTTTTTTTAGAATCCGCAACTTTTGTTTTGTTTTTATTTTACAATGTAAACAAAAAAATATTTCAATTGAAATAGAAGATGGATACGATGCGCCCTGAAAACCTAGTATGATAAGCAAGACTTAAAAACCATGTCTTTCAAACAATTTCAAAATTTCAAAATTAAAAATAATTTTTCTATGAGAAAAAAAACAATGTCAATGAAAGTGCATTTGTAAAGTTCTATAATAGTTTTTAAAATTAAATTTACATCAATGACAATAACTAATAGTTTTTGAACTTCAAAGAGAGCATTGAAATTTCCATTTAATATTTGACTGAAATAAAAATCAAAATATGCACTATTTGTAATAAATATAATTACCTGTCCTCGTAACCTAGGAGAGATACTTCAAGGGTATAGGTATTCACCTAGAAAATACATTGTCAGAATTATAAGCCTATAATGGTTTCTTTGAAATATCGAAATTTTAATTTTTTTTTCGAAATTATTTACAGCTTTTTAAAAAAAATATAAAAATTTGTTATTTTAAAATGTTTTTTTTTTTTAAAGTAAAAAGGTTAAGCTGTGAAGTTAAGCTCTATAGTTCAACTCATTTTAACTAATATCTCAGCATCCTAATTTTCCCTTTAAAAAGATTTAATTCGAAAGGCATATATTTTACTTCTTTTTGCATAAGAACAAAACATTGCTAGGCAAAATTATAATCAAACAGATTTGACTAAAAGTTCTAAAATAATGATAATTATGTGTGAAAATGATTGTCAAGAATGAAGATATAAAATAAATGACCTCCTCTGAAAGATATGTTGTCATGTGTCTCCGAACTGATCCATTTTTCCTGAAAAACTTCCTGTAAACAAAACTGAGCTTCTGCCAATAAATTTAATTTTTCATTCCCTATACCTTTGCAGCCTCATGGTGTTAACCTTTAATATTTCAAACTTAGACTTTTTGATCATATTTTATAGTTTTAAATAAACATTGGGTTGCAAAGATATATAGATAAGATAATCTGAGTTTGTGGCAAAGATTCGATTTCTTTGGATATTTTTTATTTTTCAGAGGAGGGG